CTTATGACAAGTCTTGTTAAAGGACTTGTGGCTATACTTTAGACTGGACTTGTGATGGGCTCAACTACAACACTTCTGGCTGTCCAAAATACTGCGTCATTTACATTAGGATGTTGATATATTTTAACAGTTATTTCATTAATCAAATTGTGTGAACAACTCTTGCATGCTAACAGAAATAGAAATTATGTTTGTCACATCTATTCCAGAGGTTTGTGTAAAAGTCTTTGGAAACTTTTGAAAGAAGATACTCAACCATTTTTGACATGTTCTTGTATTTTTTTCTAGGATCTGAGGATATAGAGAGTCAAGATAGAAGGTAGATGTGATTTATGAAAAACAGTTTGTAGAAAATAAATATTCCTGGCATTGAAAGTACTGAGTGCACAACAATGTAGCAAGATGTCTTAGTGGTTGTAGCACCGTTATATACCAGTGCAACACACACATACTTGTTATACATACAAAGTGTGGACATTCCTTTATTTTCCTGTGGTTAAAACTTGAGGAAAATGCTCCTTTTTCTCCCACTAGGATAACTCCTTTGAGCTGGATTTTTGATGATTTCCTGGACTGTTCCTCTTCATTTTGCCACAGATAACCTTGACCCCAAAATGCCTCTAAAACTGTTTTTGAGGGAGGTGGAAACATTGTGTAGACGTGTGCAAGTCCACACAATGCCATCGCACCTTACATTATGTGGACTTCTTTTGTGCAGAGGTCCACTCTACGTATGCCACGCCTGCACACAGGGTGCCTGTGACAGTGTTTCACTGGTAACAAAAGGATCTAGGATCACTTGAAGGATTGATCAGTATTCAGTTTGTTAATTATGTTGTGATTGCATCTCTTCCTGAGAAGCAACCCTATTGGATTGTGTTATCTTTTTGGAAATGCTAATCACTTTTCATTGTTTTTGTGCAGTCTTATTGCTCTAACCAATGTGATCTCTGCACTTGGTGACCCCAAGAAGAAGGGAGGTCATGTGCCATACAGGGAGTCAAAGGTCACCAGACTCCTGCAGGTGAGTTTCCATACATAGAGAGACTTTGGATGATTAACGCATGGCTGTGAATCAGACGTTTAACATGCTAAGCAACATACCTGAATTTTCATTTGCTCTCAGTTTATCTCATGTTCATCACAGTGATATGTTCAGAGACAGTGAATGGTTTAGCATACTTGAAAAAGCAGAGCTGAATGAACAGCATTTCTGAAATGGAATCAGATGCTCTTTCTTGTCTGAGCTCATGCTACACTAGTAACAAGTATGGGAAGTGATACTCTCATTTTTACTTTTTAAAGCCAGTAAACAGAGTCAATATTGAGTGTTTTCTCGGGGCAGCCATCATAAAGGTATTTTCATTGTTTTAATTCAGCAACACTAAATGCACAAAGGGCCTTGCATATATAATAAAAGGATGCACAAAGGGCCTTGCATATATAATAAAAGGATACACCTGCAGTTTGGGTGCCATGGGAAGGACTTAGCCATTCTCTCTCAACTATCAACAAAATGTAACATGCTGTGGTGTTTTTACTGGTTCCATTCATTTGTGAATAGGATGCCATTGGCGGGAATTCCTTCACTGTGATGTTTGCCCTGGCTTCTCCTGCCGACTCAAACTATGAGGACACGCTGGCTACATTGCAGTATGCACAGTTCTGCAAAAACATATCCAACTCAGTCAAGAAAAACATTGTAAGAATTGCTTTGGGTTTGATTTTTAATTTTTAATTATTTATTTTTTTTGGGCTGAAAGTTTTTGAAGGATTTTGTTTTTGACAAATTCAGCATCTTCTAAACAAAAGTTACCCTCAAAATGCAACTGGCTGTGCACTCACATTGGATTTTTTCCGTCAAAGGATGACAGTGAGCGTTTGATGAATGAACTTCGGGAAGAGATCTCACGTCTTCGGGGGAAGTTAACGGGCAGCGGCTTAACTGAAACGTCAAGCAAGGATGACGTGCTACGCATGCAGGTATTAAAATCAACCTGTCCAATTAGACTTTATTCTGGAACTTCTCCTGATTGTAAGTGGGTGAGGATCAAAACTTTTTTGCAGTCTCATGGCCGCGAAATTTTCTTTTTGGTTTGGTTATAGGAATTGATCAAGGATCTCCAGATAGCCAAGAACCAGACCTGGGAAGGGAAGGAGAAGCTTTCTACTCAGTATGAGGAGGACAGGAAGCTCAACCTAGCCAAGAAGGTGAGTCCAGTCAAATACAACCTAAGTTCACATGCACAGTGAAGGAAAATGTCACTTGTAAGTAATGTTCAAGTTTACAAGTTATGCTCGACTTTTTTTGAAATCTTTACTGCCCTGGTTAAGCTTAATTTAAAAGGGAATAAATCAGTGGGGTTTCATTTCAGAATAACAGGTCCCATTGTGCATCCATCTCAAAACACACGATTTTAAACGTCTTTCACAGTTTTCTTCATAATGGAAATAGGTTCAGTGGCCAGTTTTTAAAAGTAAACCCATTTAGAAAAGGACGTTTCCCAACACCCAATCTATCGGCTCATCTTGATTTTCAGATAGCTATCTTTCTCCGTGGTCATATTCTAAACCAAATTTGCTGACCGAAATGTTTTTACCAGCAGCTTACCCTGAATTTTTCAAGGATGCATCGCGTTCTTTTTCTCTGAACAGGGTATTCTGCAGTGGGTGATGGCAGACAGCTTGAGGAAGGGAAATAAAGAGATCCAGGAGAGAGTGGTTTTCATGCAAAAAGAAAAAGATCAGGTACATCTACTTTCCAATGTCTTAACAAATGTGGTAATTGTTATTTCATTTCTTGAGTGCATACTCGAGGTTTTCATGAGCAGTGCGCTCTGAGAATCTCTGCTGTCAGCATTGTGATTGCAAGTGGACTGCTATGCAGCACCAATTTCTTGACCGTTCATTGCAAGTCTGAAATGTGTCACAAAATTTCAGGGATTTGTGGGTACTTTGTCCATTGAATTGAGTTACAGCATTACTTGCAGTCGGCACGTGTATGCAAAGTTACTCGAATAGGCTGAAAATAAACTTCTACCAGATGACCATTGAATTTAGGTTTAATGTTGATACAAATGGCGCTGTCCTAATCCATTCACAGCTCCAACATCAGTACAAAGAGAGGCGTAAACTAGTGGATAACCTGAAAGATCAACTGCAGCTTAAGATCATAGACTATACCAAGATGGCTGAAAGCGGTAAGATTTGTGTAGGAGATAGACTACAACAGAAAAAAGAGTGGTAAATAATTGAATGTAGACTGAAAGTGCGCGTTTTGCACCAGGTAAGGTGATGACCACTGAATGTGATTATTGGCGACAGCAGAAATTTTGAGCTTGAAGCAACCTATGATTTCGTTATCGAGAGATTGTCACTTTGTGAGTTTGAATCTCAGAATGAAGTTTCAGGCCAAGCTGTGATTCAGAAGTACCAGAGAATTTACATGGAGCACAAAGCGTTCAGAGTTGGAGTCAAATAGCTGCATTAATAAAGTTTTGGACAGACATCTGCAACACTTTCAGTTTGTTTATTTGCCTTGGCCTTCTTCACATTGTTATCCTGAACACTGCCTTTTGGCAGGCAAAGCAACTGAAGCAGAGACCAAGGCCCGGGTAACGGCCATTCATGAACTCAAAGAGGAGGTCAAGAAGGAGAGTGAGAATCTCAAGGAAGTCAAGCGAGGGCTGAAGGAGCTGCAGGATCGACAGAAGAGAGAAAAAGAGGTTGGTAACTAGAAAGTATAATCACACAGGACCCTCCTTGGTTTGTTTGTTGTTATGTTGATTGACGGTTCTAAAAGCATTGTTTATTAGTGGACAGTTAATATACAACTGCATGAAGAATGCTTGAATTACCAGTTGTGTTTACACGAATTCATGTTAATGTAAATATGCTGAATTGGTTATAAGTGTACTACCAAACAAAAATGCTTAAACCCATCTGTTGTGTAATTTGTGCATGTGAAGGGGCTATTTGAAGGAAGTTGAGTTACTAATAAGGGGTACTGAAGAACCAATGTGAAGAACGTAATCCAACAGAGAACTCTATCTGAAGTCCTGTGAAGCACAAGTTGAGGTTGATTATTGAATTGTAGAGAAACAACCTTGAAGTTGTGTGACATGGATTTCATAGGCAATTATGTGATTGGCCATAGTCAAGTCATCAAAGTCAATTTGTCTTGATGGGACAGGATATGCGTAGCCAGCACTCTGACCTGCAGACTAACACTGAGCTGTGGCGTATGGCCAAGGCTGAGGACAGGAAACGCAAGGAGGCAGAAAATGTCCACATGCTGGAGGAAGAACTGGAGAGGATGAGGATGGAAGTGGACCACCAGAAAGCAGAGATACAGGTCAGTCCACGCAGTTGGGCAATGCTTGGTCTTGGGTTCAAATCCCCAGTGGACACGTTTGGATGTTATTGTAGAATGAATGAAACCGTCTGAAGATATTGGATAGATAGGAAATTCAGCTTGAATACTCTGAAGGAAATTATAGTAAATCTATTAAGTTGTGCCATTTTACTAAATTTGTTTCCAAATCAAACTTGAATTTTTAACATCATGCTTTGCTTGCATGTGTGCATTCCTGAGGGGCTTGATGGATTGTGTCTCACTGAAATGTGACTTCATTATGTAATAGGTTTATTGGTCATGAGAACCATGTGGAAATAAATAGGTTTTGATCAGACATGAAATGTTGTGATGTCAGGTCATACCCAGTAAATTATTAAGTTACAAGATTACGGTGTAACTTGTACGTGAATGATGTTTTTGGAGATTACTACATGTTTTCATTCACATCATTCAAAACCGATTTTGTTACAAAGGTTTTCAGAATGTATTCTTCACCAAAAAAGGAGTAACATTTTAAAACTGAAACAAGTCCATTACTGAAAGTTTCCTAACTTTACCTCATCTGTTCATTTGCTTGACCAGTTGAAAGCCGCTGAAGGCTACACTTACACCAAGGAGGAATCCATTGAGCTGGAGATGGAGTTGGTCAAGGAGAAAGAGGAGCGTCGTGTGGTGACCATGCAGCTCCAGGCCTTAGATGAGATCAAGGGGATGCTGAGCCAGGAGCTCAACGAGGCCTACACCAGGCACAGGCAGGAAATGGAGATACAGCAATTACAGCACTTCCAGGTGGGCGCCGTGTTCCACTTCAGACTGACTGTGAAAGAAATAATGATAATAATAATAACACATTTCTTATATAGCGCATCACATAGCACATCTCGATGCGCTTCACAGTAATATTATGAAATAAAGCAATTAATGAAACAGGTGAGTTGTAAGTAGCGACTTAAATTCGTTTTCATTTTTGACAGTTCTGATATGGTGTGGGAGAGAGTTCCACAGCGATGGTGATGCATACTTGAATGAACGATATCCATAAGTCTTAGTACGAGTGACAGGTGTACTGAAATGGATCAATACAGAGCATAGTGAGGGAGGAGAAGAGAGGAGGCTAGACCAAAATATCATCATCTTCAAATAGATGGTTAACTGTACATGGTTAATGCTTCAAGTTAGGAGATTACAGTTGGATTCTAACTAATCAATGTAAATGCATCGACTTGGCTAAAGGAAGCGTGTATGCTACTTCTGCATTGTAGCTATTTCATTAAAAGACTCCTGCTAGAGAGAAAAAGTTCTGAAGTTATTAAAAATATCATAGCTTTTTTGCTGGCAAAGAGTCTCATGTGGGACAGGTTAAAGTAGAGTAGACACAGTGGCTGCAGTGGTTTGTGTTTATACTCTCCATACTTGGTGGTGGAGGTGCTGAAAAATATTCCATGCACATTACTCTCAGGTCACATCATCACATGGATGAAAAACATTTCTTTCTGCAATTGTGAAAAAACTGTGTGGTACCCGAGTATACTTCCGGTCTGATCCTGACCTCACCTGCTGGCCATACTCCTGCTCATGTATTTAAAAGTGTACTCTCACTAACGTGAGTAACACAATTGAATGCAGCTAATAAGAGAGGGCTTTTTGGATTGGTAAATTCTATGGTACCGACTCCCATGTTTACCTACTTCAGGTAGAATCCTGTTAGCATGTGCACTTAAAATTGGCTAATTTCATGCCTGGAGAATTTGTTGTCATTCACATGAGTTGACCATTTCGCACTGATGCTTCATTTGAGAGGATTTGTCATGTATAATTAATTCCTTCCTCAGACTTTCCGCAACTACCGTGAAGTGTTTGAAGAGCAGAAGGCATCTCTAGAGCAGCGTTACCGCAGTCTGCTGGAGGATGCCATCCAGGATGCTGTCTTCCTTTCCAGTCGCAACTCAGAGCTGGAACAGGAGAACCAGGCACTCAAACAAGGTAGGCATTAAGGGTTAGAGAGACAGTTGAGAAAGGTACAGTTGCCGGGAACATAGCGTTAACCACAAGAAGCACTTTGTATGTGTGAAGTGATGGTGTAACACAAGTTGACTTTTCTTATCATTTCAAACCTTACAGATTGCCTATAAATGTCTGCATTTCAGATATAGACTTCACAAAAAGGGTAGTGTTCATATGTGTGATTACCTTTCAATCTAAGCACAATTCAGCTATCATTCAAGAAAGAAATGCACTTACACATGCATTTGCTGTTAGTTTCTAAACTGTCAAATTGTGTACTCTGGTGTTACATCGTTAATAATTTATTTAAATAATTCAGCACACTTGAGCCTGAAGTAGTTGCCATGAATGGAGAATAGAACCTTAGAAGGATGAAGATTCCTCACTGAAATTATATTCAAATATCACATGGAAGACATGTCTGGAAGTTGATTGCAGATTAACACTGCTCAAAGCTGGTTGCCAGCCAAAATGCAATGTGTATTGCTTGTTACTTGCATCTGTATAATTTTTCTTGTGTTTTGTGATAACGTTTGGTGTGCAGTATTTACATGTATAGATTTGGGCGCTGATCACTAACTTCCCAGTCTGCCTCAATTGTTTTGTTTGACAGAGATTGCTGAATACAAGGACAAACTCTCCATGATGGGCGGGAGCCGTGGAAGAAGTCGACCTACCTCCGCTGCATCTGTCCGTACCTAAACGTTGGTATACTGTAGCAGTTCTGAGTTCAAAGTCTTGTAAAAACTGAACAAGGCGGGATTTACTGGACTGGTGTTACTTGTGGGTACTCCTAGCACAAACACTGCAAATACATCAAAGTTCTAAACTAGATTTAGGTTCTGAACTAGATTTAGGTTCTACTCCTGTTTTTTACCCTATGCGACAAGACAGCAAAGAATTTCGGCATAGACAACATTTATTTGGTTCATGTACAGCCAGAGCAGTTTATTGTCCGAAAATTCTCACACCCATGATTGTTTTCCGGTTGTAGTGACTCCGCGAAAACTTATTTGCTTTTTTGCAACTGCCAATTATAATCACATATCTATCTTCGAACTTGTCAATTTGGTTCAGACTACGTTTCTGGTCGCCGCGATCCGCGAAAGGTTTTTAGCAGAAGATGCATGGTTTCCTGTCACTGCGATCCACGAAACCTTCCCACATTGCTACAATTTCACAAATCATTTCCGGTCGCTGCGATCCGCGAAATAAACAGCGTTCGACAACAACTCCAGATTCATACTTGTTTCCGGTTGCTGCGATCCACGAAACATAAATGTGTTCCATTCTTAACTCGCCTTCCGGTCACTGCGATCCGCAAAGGCTAAAATCAATGTGTGTGTTTCCAAATCATGCTTCACAAAATTGCTCAATTTGTCTCCGGTCGTTGGGATCCGCGAAACATGGTACAGCTCTATTTTATACATGTGTAACTTCCCTTCTGGTCACTGCGAGCCGTGAAGGCTTACATCAACGATTACATGTAGTTGCAAATCAGACGTCCAAGCAGGGCCTAGTCTGTTCCCGGTCGATGCGATCCGCGAAACATCAGAACAAAGCCAATTATATGTTATTGTATTATGACGTCCCCAAACCACCTATTAAACAAGCTTTCCATGTAAAAGATTGGATCCTGGCATGAATTTCTTCCTTTATAAATGAATCATTCATGGGGATAACTAATGTTGCCAAGTTTAACTTAAATCAATGAACATGCCTCAGGCCTATGACGGCATACAGAATGAAATTCCTCCAAACGGTCATGAGAACTGCTATGAAAACCCTCGGACTAAATTGCTCAGACAAAAGTGGCCAACCTTGCTCTGCGGTTCTGCCTAAATAGGCAGCAAGGCCTTGTATCAATTAGCTAAGGACCACACATGTCGGTGGGAAAGGAGTGTTTCATCCGGACCCAAATACCTGAAACCGTCTTGTGGGCAATAAATTCTTTGAAGCCTCGTGGGCCGCAAAGGAATTGTTGGCAGTAAATGAAATAGAACCAAAACTTAGATTGTTCAGTAGTCCTCTTGAAAGGTTAACAAAGGGGAGGGTCGAGTGGAGCCTGTCACAACAAACTTTACATAGAACAACATGAAAGTTGTAAGCTACTCACAGTTCCATTTTTTTAGATGGTTGAGGAACCTAAGTTGCATATGCATATGTAATATCATTTAAATTCCCTTAACCCTGAGTGGGATGGATTATGACAATTAAATCGACGGATTCGAACCCGTTAGCTTCTGAGGAAACAAGTAATTATAAAACAGCAATGCAAGAGGTAATTTGTGTCCAACAGAGAAGCAATGCCTTTGTACTTGAAAATAGTTCATTAACACAAAATGCAAGCCAAAGCTTGACGCATGTATAAATAGAATGCTATAGAATATTTAAATTTTTTTCCATAGTCTGTACCTATGTAAAATTATTTTTTTATAATGGAGTGTTCGTTTGTTTCACTACAGTCTATCCAATTAGTTCCTTCCATTCCCTTTTATTTCAGATTGATGAATGATCCGTCCAAATTTGAAGTATTTGCTCTTCCTTTTCATATCATTTTGTATCAAGTGCTTGCAATCACTTTGTAAATAAAAATAAGATTATTCAAATCGTTCCAAGATTATTCAAATCGTTTGGCTTACATAATAGTAAATATTTTTGATAAGAAGATACAGTTGTGTGAGATGTGTTGTTTGAAAAGTCATACAGCAAGATGTAGGTTATTACCAACTGATCGAATGTGATGAACATCGTTCTTGTGGTCAATTTTTTTCCACCCGAAACTATCCATAGGGATTGGTTTTTATAATGTTCCGTTACGAACATATATTTTTGTATCATTTTTATGTGAGGAAGATTCTTAGTGTGCTGGGATTGTCTGTTGTAACTTTTTCTTTCATTTTAGACCTATTTGTGTGTATATAGTGGTTCTCCAAAAGTATGTACATTTTATTTCTACATGTTCAGGTTTATATCATTTAAACTGAGATTGTATCGTTCATTGTTCAGGGGATGTCCGCATTTCTTTATAATTTGCAAACCTACAATGGCACCAACACATTACCTTGATTTTCTGATATAAGTACCTTGGAAGGACACTTTTTTGCCTTCACATTAAAACAAATAATTTTGTGAATAATGAATTCTCAATTGAAGTGCAGTCAATTCAGGTACTCCAGAGTATCATAACCATACTGTGACATTAAAAACACATGATCAATTCTTCACAATCCAATACAATAGACCATGGTACATCACATCTTCCATTAATGACAATCTGCACAATAAAAGCGATTTTTAGACATTCAAATGAATACATGTATAGATGTTATGAGGCCCAAAAAGTTATAGGGATATATTTTGTCCACACAACTCGGTCCCAACTTTCTCAACATAAAGAGGGATGTATGGAGTGGCAGCTGGTTCAATTGGTCCAGCCTCTACTTACTAGGGTGTGGATGGAGCCAGTATCGTGACTGGACACCCACTCTTGTGTTGTCCTAATGGGGCAAGTTGGAGTGATGACCAATTGCAGACTGATGCTCGAGTGTCCCTGGTGACCTGTGTACTGGATACCAGCCAAAAGAGACGAATTCTAGTTGCCTGAACTTGTCCAAATATGATTGATGACCAGTGAGGGGCAGTGATTTGTAACCGACATGAACAACAAACACACAAACAAAAAAAACCTGCAGACTTAAAATCAGTAGATAGACTTTCTTGGTTTATTTCATCCCAGTTCCACAATAATATACAAGCTTGATGTCTTAATACCAGCATATCCAAAGTAGCCCTTCCAGGGAATTGGGATGATTTCGGAGATTTTAGCATCTGACCAATGTACCAAGGGCAGAGAGTTTAACCGTTTAAAGTTTTGCATTTCCTTTTCCTGGTTATTTTTTTCTGAGTTTATGATTCAGGATTGTGGTGCAAATCAAAAAAGAAGTTTGTTAAAAAGCCTTTGGTCAGGTGTTTTGGGAATTTTCCATTGTTGTTTCGCTGCTGTAGCAATGCCGGTGTTGATGTTTACACACTATCAACCACTGGTGGTTCATAGCCATCTGGTCTCTCTACTGTAGTCCCATCTGCTCCTGGTTTTGGTGCAGCTGGTGCAGCCGCATTCTTGCCCTCGCCATGCAGCTCCATCAGCTTGCTGACTGTAAATGACAGGACACAAAACATTTTTTTCAACGCTGAACGCAAGCCAACTCCACAGTTTTCCACTGGTCATTATCTAAATTAGTCATGCCAACAAAGATGGACAAGACAGCTTAACATCACCGCACCGTGTTGCCCTCCAATCTAATCACCTACAAAGTCAAGACATTTCTTTTCAAACTTTTTTTGTACTTCTAAATAAATGCATGTAGTGTATATATCAAGATATTTAGGACTTTGATTGCTGCCTGGCAGAAAGACATAATTGAACCAGCTGTTGCAATGTGAGTTGAAAAAAAAATGCCAACAATGCCCTTCTGCTAAGTAAGATGACTTACTGTCAAACTTGGGTTTCTTGAGCACTTTGACCTTGCGGACGTGGACCTCATGCAGGGGGTAGATACCCTGGCAGTACTTTTCAATCTCCTTGCTGATGCTGTCTGGAATCCTAAGAACAATTGAAAAAAATGCATGCCAGAATGAGACTCTGATCTCGATAACCACTTGACTAAGGTACTGTTCCATGTTGCACTTTTCTATGGCGCGTGGTACATTTTTTGACCAAAATGCCGACTTCTTGATACAAACACAGTCCTTCATAAAGCTGGACTTCACAAATACTGGCCCTTGTAGTCATTTGTTCAAGATTTGTGTGACATGCATTACCACATCCAATTTTTTTTTTGCTTTAAAATTCTAAGATAATGTCACCAGGTGATATTTGCCACAATGCCACAAATTGTATTACATCTAGATAAGATGGAGATAAACATAAGAGGAGATAAATCCACATATACAGCTGTTTCAAACTCCATTACTTGAATGCAAAATGCCACATACTGAATTCAGTTGAACTTTCAAGCAGTATGTTGAGATTTCACAAGTTTGCAGCACGTCATAACTTAAGTTTGTAATCGTAAGCTACATGCAATGTGGACTTTGACCCCTATCTGCCATTTGACACTCACAACTTGTTGACGACATCCTTGAGGTCGCTAGAGCTGCATTCCCGCTGCATGATCTCCACCATCTTCTTGCGGATGGCACGCACCTGTGTGGACTGGGCGTAGGCGGTCTTCTTGATCTGGTGCTGACGACGCTTGGTGAAGCCCACACAGAACAGGCGAAGGAGGTAGCCGTCGGTGGTGCGCACGTCAATGTTGGCGTTGATCATGGTCTGTGCAGGGGCAACAGGTGGCAAGTCTCATTATGCAACCATGGTACTGACGTGAGATGGTACTTTTTTGTACAGTAGATTCCCGTTATAGCGCTCTCAAGGGGACCTGACAGTATTGAGCATTATAACTGCACAGAGCTATAACCGACTGGTATAGATGCATGTATCTACATGTACATGTATGCCGTGTATGTGAATTTCGTTTTCATGTACATGTATTGGCAGATGTGTGCACCTTAATTTTTGGAGTACATGCCCTGTATCCATTTATCTCAACGTTTTTGTGACACCGATAAAAAAACACACACCAAATCTCTTCAAAAACTGCCACAGGACCTTGTGCATGCTGCATCGCGGCACACGCTCTGCATCTACACCCACCGCGACATCCTGACTGCTACTGCTCTTAATAACCATTTGACCACAGAAAGTGATATGTCATTAGAAAACCCAAGTGAAAACAGAACCGACATGTCCCGCCGGACACAATCGGCGAAAAGATAAGATTTGCAACGCGAAGATACACGTACAGTTTAAGCAGGTAATTTTAATTATCTGTAGAAAGAAATCTTTAGGTAACAAAATACTACATGGAGTGTCTAAATGTTGATTAGTTGTGTCCTAAACTACACCATGAGACTAAATAAAAAGTGGGAAATAATGACTACAATGTCACCTCAGCAAAGCCACATAGGCACGGCTCACCGTGGTGAGCACGTGCTCGCACTGCATGGGGCATCCCAGTGCATGTCTGCACTCTGTGTGATCGCTTCACTACTGGTGTCCAGGATGGCCGGTCAATCGCGGCGGCCTTGCGATGTGGTTTCATATGCGTTGATTTTCAAAGAATCTGATTTTCCAAGGTAAAGAGCGCTGTGACCGAAATCATTCATATGGTTCTCGGAGCCAAAAATCGTGAGCGTTGTATCCTAAAAAGTGTTGCAAACGGGAGTGCTATAACCACAGAAATATGTGCACAGTGAATGGGCGTGCAGTTGGGGAAATGAAAATAGAGCTTTGTATCAGTAAGAGCATTATATCAGGGAGTGCTATAACGGCAATCTACTGTGCTTCACAATGCAGAGCACAAACAAATAAGCAAAAGAATCTTTAACCCTGACCACCCAAGGGTTGCTGGACCTAACTCTCCCCAATCACACATGCTTCAACACCTTGGAAAAACACTCTTACCTCACAGTACCCAATCCCAGAGACTTCAACAGTACTCCTGTTGCAAGAGTACCTAATCCGACAAGTTCCAACAGGTCTTTACCCGTGTAATTGTGTTTGATTGGGTACAGCAGGCCCACTGCACAGTACAAAGAGTATGGACAGGCAGTACCTATTCAAACAAACTCACACACCATCATGCTGCATATCCATCCCCAACTGCTGGGATAAAGTGAGAGGGCTACAGTACCCATTCAGTCAAAATTCAACACAAAATTAAACACCAAATGGTAAGCTACCAGTACCCAATGCCACAAACTCACACACTTCACTGGTGTTGAATTCTGTGTGGTTAGGGAAGGTTAGTGTTAAAGGCTTATTCAGGAGATGTTAACCAATAAAATCCATGACTGCAGTCAATTATACTGAGTACCTTCATTAGCTTTGAAATTCCAATTCAATACAAGACAATTTGCAAGCATTTCTACGGTTATGCACTATTACGCAGTGCCTGAAAAATGAACATCATCAGGCTGTTGATTATGCTACTGAATCACTTCTCCCAACACAAGGTACAACCACATCCCCCAAAGAGAACTTCTATTCCACGTTCAACGGAAGGTGTATTCTGCCATCACAAGAAATCTCTCAACTTGAGGGTATATGGGGGCATTTATTCAGGGTTTATTTGATTATTTGAATGATGTAGGAATTTCTCAGGGTTTATTCGAGCATTATATCAAACAATGAATGTTTCAAATTTGTGCAAGAGTAATTTCTTTTGATAACTGGAGAGAAATGTTTCTTGTTGGCTTTGCCTTGTGGATTGGACAATTTCTTCTCTCGCTACCTGAAATATTTCTTGCACTCGTCTCTCATTCACATAAATCTTTTGTCTGCTATCAGGCAGCAAAGCAGCATTCAAGCCCACTCTCAGTGTGTGACTGAGCCATACCTGCCACTTCTTGACCATGGAGCAGTACTTGTCCCTGGTTAGGTTCATGCCATGGAAGTTGGTCAGACAGTTCTTGCCCTGTACCTCCTCCACCATCAGGCGGAACTTGCGGAAGGCAACTTCGTCATTCTGGAGATCAGCAAGCGAGACCTCAAAGACGCGACCCTTCAGGGCGTCAGACGCAATCCCTAAAATAAGAGTACAGATACCAGAATAATGTAGTGACACCATGGGCAACTTAAATTCTTATAAAACCTGCCCAGTAACTTTTTTAAAGACACTAAATTTGATCATTGTTCAAATTTACATTGTTATCTAGATTACAAGCACTTACTTGTAGAGCCAATGATTCCCTGCGATAGTGGAAAACGGATGGAGAATGGCTTAAAAAGTAACAAAGCTTTCCGCAAGGTACTATAAATAAATGTCTACCAAAATAAAAACCCTTTTAAAATACTTGCTTTTAGTGAACGAATTATGCTGGAAACATGCTAAATTGCATCATTCCACCGCATGATTGCATCGTCCATGCTGGCACTGATATTTGCAAGTGTTATGGTGCGCGTGAGACCTAAGCGTGCAGCGGCAGCTGGCACAGCGCAGCCGCACAATACGGTACACACACACTGGCCGTTCACACGTGCACCATACTAGCAATGAAATCAAGGCACAAACAAGTTCACACTCACACATGATTATTGCACACACACACACAGGAAATTCAGTCTGTAAATCTGCACAGACTCCATGAGACAAGGCTAGTACCGCATGGTAAAACGATGAAACTGCAGCAACAAAGCCAAAGGCTAGTTACATATTTATTCAATTAAATGAAATGAAGTAAGCTTGGTGTACCATAGCTGAATGGGCCATCGGGAGTGTCTGATGAAAAGTAAAGTTTTCAGACACAAATATGCATTTTAAGGCTCAGATTTAATGTTAACTTTCTGAATTTTGTAGCGCCACTGCCAAATAAAATGGTGGGTCATTGTCCAACATTGTGATCAACGACTGCTGCATGCAAGACCTACTCTATGACTTCACTGTACATGTATAAAAGTGTTATTTGATTTTATACGTGAGGAGTGACACATGAATTGTCCATTGATTAATCGTAGCAACTTTTTTGATGAACGCGCTGGTGGGTAATCAAGCGGTGGGGGATGCCGTATTTATTGTTTGGATTTTAAAATTTTCATTACAGAAAATTACTACAAAAGTTGGAAACATTGCAGAGTATTTCCAAACAATATTTGTCTCTTCTTTTTCCGTCTTTTTGGGGGGGGGGGTTGAGTATGGTTGGGTAAATGGTTTCCATGCATTGTTTAAAACTTGCTCTCGTATTTCATGCTTACTAAGGTATGAAACGGAATTTGAATTTCTGAAGTGAAATTCAAGATTTGGCAAAACAGAAAATACCCATTTTTGAAACGGAAAATCACTGGCTCTATTTAACCTGTTTTTAGCATATTTAACATATAAGAAGCAAAGTACTTAACTATTTATTCAAGTAACAAAAGGCAACTGGTGAGATTTCACTTTCAGCTGAGATGTCTTTTCTTGGATTCATTAAAAAACAAGAAGCAGCTCAGACTATGTCTGCAAGTATCTTAGGTTGACTAGGACACCACACTCACTTGTTCCCTGCGTCCTGGTACAGAGTGTCTTGCCAATGTTTCGGACATTGAACATGGCCGGTGCCTTCACGTCGTACCATTCCTTCTTGGTGAAAGGGTCCACGCTACAATGAAAAGGTTTCACTGCAAACTTAGTATGTGTAGTGTACCAATGAGTTCAACCAAATGGACTCATCAATGGTTCTTACTAGCAAATTTCAGTTAAATTACTGCCAAGGATTTACAGCTGAATGTACATTTTACAGCCAAATGCTTCTTCTGCATACTGTACAATTTTTTCCCCAAACTCCTCAGGATTATTGCTGAATTTGTAACTCAGGCCCATTTACTATTTAGGGACAATTACAATTTACAGTAGGAAATCTAATTGTCAAACTGATAAGGAACTCTTGAAAGTTGATTTTCAGTGAATTTTAATAAACTCTAGGAAAAAATCTGTATCTTATTTGTCAACTGGTCAATGCAACTGTTTAGTCACAAATACCACTAACGAAGTCTGAAAGAGATTAACTGTAAATTATTGTAGGACCTATGCCAAAAGTAAAAGGGGACAGGTGTAAAATGTTCATTAACTAACTCCCTAGGAAGTGTGCATAAAATCATATTAAAATTGGAGGATTCAGGGCTGTTAGGGTTAAGTACAGCAAACTTGTTTATAATACTCAAACACTGTAACTGGTAAGAAGTTCTTCCCTCCTAAGCCAAGTAGAGCACTCTGACAAAGTTGACGCATATTCAGTTCATGCAAACTGCAAGTCCATAAGGGCCTAGTCAAAGTATCAACTAGGCCTATGATGCATGAGCTCTCACAGAATATGGCCACAATCACGGTCATTTTCTGTCAAGCCTTGGTTATCTAGGCCTATGTCTGGTAATAAAGACAAGACAAGAAAGCTAGAAATTTGCATGGCTGGTTATTGGCTGGTTCAACTTCAAACTTATACTGGGCATGCCAGGCTTGAGACTGAAATTACTGCCACTACTGGACAACTAGATGTCCTAAGTCACATAAAAAATTTTGTCAGGAATAGTGACCAGATAAGTGTCTACCACAGAGGCTGTACGTGCAAAGCGCCCCGATCTCATTTTCTGCACGATCCAGCACGACCGGTTTACCGTGCATAATCAAATACAGTACAAGTACATCTATACACATGATATACGAAATAACACTGAGCTCGACCCAGACATATCCTAGTAATCGTTACATAAAGTTTAACGGAACGACCAAAATAGCAAATTTCAACTACTAGAGATTGTAACTTCGTGTATATTTTTCACTTACACCTTCTTCTTGGTACCCTTTTTTCCTCCTTTAGTCAGTCGTTTATTCTTTCCGACTGCCATGTTTGGGCCGTGGGATGAAAGAGAACGTTTATGTGCGGCGCCCTCTATTGACCACTCGAGACGATTTTAACTTGGCCGGCCGGATCACTAGCACTGATCTCTATAGTCAGCGTGGGCCGGATATGCGCTGCTTGATCGACCGTCGATGATAGCGTGCGATGTAGGCCTACATGTACTTGGTAAGACATACAACTACAGATGTTTTTGCGGCGTATTTAGCCGTTATTTTGAAACTGGATACATTAAAGTAATCAGTGCAACAGTTAGCGTTGATAAAACAATATTAGCAGTCGATCTGTTCAGTGGGAGCCTGTTACGAAAGTGCAGTGATGCACACGCACTGTGCTGAACTAGCCTACACTCTATTACTCGGGCAACGTAGGCCTACACCCGGAGTTTATCACAGTCTTGATCTCACACGATCTGCCAATTGATGCTTAAGTACACTGCACTAGTTATTAAGAGGAGGTGTTATACAGTTATGGTTATACAGTTGGTATCGGTACAATTTCCTAACGATTCTAATATTCTAACGAGTAGGTCTAACAGTGAAAATTGCCGAATAAAATCGCTTCATTAACATCTGGACATGATTGTCCGATCACCCTTGCCCTCAAATCAATCATTTTATTTTGACAACTGATGGGGCTACCTACCCCAAGAAATGGGGGTGGGGGCGAGGGCTACCCTGGTAAAATAACACGAAATAAATGAAATAAACTACATTAGCCTTAAATGACAGTTATGCGAGCTTGGCCGCACTTGTTACTGTGACATACATATACAGATTGCACTGGCAAAACTGTCAGCTTTGAAGTGCATTTGATGGAAATGGAGGAACAAATACAAGTGAATTTATAACATAAAGTAATAACAATTTACTTACATTGTAATGTAATCATGGGAATAAAAAAAAGAGGAAAGCCATGCAAATTTGAATGAAGTTCATCTGTCTGCCAAAAATATTGCCAAAGCAAATCAAGCAACTTTACCTGATACGAAGACCATGAAATTTGTCCCTATTTAAATGTAGGCTGATTAACCCTAACAGTCCTCAGTCCTCCAACAGGTGAAGGATTGAGGACTGTTAGGATTAATCTTTTCATACAGTGCGCCCAGTTTTTGACACTGTCTACAGCTTCATTTGTTGGGATGAAGCTGTCTCTATTTTACTGAGAAATTTTCATGGGGAACACACATCTAAAATGCGAAGGACATTGATCAGTTTCATCAACCATGTTATCGCCCAGATTTTGTTGAATTTGTCCTCAGTGACTTGCCTGCGTTTAGTCTTTCACAATGAAGAGACATCAGATTCCTGTTGAGCTTCCAGCATATGACTATCCACCGCAGTGGGTTCCGCCTGAAGAGGTAGGGAGGCTTTGCTGCCATTCGGACAGTCTCATGACTGGATTTTATCTGGGAGTAAATAAAGAATGATGGGATTTCATGTTAACATGTGAGGCTGAAAAGATAAAGGTGGCCTTGATGTACTGATGATCCGGGTGAAGAGGACGAATTCAAGCTTCATTAAAACAAGTCAGAAATCATCAGTACAATGAGTACATAGGCCTGTTGGAGGCATTTTCTATTTAAGTCATTTTTTTAAATGTGAATTTTCCAGTGGGTTTTAACATGCAAAACCTGATGGCAGTGCAATGTTCTTGATGAATTAAATAATTATTAATGGAAGAAATCTTCTTGGCAAATGAGCAAAAACACTTGATTGACCTTGTTACTTCTCTAAATGAGGCTCAGATCAGATAAAGTGCTGATTTTCTTGCTTCATGTTTCCCCCCCCCAGAGGATTGGGCACGCTGACTACGACAACAACCTGACACAGTTTCTCCTGCGATCTGTGCGCTTCACAAGAAACAGACACACAGGACAGGTACATGCTGCATTAGTTGTCATTGTGTCGTCATATTTGGCGCATTGCACCAACAAGGTCATAAGTAATGAAAAAGTAGAGGTGAAAAATGGCTCAAGCCCATATTGTTCACAGTGCCAGTGTTTCTCTCTGGTTTCAGGTACTTACAATGATATGATACACCCTAACTTTGCCACTGCCCTGACTGTTTTCATAACTCATTTGGGGCATGCCCAACTATGTCAGTAAACCTGGGTATGCCTAAGTTTGGTAATCTAGCATAATTGAACAAAATCGCAAGAACTGGGCTGTAACCAGCTTTTACAGGGTTTGTTAACCCTAACCCTCCTCAATCCTCCAACAGGTGAAGGATTGAGGAGGGTTAGGGTTAATGCACATTTTTAGGTTGTGGTTAGGGTGACTAAATTGCTGTTTTGTGTATAGCTGGCATCACTTCCTTCCACTGATTGAGCTCTCTCCCATCTCCTCCTCTGCTCATTTGGATTGATGGAATCGGTCATTTTCACTTACATTGTTCCTTTTCTGTGCTTTTAATCAACACAATTTCACCACACCTATCATTTGTCCGTGTCCTTTTTCTCACAACGTGCTGCTTTCCAATCAAAGTGGGGCATGCCCCAACAGTGTCGTGGACAAAGTTGGGGCAGTGGACCAAGTTGGGACATAACATAATGTAGAGCACATCATAAGCTGTTGCCCTTTTTTAATTCCAAGTGAAAAGAAAAGCATGGTTTATGTCATGTTTTGTTGATTGGCATATCTTTTATTCTGATGACAGCATGAGGAAACTGCCTAGTTTTGCTTTTGTCTTTGGTTTCATGTTTTGTTTTCCCGATGATAATATTTTAGTATGAAATCAAAACTATATACATCTGTCATGGGTAACCTGACAATATAAACCTCCCCATTTCAGGTCTGTCTAGTTTGGGTTTCAATTTCTTTTTAGAAATAAAAACAGGAGAAGCTGATCTATTTTAAAACTGAAGTTATGTTTGTGAATTTCAGCTTGGTTTCAACATTCGCGGAGGTAAGGAACATCGATGTGGAATCTATGTTTCCAGGGTGAGTATAATTACTGAAGGGTGTACCAATCTTGGGTGTACCAATCTTGGGTGTACCAATCTTGGTCCTGAACATTTTGACATAAACTAGGAATGATTCACATATTGATAGTGTGTTTTGTAGAATTTGCTCAGGATTGGAATTTGTTTGGCTTCTATGAACAAGACATTTCCATTTGTGCTCTTTTAAATTAGCAACAATTATAAGCTACATTCTTGGTCAGAATACATGATATCATCAAAGTATGGTCGTGTTTAGTGTTGAAATTGAATGCACACAGTTTTTGTCTATGCCTCTACTGTAATAGAGTGTTAGTTCAGGAAAGTAATGTTCCAAATAAATATGACCAACTTGGATTTATAAATCAGATCACAGAGTTTCCATTAATAGTAAGTCAAATTGTAAGTTAATTACAAGTCAGTGTACAGGCCATGTCACTTGTCAAGTCACCTTTCAAGTGTTGACGTGACTCTGGATGAATGATCACAGAGGAATGCGTATACATGTGTGTGTCACAGTTTATGCGAGTAATTTGTGATGGCTTGAGTCATGACTTGTTACTGGCATATTACTGGTATGAGATGACTTGTGATTGACTTACGATTGACCTGTGACTGATCTGTGTTTGATTTGTAATGATTTTTCATCACTTTTAACAGACTTCTGACAAGATCATTACAACTCTAATCAGTATATCAGATGTATTCAACTGACTGGTGCATGGTTAGTGCACTACTGACCTTAAGATATGAATCACTGAAAGCAAAGTTTCCCTGAAACTTGATATTTTGGGTATATATTTCAACATGCTTACTTCCTAGGTCATTCCTGAATCCAGTGCTTTCAGAGTAGGCATGAAGCGAGGAGATTTAGTCCTGAGTGTCAACGGCACCGACTTCACAAACATTACCCATGATGAGGTAAAATTGTTGAAATTGTAATAATATGTTTCAAAGAACTGAAATGTGGAGGAAGGGTTGGTCCTTTGGCTCCCAGAAGAAAGAAGGTTGTGACTTCCCCCTTTCATGTACCAGCTGTTCCTCTCAGTTCAGCTAGACCAGGCTTAACTGAGAAGGAGAGCAGAGAGGAACATTCATTCTTTTTGTCTTCTTATAGCCACAAGATACCCATCAGCAGGCCTCAAATTTCCTGATGGTCACGACGGCCATGGCCGATTTGGCCATGGTGCCTTCAAAACGTGATCGTGTTACACAGCCAAGACGGCAGTGCATGTTTTTTCTCTTGGCCGTAGTGCCCTACACGTGCATATCTACTGTCCTTGTTCAGCAAGGTACACGAAAGCGGCATGGAAAGCAACATATACATCCTTCCATGATAGTTCACATTCGACTGGAACATCGCGCCGCGCAAATGCATGGCATGCATGCATATGCAGGGCATATGTGCACTGTGTGTTTGTGGGGATATCGCACACTCAGCCTGCCGCACACCGGCGGCCCAGCCCGACCTGGCCTGCATAAAACAGCGCATGCCCAAGCCAAGTATTTTAATTTACTATGCAATAATGTTGGTCTAAAACTAAGTGCTCATCAACGTGTACGCGTTAACGGTATATCAAGAGCTCCACGTTTTTCATGCACACAGGACAATTACATGGACGTGGCAGTATTTTAACTAACACTGCAATTTAGTGTTTATAGTTTAGTGCTATGTACCGTGCACGATCCCAACTGTACATACACTACATCAATGGGACTACCCTGATTATCACGTTGTGTGCAAAATCGGTCAGTTGATTGGCCTGGCCAGTTTTTGTGGTAGGCCAAATGCCGAGAAAAAAACGACTGCAGTCAAAACGGGCCGAAGCCTTTCAACACTCGGCTGCTGGTTTGACACTAATCACGGATATGTTCTGGTATAATGCGCATCCTACTTTTTCTTAGGCCTGAATGAATAGTGATTTTCATGCAACATCGATATACCTTCGAAAGTACACTTTCAAAAAAACATTGGGATGGTATTAATGCCCGGAACTTTGGTACGCTGATGGCATTTAATGCCCTCACGTTTGGCATTAGTGCCCTTTATTTCAGCCAGTCCACCAATGTCAAATGGCAGTGTCCTAAGAAAAGATGAAATTTTAGGCCTGCATCAGCAGCTGCTGCATGCCATGGCTGTTTAACCCCTTGTAGCCCCCTCCCCATCACTGGACCCTTCAACAGAAGTGTATGTAACTTACTTCCCCCCTTCCATTTTCATTTCTAAAAAGTTCTGCCATCAGTGTGCCAGCTCCTCAAATATATCACTCACAATGAAGGTCATACAACATTTTTTATAATTACCATTTGGGGACAGCAAACACCTTACCATTCTTACTCATTTTGCCCACTGATCAATCCCTGATCTGCCTCCAGATCATACCCTAGGTCCCAGATGGTAAAACTGTCATCAGTTGGCGTGCCTTTCAGTGTGTCATTCTTGTAAAAATAAAAAGGTCTAGTTGAAATCCTCGTGCCTGGTGCCTACAAAACATTCATTCAAACGTTTCGGTTTGTTTATGACAGGCTGTCAAGATACTGAAATCTGTCAAAGAGATTGAGATTAAGCTGAAATACAGCCCTTTTGGTAAGTTTTGTCTTGACATTATTCCTCCTGTATCCCCAATTTTAATTTCATTTTTGCTCATATCTTTTTATCAGTAGCAACATAGTTTTTGTGACCAATACTGTCCAACCTCACAATCATTCCTAGAGTTTGTATGCACTGTGAGGAAAGATTTCTTTTCATGAACAAAAAATAGTCATGAATCCTGTCACCGCTGCTGGATTTGGGACTGTTAAGTGTTAATTCTGCTGAGAAAATGTTTTATTCAGTGACTTTTGATGGACCATTGCTTGTTTTTTTTTTTCGTATGAAGAATTCAGTTTAAAACTTCTCAGAATGCCACACCCTAAAAAAGAAACATGCCCACGTGAAATTTGGGGCAACTCCCCTTAATTTGATAGGTAATCATTCTTGATAAATTCTGTGTTGTCTTTCTTTGTAATCGTAGGCTACAATAAAACATATGAGAGAGTGGAGAGCCCTCAGCATCATCCTTACAATGAAAGGTGATTCCAATGCCTGCCAGATGGTGAAATACTCCTTGAACGCAAACTTGAAATACATAAGGGGTTACTCAACGCTTTTCTTCAACGCTCATTGTTCTTTATTGATGAATTTTTAACTTAACAGGCAAATATTGCTCATTTCCTAGCATTTCCTAGTGTTTGAATTTTGTAGTAAGCCGGTGTCTACTAATGTGGTGTTTGGTATGGTAGTAGGTTTATCACTGGAACATCTGAATAAGGTGTACAGATCCAGAGAAATGATACACATATAACATATTTGTATGAATTGTTTCATACCCTGCATGACCTTGTACTGTCTGACACTACATTAGAAGTTTTGTACCCTGTAGTGATTCGTGACTTTGTGTAAGTACAACTTTCTTAACCACTTGTTGATGGTTTTTTCCATGACGAACTTGTCCCATGCACACTCTTATTTGTGGTCTCAAATGCCACAACCAGAGTCCTTTATGATGTTGAATTTTACAGATGCTGATCTGTGGTGGTCATTTGTTCAATATGTTTGCGACATTTCTAACTGCATCATAAGAAACCTTAAGACAAAAGCGATATTTTACACAGTGACCCTCAATGGCCCACAGCAGTTTGAGGGCTCCTCACATGTTAAACCTTCATGGACTCGTTTGAGTCCGTATGTGTGTGTGCACACTCAATGAGGATCACTCCAGTGTGGGAACGAGTGTAGATGTCACGACACTACATACAGAATTCCACAGAATGCACTTGTAAAATATCCTCCATGTTACAACTTGGGAAATCCCTGCGTGTTTATCATCTCCAGATCACTGAACAGATCTAGACTCTTTATTACAAACTTCTCACCCAGACAAGCTGTCGTGAGTGAATCAAGGGCATTATATAACAACACTATGAAATTGTTTGCCAAGAAATGTCCATTTTTGCTCACAGTTTGTCCCACAAACTAAAAAAAGTGAAGGATGTTTAGTCTGCCATTTTGAATGTCCATTTAAGTTGATAAAAGCTGTATATTCAGGAAAATATTGCCACCAACTTCATGCACTTATGTGTGCATGGACAATTCACAGTTTCTGGCATAATTTTCACTCTCAAAAAGTGACATAGACTCGACAGTTTCTCAATTCCCAAGGCTTTTTTTCACTTCAACACTAGGTTTACTTCAATACAGTGGTCTTCAAATTGCATGCCGGCAGAATACTGGTGTGCTAATTGGTAAAAACTCAACTCTTAACATTATGTTTCAGTGTGCGATGTGCATACCTTCATGTCAGTTTGTGAAGCCATTGCATGGTTTGCACAAATTGTACCCAAACAGCACCTGCACGATTGTTTATGTAAATGGTGACAATACCACTGCAGAGTAATTTTATGATTATGAATAACTGAAATTGGTAAAGAACTGTCAGTTCAATGCAGGCATGGGTGGCTTGTTTTTATGCAACATGAAAGTAGTTTTGTTCTAAAATCTGCTTAGAAAGGCAAGCGTAATTAATGTGTGGAAGCAATTTGAATTTAGAAGTACACTTGTTTTATGCAATGTACAAGCAGTTCTGTTCTAAAATCCACTTAACAGAGAAGCAAGTGTGATGTTTGGTGGCAATTTGAGTTTAGTTTCTATGAGTCTGTTTCATTTCTGTCTTGTGTCAGTTCTGTAGCTTGGCCCTTATCTGAACTATAGGCCTACCTACATTACAGGTGCAAGCCAGGCTGAAAGTGAACAGGTGTTTTTCTCCGTACAGTACTTAGTGCATTACTTGTTTTTACCTTGACCTTAGCCTTTATGCTGTGTATTCGTATCTAAAAGTTTGTCAGTAAGTGCTGAAAAGTTTCTACTTAGCAATGTATTCAGTCTTTCACCATTTATAATGGCCCTTTTGATTGTGTGTGTTTATTAAATTAATGGAACAGTAGGGATGTTTTGGGAGAATACTAATTTTAATATTCCTCTCTCCAATATTCTATAATTGTTTTGTACTCAAAGTAAAGTCTTTCTGCCAACGAGAAAAAAGTTGTATTCTTTTGTTACTATTGACAAGCTGCCAAAAATTTTAAGAATTTTTTTTACGAGGGAAAATGTACTTTAATTTCACTTCAAAAATGCAAAGCATATGCAGTGAATACAGACATGTTACTTTAAGCCTGCTTTTTTTTCCTTATAGTTTTAGTTTGGTTTTCTCAACTGAGCACTGTAATTTAAATTGTACACCCTAAAAGTTTATCATCATTGGTTTGAATAATTTTGAAGTCCATCTTTGGTACAACTCTCATGGTTTGTGTACTTAGATCTATAGACTAATGCGAAGAGATGCCCAAACTAAAGTGGCACAGCTGTCACTCACAAATTCTTAAGCTTTACACGGGTGGGTACTTGTGGCAATGAGCCCATGAGCGTAACACCACCACAGTAATTCTGGTTGTCAACTTACACTACAGCAACTGGGCAAAAGCCACTGAAAAAGTAAATTCACAGCAAAATCCCAGTATTACAATAGGGCAGTAATTCCAAGAGTGGTGAGGATACTGGAAATGTCAATATGAAACGCTAATCCAAATGGTAAACCATAGTAGCTCTATGGGTAAACCAAGTGCAATTGGAACCAGGGTTTCTATAGATGACAGGCAAAGAAAGTTCCGCTCCCACAAATTGAACTCTCTAAAACTTAACATAAGAACATGAGAACCCTTTGGTATGACAGCTTCCGCTTGGGATGTACTTAGTTGGCGGTGTAGTGTCACTTGTAAATACTGGAAAACTCTGAAAGCTCAATGCATATGTTTCAGTGCGAGTCACAAAAAGGAGAAAAAGGTCTCGACAATATTTCACACTTTGTAGGAGGCTTAAGATTTGCCCCCCCCCCAAAAAAAAGATCCCAGTGCATAATGCAGTTAGCTAAAAAGGTACTGAGTGTATTGTTGTGTTGAATTGCTGCATGAACAAATTAAGTAGACAGATTATTTCAATGCCAGGTAGCACATTTAGTGGCACAAAGCCTTGTGGAGTATACAAAAAGGAGTTGTAGCCAAGGTCGAAGATACCTACAGTCCAAATGTTGTTGTATTTACACAGCAGTGATGAATTCCTGTGATTCAAGTAAAGCTGGACCTAATTGCCAAGGGGACCTAAAAACAGAAACTGCCTATGAATAACGTATGCAGTTAACACGTCAGTGATGTGAAGTTGGGCACTTGTTCTAAATGCCAGCTTAGGTGGTGATCTTGGCTGCGAGTGTACAAGCAGCCCAAGAGCCCCCCCCCTTCACCATGTCCCCTTGGGGAAGCAACTGAAATCAGGATTAGAGCTGACAATATTTTTTTTATCCTACTCAAAGACACTGAATTACACTTGACCTGTGGTTACCATTTCCACTGTTAAACTCAATGGTGTGGTTAAGCATTTGTGAGTTAATCTGAAATAAACATTATTTTTGTACACAAAATGCTTGTTCATTTCAATTATTTGACATCAGTGGCTGCTAAAGACATAAGTTGGATAATATGTATTATCTTCTAGGTATCATCCGTGGGATCTCCATATAAAAGCCTACAGTAAGATGATTTTGATGTCAGCAAATACACGTAGATAACAAATTATCAGCATTTAAGTGCCTGCCCCTGGGATGTGACACAAGTGGACAGGAAATTCTTTTGTCGCATCCATGTTTTTCTTTTTTCTAACAATGGGTTGCATGAAGTGCTCTCTATGAAGCACTGAGGTTGGATGCAGTCGATCAAGAACAATGAATTGAGGCGGTTTAGTCTATAACTGTATCAACTTTGACCAGGAAAACTACAACCGCTGTTTGCTTCCCACTCAGAGAACAGGTTAAAGGAATGGAGAGAACTGACGAAAGGGGGCAGGTTCTTGATGGAGGAACTGTGGGATTGTTACAATGGCACATGTGCCATCAGTGATAGGGGTTCTGTCAAGATTTACACATCCTGCTCATGCTTTTTGCTGGGGAGGGTGTAATGAGAAAGAACGTCTGAAGATACTCACCAAATGAGATTGGGAGAAAACCAAACAGGTATTTGTTCTATGAGTGGGGGCACATTGGGTAAGACTATTACTCAGCTGAAAAAGATTGTGGTATAGGACATTATAAAACATCTTGGTATTAAGCCATTATCACAAGCAGAAGGGACACACGAAGACAGCTGTTGCCACAGCAATGACAGCAAGACAATGGACTAAAAAAAATAACAGGCATGTATGACTGTATGATCCCATTTGGCTATTTGGGAGTGTAAAACGTGACATGCATATTGTGGGCTGTAAATGGGAAAAAATGTCACAAATGCAGAAGAAAACAAGGGTAAGAGATAAATTGCTGAGGTGTTTTGGACAAATGCACCTTGCACACAGGCAGTCCTCCCACCCACACATTCGCTAGTGGCTGTCATCATTGATAATTCATTTGTTATTCCCTCCTGCATCTTAATGGAAATCTTACTGTTTTTCATACTTTGTCTTCTGTTTTTGACTTCCAACTTGTTTTTGTTCCCCACTATTCAAATGTCAACGGTGCTGGGTGTTTTGCCTAGAAGGATCTGCTTGCCATTTATCTTTGTAGCATCTAAGTGTTGTTCTAAATCAAGTTGTACTTTGCTCCCACAATTTCTTTAGTGATTATAATTCTTGTCTGTATACTGATTATCATTTCGTTCTTCAGCAATTTTAATATTTTTAAGCTTTGTTGATCAGAACAAAGGTTCACATGGAATAAACATCAAATTTATCCAGTTTGTCAACTTCAATGTGGATGATTCTGAAATTTATAATTGGTCTAGAGACATAAAAAAAATGCTTGTACCCCTATCTGCAAGGCATATTACATAACTACTAATGAAATGCAAAACAAACGAAGAGCTTCCAGTACTGGGAGCGTGGCAATCGCAATTAATATCTGATTGAAAGTTAACCCCCTTGCCAGGGAACAGCTGGCCATGCGTATCATTTTACAATTCTTTAGCCAGCTCAAATCAATTATGCAAATGAGGTAACCCAGGCCATTACCCATAAACTGTGAACCTATTGATTCTGTTCTCCGGTTTAGATTGGTGTGTTTCTACGGTAAACACTGTTATTCTGTGACAGTTGCTGAAAGAGAAAGGACTCAAGGTGGCAAATGGTTTGTACCTGGTGTGACACCCTTCAATGGAATGGTTTTCAAGGACTCTTTTCAAGGAAGGGGGATTCTTAGTTGAATCAATGTAGCAAAACATATACTTTGACATATTTTTATGCTGTTGATAAGCATAATACTTTAAAATGGCCAGTACACCGGCTTGGAGATTAGTGAGACAAAAAAAAATTGAGATCCTGTACTATAATGTAAACTGACCTTGGTGCTTTCACACTTCCCCTTAAAGGAGATATAATTTAAAAGACAATATCATATTATTTTCTCAGAGTTATTTTTCTCATGTCACTTGAAACCACATAACACTGCAGGAACAGAAACTACACAAAAACAAACAAACATGTCCAATGACATCATCAAGGAAAACTGTCAATCAAAGCATGAAACCATGTGCCACAGTCAGAGCTGGAGGTCCATCTGTCACACATGGGACACAGAATACACAAGTCTAAACAAATACACACCTATAAAGCATTATAAAGGTTTGTAGTCTTCAGACAGGAAACAAACAGCCACACTCAGGGTGACAGAGCATAAATACCAGTCATCCTCTCAAGGAGGTTATGAACTCTCTATATACAAAAATAACTCATCCGGAACACAGTGTTAACGTCCCAATGTGGCAACCATGCCTCCCCAAAATAGCAACAACTCACAAATTGAAAACAAGGGAGCTGCATGGAGGTGCGAATGTGACGTCATCTGCAGAGCAGGGGAATGCATAGATGACGTACGTACATGCACAACTGATGACGGAAACACCACACTGAGTGTTACATATAGTCATCAATGATGCTACCGGTATACAGAAAAACAGAATGAGGGAGGTTAGGGTGTAAGGTTGCTATACTGGTAGCCTCCGGGGTAAACAGAGTAAGTCAGGATTCACAAAAACCTACCTGTGCCTTTTTCTAGAAACTTTAAAATAAATAGCAGTTTCGTAACATGTTTCTTTAGTACTTTTTTGATTTTTAAAGCATTTCCTGAAGAACAACAATGAAAATCAAATGCATGACATTTAAAAACTCCTAGTCACACAACAAACAAAAATACATATGAAATGTTTGTTCAACGAAATGCTTTTAAAAAGTATTGAGAGTCACTACATGAGGTTTTTGCAAAAATTGATAAATTTTATTTTTTTTCTTTCATCATTTTATACAAAGTTCAACAGTTTGCAGAATATATGAGGAAAAATTGAATTTGCATAATAGAAAATGGGAAAGAAATTAACAGTGAACCATGATGAACCATCTCTCAATGAACTGAATGCTTATAATTATAATTATTGCTTAATTTGGGTGCAGAATACACATTTGCTTTGATCTGAATAACTCAGTACCATCCTAAAGTGTTGCACACAAATTACTTTGTTACAAGTGAGGTTATATAGATGCAACAGAAACATAATTTTTGTAGGTTATTTTTTTGGGGGGGGATACTTCTCTCAGGCACTTGAATTAGCATTTTAACTTTTCTTGAATACTGATGGTAAAAATGTCATCTTTTGTGATTGTTTTTTAATGATAAGGAACCATTTCCAAACAATATCCTGTGCCCTGTGCAATCACCTGGCACAAGGCCATCCCAGAATACATTATGTGTAACCTTGTACAGCAAAACATGGTTGTCACGGCAACATGCACACTGAAGGTGTAACGCTCAACCAAACTACTTGGAATAATTTGAGTCTATCAAAGTCCATCATGGTTCACTCTTTACAAAATTACAACGATACCTTGCTCATAAATATCACATACTATCTACACTTCTTGCCACATGTACAGTATCTATTTGTATGAGAATCAAGGCCTTGTGCATATCATTGCATACAGAAGGCACAGAAACGATATCGTACTGCAACAAACATGTAAATCCAGGCAGATTGAAATGCTAGTTATTACATGTATGGCAGATGGCGTATTCAAAGCGTAGTTACAATAGACAACAGTTTTACCAGATGTGATAGCATCGCAGGAGTAAGGAAAACGATGCTTAAATTGTAAAGCATATACGGTGGAAATTATTCTACTTTAAATACTAATGCTAGGGCGTGAAATAATGAATAAAAGGGCACCCATCCCATGAACAATTTAAGATAAAGTTTAGCTTAGACAGTAGACCGTGTGTTTTCTGATAAGCTTACCACCTGGAAATTCATACTTCAATACCACAGAAAGTACTTGATAAGGAAGAGACACGGAAGAAAATACTCAAATTATGCAGGCTCTTAACAATTAATATATGACCCGCTCTGCAAAAAAGGGTAATAAGTCCCGCAATTCCAAAATATGTTATGGCCTGTTCTATTTGGAGAGGGCAAAATGTCTTCAAAAATGTGATTTTGTGTTTTTTCCTCTATCAGCTTGTTTAACATTTATGTTTCCAGAATTTGTGACAACAAACATGGATACTGATGAATAAAGATGAAAATTGATTATTCAGTAGGAAATCCTACATAGCATTGTGTTTCCAAGTGCTACACTTTCTGAGCTTTTTCTCAAAAAGTGCTTTTATTGAATCTGAATATACAAATGTCAAAACATCTCTTGAACGCAGTGCACTACAGGGGTCATTCATGTATCAAATTGTAGCTTTTGATGTACTCAATCCAGCCATATCAAAAACTGATAACCTGAACCTGGCGATTTATTACCCATTTTCCTAGAGCTGGTCACATGTCAATAATATAGGAGGGGTCAGATTAAAAAAAAACACACTGTTAAGTTTCAGATGTCAAACTGAATTATCTGAATGAAAAAGATGATTTTCTCTTGCAAAGTCATTAGCGTACTGTATTACTCTATTTTAAGTATAGCATAAAAGTATATATGATAACTGGATTCTGTAGTGCAGCCTTGCATGCCAAACATGTTCATAAAATTATCCAAACATGTTTTAGCAGCCATCCCTTCATCTGACATGGCTGAGTGCTCATGGCAGTTCATTACTGCCTCGATCAGTCCTGGCACACTGATGACTGGATATGCACTACCAAGCACTCAGCTCAAGTTTTATATTAGCTAATGTAACTGATCTGGATGTGAAGGCAAATATTGCACTTTCATTAGTGATACCACTTAATTTGTCTTGATACTATCCGGGTGTGACTGCCTTGTAAGTCATCTCCCTCGTAAATGACATTGTGAGTAGGTTTGTCTAATGGTGTTGAGACAATTTCACAGCTAAACACATGTCAAGTTGTGTCAGCACATAGCTATGTGCATGTTTTGTACAACAGAATAATTCACTTGACAATGATTCATTAAAAAACAGGAATTACGCGCCTCAAACTAGAGTTAAAATCATTCACGTGCTATTTTCTGAACTGAAGGAGGACTTGTCAAAAATTTCAATGAACAGAGTAGTGAAACACACCCCAAACAAGGGGAAAGCCACAGTTTGGTGACTTTTCCTCTTCATGAAAACAGAACACCAACTGATCACTGGCACAGCAGCCATTTTGGAGGCACCTTCTTTGATAGGAAAATCCTCCAAGACGGTTGACAATGCAACGGTTCTAATAACAGAAGTATAAAACCAATCATTCATACCAAGCAAGCTGCATTTGAACAACATGCATTCAGTTAAAAATAAGTGATAAGTAGGAAGAGAAAATTACCTTATGGAAATAAATGTTTTGGTCCCTCAAATACTCTAAAAATCACAACCTTACTCTGAACGGTAACCTCACAAATTTCCTTATGTGATTATATACATCTTGAGGTTAACGTGGTGAAATTTCAATCATGTTGAAAGCCTTGAAACCTATTAATGCAAAAAAAAAATAATAAACAAAATTAAAAGTTAGTTTACTAACGAACCGTAGTGTTAGTGCTGAATGTAAATAACCATCTTGGAATGGCTTCTGGAATGTGTACTTTTTTTTACAAAGTTAACAACAAAAACAATATTCTGAACAAACAGGTTTATTTTGTCAAGCAGCAGCCCAAAAGAAAAAATTGCTAATGTCTCATGTACTGGTGTTTGCAGGCCCACTGTAATCTTACGTATTCAAACTTTTACAGGTGGAATCATCCACACGGCCTCAAATATTTCGCCTGTCTCAATCACGTGCAATTCAAACTTCCCAAGTTTATCAATTCTCTGATTAGCTGCACATGTACATGATCACTCTGCAATAAAAAAAGGCAGATGATGAGCAGAATTGTTGTATGTCAAGTTCAGTAACAATCCTTTAGTTGAACTCGCATTCAAATAGTGAATTAAATTCGTGCCTAATGTGTGACGTCACACAGCAGTAATATTTTGTTGTATGTGATGCAACTGTATCATTTTCTCAAGAGAATATTATATATACCTTGTGGATTAAATCGAAATGAAATCCACCCAAGTTGCTTTTCAACTTTCCATAATGCCTTACACGAATATGCACATATGTATCCCTGTCACAGAGTTATTCATATAAATACAGCAAAATCCAATTCCGACAGTCAATCTTGGTGTTTTTTTTTTTTTAACAAACTTACTACGGTGTGACCATCACTTTATTAAACCTACACTGAAATCCTCTAGGAACCATCTTCAGCTAATGATAATTGAACTGACATACAAAATGGTCTTCCCACCCACCTGCTCCTTTCCTCCAACATCCAGTGCCTAGTTCATGTACAATCTATGTTCATATTTTAAGTACATGTACAAACAAGGTCTTTTATGTATTACGTGTTATGTATATCATCAGTGTGTCTCTTCATGAAACGTGACGATACATGACTGCCACAGAGAGCTGGACTCGATTGATTTGGGAATGTTCAAAGCAAGAACTGTTCAGGACGTTAATCTAATAAATAAGTATGAAAATAAAAATTACATGTACTGGTACTTGCAGGTACTGCATGATGGTCCAACGTTCATCTTGTATGAATTTGATCCAACACACTTAATACCACTCTCAAGAACCCACGCTTGAAAACACTTTTTGCACAAAATAAATGGTTTCCATATTCATTATTGCTTGGTCTGTTCACCTTTCACAATCCTGTTTATCATGATACTGTACATTTGGCTCAAGGACACTTGAACTTGTGTTCCAATCAAATGACCTATATACATCTTTATAGACCTACCTTGATAATTCAAGGTAACAGGTTAATGAGTAATTTTGATGATTTCCCAAGGTATTCTGGGGAGATATTGAAAGCCACAAACACGATACATCTACATTTACTTTCATGGAGTTTATTTTAAATTCTTAGTCAGCATGACCATGACTGCCTGAGAGTTCTGAACTTTTTTCAACAAAAGAAAACATACTGTTCATGACAAGTTCTGAATCCAACATTCATCCCTTTTCGATGTTCACGACAAGTTCTAAATCCAACATTCATCCCATTTCAACAGGTTCCCACAATCTTGAATTGAAATGCAGCGTCTAAAGCTTCTCAGGCGTCCTGTACCAGTTCAGAAGTCTGTCACAGATTTCCTTTGTCCAAAGCTACGCACTGTACACATACCCCTACGCCAGCAGGTGAATTGAATGAGGTATCCTATTACAGATGAGGAACGTTTTCAAAGGAAAGGTTCCAATTTAAGTAGTGTGATTGAGTTTTCAGAGTACACAAATGAACAGAAAATCCAGGCTGTACTGAGACACAAAATGGCATGCGCCGTAGCCCCTCAACAAATTTGTGGTTTCAGGTTATGCCTTGATGCTATGCCTGAACCCCTGAAAGGAACTTACCAAAATACTCTCCATCTTTTGTGTACTTTCAATGAAGCATTTTCACATGTTTCGCACAAAAATGTCTAGACTCTTCTTGGTCAAGTTTGGTCCAACTACTAAACGGATGAACACCACATCTTGTGCAATATCACTGTGGATGACGTAAAGCTATTTCAAGGTTCTAAAAAAAAGCCAGAGCTACACATAAATCCACAGTTTCCAAAAAAGTTGATTCCTTTCTTATCCTAGAATTTTCAATCATCCAACATATAAAGGAAATGTTGCAATACATGTATGTCACGTGCTAAAACATATCACACGTACACATGAATGCATTCCCGAGTTCAAGAATTATAGTAAAATAGTGTATGTATCCATTGGGACTGGTGCTTAAGGCACTACATCATATACTTGTAACTGGCCAGTAACCATTTTTCTGAAATGGTTACGTGGATAACAATAAACTGCAATCCGCTCCGTGTGGAACAAAAGAGGGCATGTTTTTTGGTACTCACTGCATAGGCCCTCCATGAGGTGCGCAAGTCTATGCACATTTGACCCAGAGCACGCTGAGTACGTGTAACTAATTTATTCCGGCATGTATGGTCTTTGTGTACACGCAGAATGCCTGCAAGAACCTGCTTGTAACCACCTGTCTTTCTTTTTGCCAATTGGGGGTGCACTTCTGCTCAAGGCGGATACTTTTGAGAGCACCAACTTAATTGGTCAGATTCCTGTACACCTACGCGTACCCTCTATACAAGCCTAAACAAGAACGCTGGCTAACTTCATGCGCACACTGGCGATGGTACTGTGAACATGTGACCTTGCAACAAAGGTAAGTACAGTTGTCCTTGTGTATATACATAGTGGCTATCGGTTTGCATTTGGGGGGTCAATGCGGAGTACCAGTGACAGTTAGGTTTAGCCAACAGACTTGAAATGAAAAAATCTCGACCGGTAAGGCCCTTAAGCATTCTGCTCATCAAGTAGCTTGGCTAATACATCTATGAGCATCATGTGTCTTAAGCCAACATCTCCTTTCATCCCACTTGATATTCTAGGCACGGGCCTGGCTACACATAAAATACAAGCTACTGACAACTACACATAATTTACTCATTATAAATTTCCACATAGCTACTGATTGGAAGCCTTATTAATTGGCAATTTAAAATTAATTAATTCATTCATTACTTCTCTCAGAATTCCTCTGCAACAGGACGTTAAGTTACCTTTTAAGTATAAAAATACCCCACTAAATTGAAGACACTCGCTCCCCTTTTTTGGTTCAAATTTGGATTGCCTGGGATCAGTAAAAAGCTTCTCTGTGACAGCATCAAAAGTCTCCATCTTGCAAATCATCATCTTTAAAGTCCTCCTCTTTGAGGTCACTCTCATCTAGTGAATTGTCCGAAATGCACTCTTCCTTGCTCAGCAAGTCGTTGGGGTCCAGGGGAGGCAGGGACATCTGTTCTGGGTAGAGCCAGGGCTTGTACCGGGGATCATGTTTGCTCTTCCACTTGGGGTAGTCTCGACAAGCCTGGTGAAGTCTATCAATAACCTGCAAGTTAATACGTGACCAGAATATTTAAACAGTCAAGCGCATCCTGATCAAACTGTCTTACTGACATAGATTGTGTCAACTGAACGTGTTGTGTACACTTGACCACTGAGCACAGAAACCAAAAATAATTCATGGAGGTGGGTAAATGTACTCGAACAAACTTACAAAGTCTTGACAACAAACAACAATATATATTGTATCTCATCAAAACAGAACATACGGTACAGGAACTGCATGGTCCCTTTTGAGGATGCAATCAGGATCAATTGACCAGTGAAGGGTTCTGAACTCCTTGGAGAGTAACGGCCAGTTATTGTGATAGCTGGTGTGATTGGTAGATATGCACTATTTCTCTATTGCACTGCACTTAGTCAGTCCTGGACAAAATCTCTGACTTAACTTCTCTTATCACAACAATCTTCTGCAACAATGAAAACGAATCAGAATAAAAAATGACCAACTGATTGTGACAGGACTAGCAGGTGCAGTACAACACGAGCTGACAGCACAGCATGATCAAGCCATTACACAGACCATCGATCACACCAACATGAACACTCCCACCAGCTCAAATACGTGTAACATAATGCGTGTGCGTTCCGGTTTGCTCACATGACTGGTGGAACAACTTTTCATCTGAATGAGCATAATTAAGTCTATCCTTTACCCAGGCATTAGTATTCTAGTGCATACCATACTTTTCTCTTTGTTATAGAGAGAGCACTTGTCTAAGGCAACTATTGCAACACCTGCAGTATACCTTGAGATTTCATTGAATGTACAACACAGGTGTAAAAAGGCACATTCAGGCTTGACAAGAACAGATCCACTGATAAGACTTGAAGGTTTTCATGGTGAAAGAGAACTACATGTATATGCGTAAAACGACTGCGGTTACACCATGGATCAATCTCTTTCTTGAGTATGTGTGGTTCTGAGAAGAGCCGGGGAACCACACATGCTCAAGAAAGAGATTCATCCATGGTGTAACCGCAATCGTTTCACTCAAACAGATCCACTGCAAATGATTGTTAAAATGTACCTACCTTTGGAGCCAAAATGTGAGCTAATTTATTGATAGCCCATGTTGGGATAGAACCTGACAAAAACAACAAAATGAAAAGAACAAATCAATTTTTCATCCTCTACATGCCACAGACGCACACTGCATTCAACCAGTTTCTAACATTCTGACACTTGTTTGGCTCTGCTTCAGGAACTGATGTACATAATTTGGCATCTGAAATCACTGCAACTTGCACAGAGCAACTGCCTTAGTACTTTTTCCTCACCGTGAAAGTGGGTTGGACAAAACAGATTGCTTGAAACTTGAGAGAGGAAGAAGGGAGAGTCAAGACTGAGTGGAAAAGCCATTGTGGAGCTAGTGACACGTGTATTTAGTGGCATCAAGACTACACAAACAATCAAATTAGTATAAAATGAAAGCATCTGGCAGTCTTAGTACTAGCAAATAGACAGCATGTAATCACCGACAAAGACTTTCATTAGTATTCATGGGTCAACACTGTCCATGCATTTGCATCACGATGTTCAGTAACTTTAATTAGCATTTTGAAGGTACTGTGAACTTTTCTTTGTGGAGATGTGCCCTTCAACTTTGCAAATTTGCCATATCATTAATTATTCAAGTAATCACAGAGGCTAATACTAATTGAATTGAACGCTAATTTCCAACATATTCTAATAGAAGCAGTGATCACTCCAACAACCAACAAATAATGAAACAAGAACCGCTGCATTCATGATCGTACCTTTGGGATCTGATTTTGTTACATAGGTTATCTCGCAGGCATTGGCTCCTCTTGGTCGTACAAGGTAGCCAGTCAGATATGAGTAACCCCTGATGACGCCTTTCTTGGGTGGTATTTTCTGAAAGTACCAACAATTCTTGTTGAGAATTATACTGATATTGCCATGTACGATGTATAAGTTTTAAATGTCATTCATCACAACCCACATGTGCATGCATGTACAACTGTACACATGTAAATACCACATGTGATACATCAATTAGAAAGCACAATGTTTACAATACACATTTACACTTTGATTTTGATAGATCAAAGTAAATGTAGAATAAACAAATTTACTGAATCATTTTCATTTGAGGCAAATATAAACAAACTAATTTTAAATGGTTTGTTGTATTAACTGGTACTAAATATGAGTTGTGGGTGACAACAGTGTTCTATAGAAATGGTATTATGCACACATGATTTTTCTCAAATATCACAGTCAAAGCACATGTACTGGCATCTAAGATTCTAACCATAAGCATTTCTAAAGGAAGCTTTTACGTATACACCTATACCAACACAGAAAATGAGAATCTGTCAAGAATGCAGAGTATATGGACCATTGAGTTATTGACCTCTCTCATCACCAGAAAGTGGGCATCACACCCACACAGCGTATCCCCCGACCACCCACCCAATTCAATAAATACCCAGTGTACAGTATTCTCCAAAGGTCACAACTCCCTCAATCCTATCAATCAAATTGCAACATATGCCTGCACGACACCTCCACATGCCTTGAAGTTGAAAGCTAAATACATCTACGTGTAGTTCCTAGAATCCCTATTGTCTGTGATGGACAAATTCAATGAACAGTGCTGACCTATAACCTCCCACTCACCAAGCCCAAATCCCACCATTCTCCCACATCACTGCCACATCACAAGGATTTGACAAGGACCAAGAGGGAAATTGCGGATTCTGTTGTGCTTATACAAATTGTACATTATCATTCTGCATACTAAAGAGGTGTAGAGATGGAACACTGGACGTCAAGTGCATTTTATTTACCGTTTATAAAATTGTGCATATGCATACTTGTAAAGTTTGGTCACCCTATTCTTCAGAGTTCTAGATTAGTGCAGTGCAGGTCAAAACTTAACTCAGTAGCACTCTGTACATGTGGCAAAAGTCCAAAGTCCAAAGGTTGGGAATATAAAACATTTGGGGCAACTTTAGTTGCAGACAGTGCACTATGCATTCATTTATTGTAACAACCTACATGTACTGATACATGTATGCTACATGTAGATTCATTCTTTTCCAATGTTAATTTGACACTTTCTCAACTTAGAGAAGATATTCAATGATTACAACTGTAAAGTTACACAACATATATCCCGTATCAGGTGTAAGTAGGCCTACCTCGAAAGACAACATGTCCAATTGCTGCTCTACACACACCTGCCAACAGGACTAAAATATTACATGGAAGGCCAACACTGCTCAAATTGTCTTGGCCAGTCCTCATGACTACACGTTCATTGATGCATAATTATTGTTCTAATTTGGCATGCATAGGAAATAATAGACTTTCAGCAAGGGCACTGGGTCTTTTAGACCAACTCCCATTTGTTCACAGATGAATGCATACTTTCCTGCATTCACCCACACTTCATTAAATGAAGCAGTGGTTGACGGAAAGGTTCCAAGAAGTACACGTTAAAAATGCCACTTTTGTACAACGTCCTCACCAACACACACGTCCTCACCAACACACACGTATTCAGAAATAAAAATGACCACCCCCACAATACCAATAAACGTAAACCATTGACATTTTATCTGATGGAGCAGCTGTGATGCTTTTTTTTAACCAGAGCAATACTCAAACAGTGCATTCTGTTGCCAATAAATTTTAAGGAAAGAGACCCTCAAATTGATAAAATGACTCGCACAATTGTTAATCTTTTAGAAATGGCTTACAAACACCTCAGTTTGGCAAAGGATAAGTGCCATTGTAAAAATTTGATCAAATACAACAACAACAACAACAGAAAAGCTGAACAATTATTACTGCTCCATCTCTTATCGGGATTTGTGCAATGGTCCTTCAATAAATTGCACCCGCTTTCATTACGGCGTATCATGGGTGAGGCCACACGGGCATTTACACACTTGCAATTTGGCATTGGAAATATTGCATTTATGCCATTGACGTGGATTGGTATGAATAATGAGCGACCTGACTGCATGCTCCAACGATGAGATACAGTAGGTGCAGGCATATCGGTTTCACAACAGATTTCATGTCTGAATTAGACAATGATGTTGAGATCCAAAGGTTAAACCAAGGCCATCCTGTAACTTCAAACAAGGTGAAGAGTCCGACATTTGTTGATGTACACGTTGGTTTACTGCCAATGTACGGTATGTTTGATTTCAAGGGTTGGTCAGATTTAGTAACGAACAAAATTTTCACTCAGATCATACCAGGAGTGAATGAGAAAAAAATCAAAACAGACAAACAGCATCATCCTAACAACGAAATAACATTTTTGAATTATTTTTAATTAATCACACATCCAACAGCCTCGATTAATATTGTTGACAAAATAACGTTCATTATCTGTTGCCTAGTATCCGGGTACTGGTACATGTACAGTATATTCCATTTACAATTTAACGACAGTGCCTGATACGGTTAAGTCAATACACATGTACACTGCGTACAGATACATGTACCTAACACTGAACACTGCGCTCATGTGTGCATGTGTACAATAGAACACACAGAGACTTGAAATGTTTACTGGAAAACAAGAATGAGCATTACCTTGTGAAAAATGGAATGATTAAAAATGATGTACTCCATGCCTGTGTCTAACCACGTTCTCTGCATCACAAAGTCTCTGTTCTTCAAGGGTGGCGGACACTTCACTGAATATATATAAGAACAGAAAGAGGAGAGGTATCTTAGTTTAAATGAGAAACTTCACTTTTGTCCATATTTCTGTAGTGGTTTTTGTTAAAAGTTTGAATTGAGCCACTTCAAAACTCAGGTCATTCATAAACTAAAGGTGGCTTTTCCCAGGAGTCAGATTGGAATAGTGATTCTCAACTCACCTTCCAAATGTGTGACACAAGTTTGAATCCCTATAAGATTAAAATGAGGACGGTTTTCAATCACCAGTTTAAATCTACAGGGTCTCCCAAGAACTTCTGGGTTTTTGTTCCCTCTGTAAGTTACTGAAAATACGGTACCTTTGTTTCCTGTTCACAGGGTAATTACAATATTTGGATTAGACACTTTGGTGTTTGTTGTTTCACTTTCAAATTAAGGATCCAAAATATTATTTGGATATTTTTGTCTTTTGAAATTTAATATGTCTGACCCTTGACCATAAAGCCAGTTACAGCCAACACTGCAAACTTGAAATTACTCCAGCAACTGTTTCACTTTCTAATGCTCTTAGAGAGTCTTAGCATTAACAATCAAATTATCAGATTACAAAAAAAGAGAGAAACACTGTCCAAACATTAGCGCAGCTGGGTGATTCCACTTTATGTACAGTAATTCCTTCTACTTTATGTGTTTCAGTTACAGATCATAAGGTACATGTATTTGCTAATTTAATTATCATTACATTATCCCTAACTCCTACGAATGACCCCACAAGGGTTAGGGATAATGAAGAGAGATGAAAAGAGTTTAAACCTTTTTAATTCATTGCTTAGTGTATTGTTGCCAAGGGTACACAACTTCATCTGAAACAATAGTTATTTGCTATTTTGGAAAGCTAGACTTCTTCGCATCATTTGACTTTGAGTACCTCTTGAAACGACTTTGACTAATACAAATAACACTGTTGCTATAGCTCGTGATTCAGGAAAGCTTTTGCATAGCGACCACCATCTCTGGAATGCACTGGTTTCTTTGCGCCCTTCTTATCCATTGAGATAAGTGTATTTTGCAAGGCGTCTCTTATGTAACTAAGGAAAAGCTTGCCAGGAATCACGAGGTATAACAAGTGTTTTTAGCATTCAAATTGTTATGTTCAAGTGAATTTAAAGAACTCACTGTACCAGATTTTATTCAAATTTAACTCACAAATGGCCTATTGGGTTTGCCTGGTGGAATGGTATATTGTACCGGTATCTGTCATCTCAGGAAATCATTCGTACCATAAAAATGCGTTATTTTTAGATTATAAAAGACGGCACCACTGTACCCAGTATTGCTGGTACCACACGTACCTGTGATGAATAAATTTCAACCAGCAGTCTGAGTGAACAACTTTGTGCAGCATACATGTACTTGTCCGATAAAAAAATTATTATCGTATTTCTGATGTGAAACAAAGAGGTGTACTAATTGGTACTGCGGTACAAATAATTTTCATGATTTATTCAGGTGTTGTATGATTTGATTAGCACTTCAAACTGTACAAGGGCAAATGCACATGTACAGTGTACTGGTGTCTCATTAATTTCCCCTGAAACTAATTACATTAACCCTAACACTCCTCAGTCCTCCAACAGGTGAAGGATTGAGGAGTGTAATGGTTATTGGCTTATAATCCTTTGTGAGTGTAATAAGCCTGTTCGATATTCATTTCTTTTATATGGCGTAATCATGAAAAAATATCGGGATATCCGATATTTTTGTGATAACGTCTTTTTATATTCATAAAATAAACATGACTGAAATCACTACTATGTCTTGAGAGCCACGTAAAACCGATGTACATGTATATGTATTATCTCTGTCTTTAGAACTCTAATAATGTTGGAAAGCAAATTTCAATATGGAAGTTGTGGATCACATCAGATAATATCAGATCAGATCAGATATCATATCATATCATATCATATCATATCATATCATATCATATCATATCATATCATATCATATCATATCATATCATATCATATCATATATCATATATCATGTCATATCATATATCATGTCATATCATATCATATCATATCTCCTATCATGGCACCGTATGGAAAAAGCCATGTCCACGCATATAATAGCGGTAAAGTTTGCTCTATGAGACAACCCCCAATATGGACAGAATGCATGCGTGTTACTAGAGGGGTTTCTAAGTATTGATGCCCTCACCTCATTTCTAAGTCGGCATTTCTACCGGTAAGTCGTTATTCATTTCTCATAAGTTAGCAAGTTTCACTCGGTCCATTTTCTACAAGACCACAAAAAATCCTTCATGTAAGTCGGCATCGGTTTTCTTGGCCATGGTAGCCAAGAAGCATTAAGTGAAAAGCCCCACATTGCTTGAATGATGTCAGGTGGTTGAGCACATCAATACCAGAGACCCCCCTAGTGCTACATGCATGTGCTCTGTCCATTTTGGGGGTCGCCTTATTGAACGAACTTAACCACTGCTCACATACGTGAACTAGTCATGACTAGTTCGTGTGACTATCTAAAGTCCCAAGCAAGAGAGCTGACTTAGCCAGAGTTTACTGTGCAATACATTACATGTGAGCACGGTCTGTTGACCCGTGCAGCTGCAGGGGGCCAACAGTGACTTTGTGGTTTGAGGTTTTCAGTGGAGTATTCGTGTGGCCCAAATGCAGTAATGCAGGGCTCAACACGTGGTGCATTGACTTTCCTACGTGCATGTACAGTACATCGTTCAGAGCTTACCGGTATCGTGACTAGTTTTTGGCATATCAATTTACACAATATCCCGATACGAGTTTTTACAAATGATACGATATCAACATCACGCTGAAATATCGTGAAATATCGTCATATCGAACAGGCTTAGAGTGTATATGTACCTCAATGATAGATAAGTATTGCTGCAGGTGGCAATGAAGTTCACTGAAATTGTTACATTTCCCAAAGTGGCTACCGAGTGGCTTCCATTTTTAGACTCATTATTAATAATTAATGCTGCAGCTGTACATTGGCTTGTCACCAAAGTATCAAGACCAACACAGCCAACATTGCACACAAGAGGAAATGAAAGCAATTCCTTAGCAGTAAGAGTTAACGACACTTACTTTGATAATAACTGATGTCATTGGTCCAGTTGACTTTGCACAATTCAAAACCTTCGACCATGGTGCGGTCCCACTTTTTCCTGTACACGGCATCATGGAGCACATCGTACGCTGTTGCTGCACTCACATCGTGCAGTGTTTTGTAAACCTGCCACAGAGGAAATTACAATGTGAGAAAAGAAAACTGCAACAGAGTTGCTGTATACTGCTAACTTTGAAATCTATTAAGATCCAACAGGAGAAAATCTTGTGTTGAACTACATGTATGTTGATCTGAGCAATAAACATATTTCATTCTAGCTCTTAATTTCTATGCTCACACAACGGGATTCACATAAATTATCTTCTAAATACAGCTTGAAGCAAAAAATGAAATGACCGGAAGGTAGGATAGAACTGTAAAGCCGTGTTTGAAGTTTGAACTGGACTTTTTTGGCCAAACTTACCAAGACGATGATTACTTTTCCCATTTTAAGTCCAGTGTGGACATCGCAAGAAATTATCCTCTCGGTTACTTTTACTGAGCCACTTGGTCATTTTACCAGCAAACTTCTGCAAAATTTTCCTGTATTGAAAGTTCAAGTGCGGACAGTGATCATATTTGACCATTTTTTTATTTGACCACTGGCTCAGTAAAACTCACAGGAAAAAAGTCCAGTGCAAACATGGCTTAAGAAAAATTTTGTATAACTGAGCTAAAAATACATCTACACTGTAAATATTTCTCAAGCAACAAGGACTACAATGCATATACATATGTATGCACCTTATACCAGTACCTGTATGTTTATCAATTGAAACAATCACAACACATGCACTTGCTTAACAAAGCGATAAATTATGTAAATACATGTACATGTAGATGAGGTTCTGCATGCCCAACTAATGTACCAGGTACATGTCCATATTCATGTACATTGTCTAAACTTCATACACATGAATTTACTGCAGTTGCTAAAGTTTAGCCAATCTACAATACTTTCCACGTCCATGTACATATCAGGAAGGTGGGATGATGTGGGATTCCGCTGTTTAATATTTAATTTTTATGTCCTCATCAAGGCTTACAGACTATGTCAATAGAAACCATCAATAGCTAGCAGCCAGGCACCACTAGTTACTTCAGACAAAGGAAGTGAACTAAGCTTTAAAATCCATAATCTGTCTGTGAAAGGCTAAAAGCTCTTCTGATATATGCGTTAATGCACATCACACCAGCATGAAGGTACCGGTATCAGGCATGATGTAGTATCTAATTATACTGCACTATGCATGTACATGAAAACTGTACAGTTGCACATGCACATGTGTACATGTGTTTGAACATTTCACAAAATCTTAAATTCAGTGGATACAGTACATGTGTGTCAGAATTTATCAAAACATTCAAAACAAAATATGTAAACATTAGTATTAGAGCCAAACTTGTGAAAAGGGAAAAAAGACATTTCCAAAAAGGAAAGTACAGGACGCTCCTAGGGCCTGCAATGGAATTTCAGAGAATGAGTGTAAAAAAAGGGACTGATTCTGTATTTGCACAGCAATATGCCAACACAATAAAGTTCATGAACTTGACTGAGAGTAAGACTGAATAGTCATGGTTATAATGATCTGTGTTGATCTTTGGGAGAATGAAAGTGTGCCTTTCAGGGCACACTTTCATACTGGCCCCCTGCTGCTGCAAAAGGTGATTGTGGCTTCAACCACATAAATTTCTTTTTAAAAATTTCATTATTTTATTTTAAAAAATGGCTTTTTCTGCTTTACATGTACAAGTAACTTCAACTACTGTCCAAAGACATTGGAAAGAGACTATCCACTTAATATTAACTGCATCTGGCCATTTAAAATTTACAGATCTCTAAACCTCTCTCACCGCTACAGAAAAAGTACATGTATACTGTACAGTACAGTACTTGTACATGTACGAACATGTATCAAACCATTTCAGTTTCTGATGTATCACAAAATGTAACATAAAACTTGTTTTATGATACACGTATCTGAATAATATTTGCAACTACCCCTGGTTTTTTTGGAGAGTTTGGTTCTGCTAGTAGGCCTACATTCCGGATATAATATTAGGAAATCATATCTATAAGATACATGTATTTTATTGCCCTTCATATAGACAACTGATACACAAGTAGCGAATAGTAATAGTTTGAAATCAATTCCGGTGATATTTCTAGTTCATATAACTAAGGTCAGATGTAACAGGGTCACAAAAATGTCACACTTTTGGACCCCTAATTTCTGGAATTACATTGTACCCATGCATCAAATGTTACCTGTTAAACTATTTAAAATGCTTTAATTTTAATAAATCTTGAAATGTTTATGATGTGGGGGAAAAAAACCTAGTGTGGTAGGTTTTTCATACTACTATTTGCCCAGTACATCAAACCCATTTTGTGATCAACTACGTACAGATCTGCAGTTTATGTTTACTAGATTACACCCAGTGGTAATGCACCGTACATGTTCATGTTCACGTATGATGATATTAACCAAAAATAGTTTTTCTCACATATATCACATGTAAATACATGTACAGTACCTTAGTGATAGCTATTGTGAAATGTACATATATGATGACCCTAGGTATAGTACAATAAACTGTGCATATAAGCTGTTACAAGTGTTCATAAAGCACATTTGATTTATCTTTAATCATATACGTATGTGTACAGTTCTGCTGACATAAAAAGTAATGGGGAATTTATGGCTTGTTTAGAATACAAAAAATGTTGAATGCAATCCTTGCATGACATGCACGTACAAATGACCTTTGTCAAAAGCAGAGTGGTAGCTTTCTATGATTTGGTTTTAAGTTCCCACCTGTAGCAAACATGCACAGAATTGAGGGCTTAATCAGAGAAGACAGCTTATACTGAAAATAAAAATCAAATGTAAATTTAGCAATAACTTCAGCAATGTGCAAAACAGTCACAACACTATTGACATTAGGATCACATGCTAAACAATATTCATGAACATACTTCTGTCCCAGTGTCAGTCTGGAAGCAGACCAACCTCGCAATGAGAAAAGAGCTGGACCATACAAGTACATGTACCCACTCTTATCCACAAACTTGAAATTCAGGCTGCATCTGAATCTCTTGTCTGGAGCTAGGTCTAGGTCTTCACTCCATTGGAAATTATCGGTTTCAGACTTATCAGCATATGGAGATGCACAGACAATAGACCTAGCCGTAGCTCTGGCAGCCTTTTTCGGACACAGCCTTTGTTCCATCTACATGCACATGTACATCTACTGGTACATTTGTACATTGAGCTATATACATGTGTGATTCAGTTTTTCAACCAATCTCTCCTCCCACTTGTCACAGTTGCCCCACCTACATGTACATGTCATTAATGGGGCCTGCCAATAAACTTAAGGGACAAAATCCCCACCCTAGGGGCAACTTCATGTGACATTTGCTGGCATACATTTACATGGGGGATGCTTTTCCATCTGTACATGTACATGTAGCATATCTAACAATGGGAAACATGCTCTGTAATTGACCCAAATCCCATACTGCATATGATATAGGGTTCAAGAAGTACATGTATCACATTAGAACGATTGGGGCTGTGTGGGAAGGAACAGGTGTACATGTATATACATGTACATGTACGTAACTGGGATCTTGTATGCACTAGACAAATCCTGTGAACATAGCCCTAGTCATTGCTTAGTCAATGGATGAACATGTAAGTATTGTGATAATTATTGTATGGACCCCCATGGCAGTCATTCTGTTCAATGCCCAACAAAATGTTTCCACCATTAAACAGGGCTATCAACAATATCCAGTGAAACATTGCTGGATTCATCTCTGTAATCAATGTACAATAAGCCTACATGTTCCGTATGTGCAACTGATTTCACCAAGTAACGAGCTCAAACTTTTGCCCCCCCAAACTGACAAACTTTCTTTACCCACAAGTCCAACAATTACTTAAACATCCCTACGACATTACAGCCTGATTACTACATGTACCTACTTTCTTCTCAAACTGTTCACAAACAATTTTGTCTATGTCATACATAGTTACAATCAATGCTACCATACATATAAATGCAATAACACCTACACTGATAAGTGAAATGAACCTCGTGGTACATATATCAGATTGACACAGAGTACTAGTACTCCCAAATCCTAGACCCTGGCATAAGTTAGTCGTACTTGGTTAACGCTGGGATGTACCGGTACATGTCCACATACATGTACGTATACATGTAGCTGGAATTTCTCCAGCAGACCTCTATTATTAGTGTCCCATACTATGCATCCATGCATGGATACGACTCCAGATTACCATTCACAGAAAATTCATCATTATCCCAAAATATGAATGAAAGTTACATGTACACTGATGACCATTTTCCCATACACTCACACGGACAGACATTAGTCTGAATGGCAGACACATCATGGAATGGAGCGAAGTGACTATTTCACTTCCTTTTGAGTGGGGTTGACATATTTTGAATTGTTTAAAGCAAGCAGTCAACATACTGATAAAAGTTCAGCATAATTTCAGTGTGTCATAAAAAGTACCAAAAATAATCTGGGCAGTAGATAAGTGATCATGAATCGGTGCTGATTTGCTTTTTATCGCATGGCAAATAAACATGCGCAGTCTTTTGGGGACTTCTAAGACATTTTACTGTGACAAATCTTCATCTGGTTCCATTTTTTTGCATTTTCATTTCATTCTTTTAAAACTTCTTGATTAAAGGATGTGTACCAAGCTCCCCTTCACACAACTGTCAGATTGAGGAGTCATTGGGAAGATGCTGCGAGAGAACATTAAATTCTCACCAACTTGGCAAAAAAATGCAGTATGTCATAATGTAGCACCCATCCCGAGGGGGAAGGGGTAGATTTCAAACTTTGCAAAGTGGATGAGAATACAGATGCACAATTTATACATATATGTGGCAGAGCTGTACCAAAAGGTTTTTTATGACTACATGCACATGTACAGTGTATGTACCGGTAGTTGTGCTGCTCATCCAAGAATGGTTTGTCACACAATTACTTCATCTAAAATTGAACTTACACCAAAAAAGACAGAAAATACTGAAATGAACTGGGTTAATTTCACAGATGACAACAAACGTCAATTCTGAAATCGGGAATCAAGAAACCCTAATCCCAGAGTATTGAAACAAACTTATCTGATTTTAAGAGGAAATTAAACCTGCAAAACCAATCTTGCCTCTTATATTATAATGAGTAACCATGCACTGTCTGTTCTCTTCATTTCTAGAAAACGTGGTAAGAAATTAACCCCCTACAGATATTATAACTTTCAGACTGTTTAACAATTTCTCTAAGCCAAGTAACAAATAATCATGATTTCATGCTCTCCTGGGCCACTCCAGGCCTATTCTACCCTGCACCTAGGGTTTTGACCTATGCCATGCCACATTCCATGGGCCTGGTGGTGAGCCAGACAAGTGGTAAACCAGTTACACAGGATCTCAACTGCCTCCCCTGTCTAGCACAAATTTAACAGCCAAGGCTACAAGGAATGCAATGTCTTTTAGCACAATGTACGAGGCAATACAGCCTTTTGTGAAATAATCGCTACTGCCAAAAGTTTTCAAAGATCTGTAGATAAAGGTACATGTAAATAAAGTGAAGCTACGCACAGAAAATATAACGGTTATTATACATTTAAAATACTGGAATACAATAGAAGTATTACAGATAAAATATTTCCATAGTCAACATTACACAGCTACCAAAGCTCTTCATGTGTTTTGACCCTGAAGAGGGAATCATTACTTCATCATCAGTTATTCTAATGCAAATTCTTTTCTCTGTCATATACACTGTACCGTCTGCTTCTGACTATTTATCAAACTCCCATCAATAGTTCCTTTTATTATACTTTAGTGAAAATCTTAGAACTTGCTGTTCCCGCGAAACAAACAGTTGGCTTTTGTGGAGCATTAGCAATATAATGAATCAATACAATGAAATCTAAAATGTGGGAAATGAAATGTGGAACATAACTGTAAAGTGGATGAGAATACAGATGCACAATTTATATGTGGCTGAGCTGTATGGAAAGGTTTATTATGATTAAGTAGTTGTGCTGCTCATCAAAGAATGATTTGTGACCAGCACAGCATTGGGAACTTATTGTCAGTTGCTGTGTGCCTTAGTCAATCAGACTATTACCATGGTAATAGTCACTGCCCATATGACCAGCTGTACAGGCCAAATGTGGGTCGGTAGGGATAAGGAAAATTTTTTTTATGGGGGGGGGGAATAACTTTATGGAACTTCCAACTCTTGACTCTCTGAGGGGCGCTACATATGGAAAGGGGGCCCTTTGGTACTGCAACAAGCTCAACGAGGGTACACTTATATACATGTACATTGTGGGCACATGGTGGCAAGTGGACTCTATTAATGAGGCCCTCTTATTAGTGATAATACCTGACAGTCCCTGAGTTTAGTCTTAAACCTTTGACCTGTTGCAGCCTCCCTTATGGTTGAAGGACAGTGATTTCACTCCACCAGGGTTCTTGGTTACCCCCAGAACTGTGGGATTTGTCACCTAGTGCACTCCTACATGTATATGGGGTTTGTGAGCCCAACAGTTCTGCCTGGGGTACACATGGTTCTGAATTTCTTGGTATGTAAGAAAATTTGAAGCAATTTTTCTGTGCTGGTGGGTGGGCAAAGAATATTGATGAATATTTTCAGAACTCCTTCCCCTCTAAATTTGCCTGGTAATGATCCGGTATCCGTGTCAAACACTACTTGGTTGTGAACAGACTTAGTAGGGCCTAAATCCACAATAAATAACTGTGGAAAGAGTTCCATATACAGATGCCACTTGCCACCCCGTGCACAAACCCTATGACGGTATGAGACTGGTCTGAAAAACTGTGTTTTCTAAGGAAACAACTTCATATTTTCTCTAAATTGAATTTTCTGGACGTTTTTGCTTTCTGATGGCTAAAGGTCACAGTAGCCTGTAGGGAATAATTACTGGCATCCGTATATGGAACTCTCCCATATAACTGTGCCTAACACCCCCAGAACTGTGGGGTCTGACATCCACTACGCTCCCACAAAGTGGACGTTGGACCCCACAATTGTAGGGGTAGGCCTATTTGCCTAATACATGTAACTTGAGTGGAAGATTTCCTACCTCCAAGGACTAACTAAGCCTATCGAGTACAGTCTGAAAAGCCTAGCCTAGGCCTACACAGGTTTAACTGAATACAAACCTTCAGAAGTCGTATTCTTGTTTCTGTGTCAACGCTGCTTTGCAACCATACTTTAATCCCGTTCTTATCATACTTCTTGCACCATCCCTCTACGCCGTCTGCCAGCCGACGAAACGCCTTGAAATCCTCGTCGTCTGCGACACGAACTGCACCGATATCCATACGAACTCGCGCGTGATGAACGGGTGAAATGTGTCAAGACTCCAAGTCCAACCAAGACCAAAACTGGCGAAGTTTCAACACAAAAAAAATGAATACTATCCACTGTATACGGCTTTGAAGCTAGTTCGAGCAGCAAGCAGAAGAAATGCAGAGACTACTTCCACACAAAGGATCAGGGTTCAAGTATAATGCTCTGTACATTTGTCATCACAATGTACGGAAAATTTATAAAAGGGTTGTCGGTAGCATTCCACGTACATGTACACGTCAAATCACTTATCAGCCAGCTGATGATAGCATGTGTCATACAGTACGTAAAGTACATGTACAAATGTACATGCACGCATGTACTGTACGAGATGGTGGGCGATTACGCTGGCAACTAGAACTATGCATATGCCGGCAGAATTTCGCAGTCAGGTGCTTCACAGACGAATAAAATTGAACAGTGTTTCTCATGACCCATTCAGGATTTACGACGTGTGCATTTTGATGACTCTCTGTGATAGCGCCGCCACACTGGGCTTGCACCTGCAATTTTAAAAAAGTATAAGTGCATAGACGCGATTTTCCAAAATTTTCACATCATGTGCATCCCCAACTTTTCGATCGGGGAGATGGGCTATTGAATCATGCTCCCCACACTTTTTCGCGATGAGAAAATAATCATAGCCGATTGTGAAGAATTTTTCAGACTTCCCGTCAACCAAAATGTAATCGGTATCACTCAAAAAGGGAGAACTATTGAAAAAGTCATAAATACGCCCTTTTGGTGTAAGATTCTGAATAATACAGATCTACATCTGTATGATGAACGTAACCCCCTATACAGTGTAAAAATATGGTGTCCCCCCCATTTCCATGGCCAGGCAAGTTACCCCCTCCACCCCACACCCCCTCCTCCAATTACCGGCACAAATTTACACCCCTGAATCATGGGTATTTGGGGGGGCATGATTTAATTTATGGCTTGATGTTCTGGATCAAAAACCAATACAATCAGTGATGCAAATTTGTTATTAACCTTGATTATTCAACCTTAATGTATTTGCGTCTTGGCGAGTTTGGCGGGGTGAATAAAATCGGTGACCCGGCGAAAAAAAGTTACAATAAACAACCCAATTTCCCACCTTGTCTATCTTGACTACTAGCACTTTTTTAATTATTTTGGGTATCAACGACTGTTTACTGCACTGGAACAAGAACTAAAATTATCATCTTGGCATGCATCTTGAGAGGTTAGCATTCTGCACAAAGTCACAATATCGACAGTGTTGTTTATTTTGTTATACTTTGTAATCAAAAGTTAAAACAACAATGGTTGTTCCATCTTTAAAAAGCAAGGGGTCTGGGCGCACTCGGTATTAATGGAAGAAGAGCACCCATAACAGAGGTGAACCCGATGATCGAACACACGAGCAGGACTGTTTTAGTGATCTATCTTTGAATTTGTTAAATGTCTCGTTGAAACCCCCCCAAAAAAGTTAAAATGGGGAAAAGGAAAAGTACCCCCCCCATTTTTTTTTCAAATGGAAGAGGGCCGCCGAGTGCGTCCCCGTGTCCGAAAATAGGCCGCTTCCAGAATTACAGACACGTACATTGTCAGCGTGAGAAAGCTCAGACCTAGCTCTGAAAAAACAAGCGCAACCACACAATTGTGCACAAAAATAAGACTAAGGACAGTTACCTAGATGCATCCTCCTGAGAACAGTCACATTCGCGATGGGTGCACCCTCGTATTTAGGCCAGAAATATGTCTCAAAAATGTCTCAAAAATTCATTGGTCACCCCCCTCCCCGAAAATTGAAAGGAAAATGAAAGAGGATATGTGGAACATCATTTTTCTGTGCAGCCTGAACACCTGTGAGAGTTGTGAGTATTTTTTAAATATTTGTGAATTATGGGGATTTATCACTGCTGTCTATGGGAATTTACTTCTAGTGGTGCACCCCGATGAGCGGAACGCGGGTGCGCCCTCTTTAACTGCGACTGGCAAATTAATTTTAGTCGCAAAAGAGGTCGCCCTTTTATGTCAGAAAATTGACGGACTATGATGAAACTATGGGGAAAATGAAAGTTAAGATAACTGAAAATCCCACCGGTCATCGCATACTGGTGTTGTGGTGAGATAATGAAGGATACTACTCCCCGAGTAAGCCTCCAATCACAGCGTATCACTTGAAACAAAACTCTCACAATTTCATCCACAAAGACACACCGAATGAATCTGACGAATCTGAACTAAGCGAATCTGACGTCACGAAAAATCTGCAGCGAAATTTCGCTCGAGTTGAAATGTATTCAATTTTTACGAATTTGCAACATAAATGTTTGATCTGACGTCACAAATTTGCGTTCGTAGTCGCTTTCGTGTGAAGTATGAACCGACCATAACATCTTTCGGGCCAAAAGCCAATTTAGTATTATCAACTGAGAACCACTGCGGTTATTTATCTCAACATCCTGCATACGAATTAACCTGAAAATTTCACAAATTGGCATGAAGTGTTTATGAGTTTTTTCTATTGCATTGGTGCAGCTTCGTCCCCTGTAGCATCAGGGTAAATCTCTTGACGTAAACTCTTCAGAGGGCATGCGGAACTAAAACGACGAGTTCGGTATATTTTGTCAAATTGTCGCATGTTCAGTACACGCACATATCAGATGCTCATACTGAGGGATTTTCATTTATGTTCGAGGAAATATTGCTGGGGCCAGATTTTGAAGTGCTAATAGATTAACCTTAAAATCGAAATCGACTGATAGCAGTGCTACGCCATAGAGGATAGCCTGTATGACTTGTGCTTTCGCTATATGCCTCAAGATAGCCAATGATTAACCGATGATGAAAACCAAGTGCCCCCGACCTGTTAACTGTGTGTCTTTCCTGCGCACTGATTTTCCGGGGAGCAAATAATGTGATTTACTACCTGCAACATTTAACCAACACCTGGTTACCGATGATGAAATTATTTCGATTGTCCACTTTTATGACTAGTAAGCATGAATACACCTTCTGAAAAGGAACCTTCGCCCGTCATGTGACTCACGCTATTATTACGCAAATGACAGGGGTAAGGTACGACCGCTTAACCACACGTAGGCCCGCCATGCCTACGGCTCCCAAATACCCTACTTTTTTGACAATACCGAAGCACGGCTCAGGGCCACCGACCTATAGACGATGAATACACCCGAAATTGACGGTAAACCCGTGGTGGACTAACATCGATCACAGCTGAAAAGATGGCGCCTGTTTCGATGAGCTCTTGAATACTGAGACCGCTGGAGACGATTTCGCTCGAAGGACTGAAAGAACATGTCTCTGAACTAATACAGTTCGATTGTTCTGCAGGAAGGGAGGATGGTTGAGTTCACTGGTTCATATAGACAGAGATACCAGACTGAGAGCTTTTTCCTTCATGCACGCATGTGTACGCGGGTACGTTTTATTCCTTGTATGCTTAACTAGGATCATAGTGCAGAACATCATGTTCTCGCCGATTTCCGTGGGAGCTTACATTTACAAGAGCATCGTGGGCTCAGAGGACGATGGTGAAGGAGTTACAGAGAGGTGGGTATAAACGACGTGAAGGCTTCTTGTTCAAAATGGGAGGCTTCAGTGGCAGATGCAGTACTTACACCTATGTGTCATTCATGAATTCTTGTGTTCAAAATATGTAACCACATAGTACATGCCCGTTTGTTTATTCACAATGTTTGCTCAACCCAAGATTATAGCGTGCCTTCCCATTTCACGTTTGTATTTAGTGTCATGCATAATTAGATATCCTAGCCTGGAATCCAACCCACTGCTGCATAATGAAAAAAATATGCACGGGAGGGATTACACGGCTGTCGAAACCACCTGTGTGATGGAAGCAGATCGGGACATGCTATTTAAAAGCAGCGATCCGCGCGATATCATATGACCCTCACAAACAATATGGAAATACGTTGACAAAAAATCATGCGAAGGCTACATAATTATGTACAGCATGCAGGTTGGGAAACGTCAATAGTGGTTAGTCCTGAATGCGGGCCGGCTGTAGTTTTCGTGCCGAGACATGCGAGTCTCTCACAATTGCATAGGACATGTCACATTATTGTTGCTGCTGACGAATCAGCCTATCAAGACGATAACTACAGATAATCAGATATCACAAATGACTGTGTGTATGCACAAAGAGTGGGATTTCAGACTTGGAGTATCACGAGGTTCTGGCTTTGGATGAATTGTGCGAAATACGACCTATACTGATGCAGGAAGTACTACGGGACAAGTCGTGCATCTTACTTAAGTACCAGTACCGTAAACAGTACACATGTACCATTCACCGTTCGCCATGACTTCCAGGGCTCGTTTATCACCTTATGACGAATATATTTTTCTGTACGGACTCCCACCAATCCTGTAAGTAGGTCTTTACATTAGTGCAATAAAAATTTCTGCGCAATATAACAAATGGCAATCGTTTGGAATTAATGAAGCTGTTGAAACAATGCATAACGATATTGTTTGACGAAGAGGATATTATAATAATTCTGTTAATGTTTACTCAAGATGTATTATGTAGTTGAACTAACGGGAAATTTGTTTGAAATTAAAACTAAAAATCCAAAAACAAATAAAAATTGCCAGCCTACTTAAGATTGTGGGAACATTACAATGCAGATTTCGATGGTTTTTGTTTGCTGCGGCATCGACCCGGTATTGAACATGACAATGACTGGAAGGATATACCTCGGGCAGAACATCTAATGAAAACGACACGTCTATCCCGACATGACGCCCATTTGCCGCTGGTCAGTCTGCTGTGACTTGACGTTGAGGCAATGACCCACCCTCAGCGTGACGCCGAGGTTGAATTGGTGACCTCTGGCTGTCACCTTCAACAAGGAATGGGTCAAAGATGCCATGTTCACGTCAAGTATAGCAGTGGAGTGGTGGCCGTTTTGAACGTTTCCATATTTAACCGTGGGATATTGTTCAGCAGTTTGAACCAGACGACACGAAATCATAAACCTATTATAGGCCTACACTCCCCTGACATCTGTAGGGGGTGTCTGGCTCTGTGATTATAGAACGAAATTTATTTTATAAGAATGAACAGTTTCGTGTATAGATCAAGATGACTAATCGTATCTCTTTATGAATTTTTAATGTAAATGTTTCCCAGAAGTGATTTCACACATTTGCGCAAAAGCTCAGATGTTTATTGCGTTGATATTTGATGTGTACGTGTATATGAAATGAGAATTACACCGCTGTTTTCCAAAAAAATAAGGTACTGGAGACACGCAATATAAGGTTAGCATTTTAATAAAGGAGGGCAGGAAAGCATAGACCTGTTTGTATTGAATCACACGATCGGAATGTGTTTAAGAATATGAATTTGTTACACTTACCTTTTTGTTGAACTTGAGATCAAAACAATGACATACAATTCCATACAGTGACCAACATGCCAATGGTTTCGTTTCCTCACAACAATCTTGGACTTTACATCAGAATACATGTAATCATATTCCTGACCATAGTCATAACATTAGAAGAATATTTTGTGATTTGGTCATGTCTGAAAATATTTGGTTGGACTGGCAGGCATGGTCGAAATTTTTCATTTTTTTGCATGACTGTGGGCATGGAACTATGAGCATTAGCAGTGTATCATATGAAAAATCTTTAAGAATATGGACTCAAAAGGAGCGAATATTTTAGAGAAGTTCTGGAGGAAGTCACCGTAAGTTAACTGACAAATGTTACTACTCAAAAATGTTCCAGTTTATTTTGAAAGTGTTTTGAAAGGATACTTAGGTTGATTCATAGGTTGAATCATCAATTGAATCCCAATTTCCAGTCAGTTTTCAGTACCATCATTATTTGGCTCCAATTAAGCATCAGTTGGTAACCAAGTCAGTTTCCAGGTAACTGGACAAGGTCATCATTCTCTTTCTAGTCTCTGTGGGCTAGGTTCTCTACGGCTGAACTTTGTATACAAATAAATATAGACCTAAATTTCAAAATATACAATTTTCTTTCAGTGTCATTAACTTTATTATATACATGTTTGTATTCTTAGCTCCCGATGAGAGAACTTCCCCACGAAAACAAAATTGAGTTTTCATGCCCGTGTAATCTTTGATGGCAATCGGCCACAGCCATAAACCAAGGAATTACAAATATTTTAAAAGCGTTACAAGCCCGCACCAAGAAGGAGTGGATATTGCACATGCGTGTACAGGAATTCTGAACAGATTAATTTCAGTTTGGCTTTCCCCTTATTCAACCCTCCTAAAATAAAGGCTTCGAGACCGAGCGTTACATGAATCGGCTTAAATGGGCCATTCAAGGTCTTCCAAATAAAGTTGTTTTTCATCGGCAGGCATGTCTTGGAGATGCCTCCGTCAGAGCAGTAACATCACGATGTACGCTCGACCAATGAAATTACATGTACATGTACTGTGAAGTAGGTGAACTAGGCTCAAAATATATGTCTGCAGAAATATATTTCTCTTCTTTGAAGTTACTTAGCCCTGAAACGAAAGAAAGCGAATGGTTTTTCCTCAAATGTTCAAATTTATACCTTCGGAATAGAAATTAGAACATAGGTTGTATATTGTATTTTGTATTTTTTCGTGATTTACAATGTTCTGAAAGTGAAATCTAGTGGTGCTATTTCGAGATTGGAATCAAGATTTAGAGCGAGTGACCCCTCTTTGACGAAATTAAACTTTCGTTTAAGCAATTTTAAATGAAAAAAGTGCTAAATTAACTGAGAAAACATATATCTTAGCTGTCTCCTTTTTGGAACCATACTTCAGCCGTTTTTTCGCTTGCTGTATTTTGCCGCCATTGCCCTGCAGCAATTGCAATGAATGATTCATATTCGTGGCCTCTGTGGAATGTCAAATTTGGTGAATCATTTACAACCTCTTATCGATGTTCGACTTTGGACCGCCCTAAAATTGCTCATTTCAAATCAAGCTGTGCAGATGAACTTTATGCATGCGAAGCCTTAAACGTGGTAAATATTAAAGTGAATTAAAGTGTATAACCTCTTACTTTTGCATATCCGTTTGTTTACTCTGAAGCTGTAAACGATATAGCGCAATTATTATGTTAATAACAAAGGTGACTGCGGCTGATTATGATTACGTGCACCATTTGAAGTTTCAAAATGGAGGAGCTTTATGTGCAGAGTGCAGATGTATGGTTATTTACATACATATACAGTGTACATGTTATATACACAGCACATGCACCCGTTGTACTTTGGGCACGTTCGGTAGTAACACGTTGTACCGTGCATCTTGGGGGTTATTCCCCAATAAATATATATGCGGGTTGAGAATTTTTCCATCACTGTGATGTATGCACAGTGGTCTGCATGATATTTACAGGCGACGGCAACGACTACAGATATAATTTTAAAATACTAACGAGTGCACTAATTTTGTCATAATTTATCATGCATTATTTCTTCCACCTGATAGCGCTCTGAAATATTAGGTTGTCTCCTGATTTTATGGCGACCCGCTGGTAAACCTCAGTACATTGCTCTTCAAATTCGACCGTGGAATGAGAAATACATAAAGTTACAGTCATGTTATAGCTGACGCTCAATAATATGTGTACAATACAGGAGTTTCACAATATCGCGCCCCCAAGAGTTTGTAACGCATTGGCCAATCACAGTCCGCGAAATCAGTCGACCCAATGCACGTTTTGAAAGGGTCGACAGATTTCGCGCATTGTGATTGGCCAACGCGTTGCAAACTCAGGGAGGCGCGCTATTGTGAATCGCCTGTATTCTTTTGTCAGAAACGAAGTGTCATGCACTGCGTGACTAGAGGGGAATTCACTGGTTTTTTGTGGGCGCAGGCCTGCGGTATTTTCATCTGCGCTTCCGTTTGAGTGTGAAATTTGTGCATGATTGTGCGGAAGAAAAACTGGTAATCAATTTAAAGTGAACAAACTGTTTAAAAGATTAACTGAGTAGGTCAACTCAAACTTATTTATTGTTTGAAATTAAGGCTTAGGCCTAAACGAAAAGCTGGTCAAGTTAGATGGCTTTGGTTTTGGGGAGTGTGTTGTGGAATTTGAATCGTTTGTCTATCCCATGCATTTTTAAATAACTGCATGTAAATATTCACCACGGCAGATTTTAATATTTGTCCTCCGAATTCCTAATTAAGCACATCTCAATAAATAGAAAAGATGACTTTTTAGGTGGGATGCCCAAAATAATCTGAACACCGTGCACCTTTGACGGGGATTAAACGCACGATCCGTAAAACCGTCGCCGATTCGTATGGCTTGTACACTCGTGCCACCCGATGGTCTATAGTACACCTGAGAATTATAGTCCTATCTGCTTTGTACGATCGATAACACTGAGATACAAATTACAGAGTCATACGCTGAAACTACCGTATCCCTTCGCTGGTTGAAATTACAGTTCGCCTAAAAGGCCGAGTTCCCTCCCCCTTCCAATAATTGTATATATATATATGTATAATATGTATATATATTGTATATACCTGCCAAGTTGTGCACGCGGGGTTAACAGTATACATGTACTTTTTGGAATTAAACGCATGCACATCAGTACTTTCACGTGGCTGTTCTTAAAACTAAGGAAACAAATACAGACTTGTCATGATTTCTACGATCATTGTCTGAAATGGCTTGGTAGTCGTGGCTGGAAACGTATAAATTCGGAGACTTATACCTAAACTGTTAACGAGGGCTTAAGTGGCATGATTGTTGGTTCTGCTGTGTTTGTAGATGTGGTTGTTGTTGGTGATTGTTGTTTTTATGTGTTGTTGTCGTTGTTTTTTATGATGATTATTGTTTTGTTGTTGTTTTGTGCTTGTTTATCAGATCTAGGGTCTCAAGATCGAATGTGTTCTTCCTTCAAGTTTCTGTTTTTTTTTTACAGAGAGGAATCAAGAGAGAAGGATGACAGCAGCGGCAGCGATTCTGACGGAGGAACTTCAGCCGATCCTCCCTGTCTGAGGACTTCCCTCAAATACCCTCCAGCGGCCAGGGGATCGGACGTTCCGCTCCCGGAAGCCGAACTCATTGCATCCGAAACAACCTCACAGGAGTACTCTGTGCGAAAGGAGGAATTTTCAGCTAGGATAGCTGCCCTGCCAACAGCCGAAACTGCACTCGACGACCAGGTGGCATTCGGAGAGATTATCGGGAGTGATTTCGGCGACGCTTCAAAATACTTAGACGAAAGTGTGACTTCATTTCCCGAGGACAGACGTGCTGTCATTAATCGCACGATAGAATCAGTTGGCGGCACCCAAGATGGAAACGACAGAACTGCCGATTATATATCACCAGAGCTTGACCCGGGACAGGATGATAAGCTCCAGCTGGGAAATGACACTTGTGATTCCACGCTCCGCCTAGCTACCGGCGGACGTCTTGAGGAGGTACCTTGTGAGCAACATGTAATAGACTCGGGCTCGGACTCCAATTCGGATAGTTACTCATCGTCTAGTAGTAACGAATCAATGTCTACTATTCGAGAAAACATTGAAAGTTGTCAGCTTGATTCCGAAGATCAAAACAGACTTAATGAGGGCAATGACCTTGTCCAAGAAAATGATGAATTATGGCCAACCCAGGAAGAACACGTGTATATTTCACCCGACCTCGAATTCCCATTTTATAAGACGACTGTGGCAGTTGAACAAACTACCAATGTCACAGAGTTATTGGAAAATTTGGACAAGGAAACCTTTGTCCGGCCTTCAAAACCAAAAGAAGACAAGCACTCCCCCAGGCCAATCTCAGACGATGAACTTGAGAATGCACTGAGAATTCTGCGGAGTGGGAGGCCTCCACAAAAGAGGTCGTGGTACAGTTTGGACAACCTCTCCACTTCCAAACCGAATCGAGCATTTGCTCTCTACTATGGAGAGAGGAGAAATTCCAGCGGAGATGACAATGAACCGAGCAGCCCAGAAGGGAACGGCACTGTATTTGGGTTGACTGCTACGGTGAAAGACAAGCATCGTTCGTATTCTGCAAAGGAAGAAGTGAGTGGATTCAAACATTTTTCCATTCCAAGTGAACCGTCTGGTGAAGACTCTGTGTTTCTGCGCCCGACATCTGCACCAAAGGATTTTTCTTTTCCTCAGGACGAGGATACGCGGAGAGGAGACAAGCCGAATACCCCAAGTACACCTTCAGATGAACACTGTGCTGAGGCGACCCCGCAATATCCTCCAGAAACAATCGCAGATGACGGCCTCATAATGGCAAAGCCAGTGTCGCTCATGGATTCAAGTCGGCAGTTCCCAAAACTGACAAATGAACATCCTGCATCATCTGTCCTAGAAATTTCTCCAGACGATGTTTATCTCCATTCTATCGACAACAACAAAGGAAATGCTGACTCTTACACGCCGGAATCGACTCTAAATGAGGTTCCCTATCAACCGAAAAGTGAACACACACCATATGACAGCACTATTTCTCCAAGTTCTCAGTCACGGGAAGTTGGTTCATTTATTGACTCGACACCAACTCCAGAAGTTCCAGAAGCGCCTGTATTTGTTGAAACCTCATTACCAAGTCCAGAACCTGCGTCAGAGCCGAAGGATGAATATGCATTGGCTAACCCAAAATTTAAGCCAGAACAGATCGCATTAGCTGACCCTTCGGAATTACGTCCAGGATCGACTTCCAGGCCGGAACATCAGTCTCCCAATGAGTGGTATTCTGCATTACCTCCACCACTAGAACCACGCCCAGGATTGGCCCGCGAATGGGCCCAGCCAACGCCTCCCGAGATGATTCCAAATGTGAGTCAAGATGTGGCTGTTAAATTTTCCTCTGAATATGATTTCGTTATTACTAGCGAATATCCTGCTGACGAATATGACGACTTGCCTCCACCCCCTGTAGTTGATGACGCTTATATCCCATCTGAACAAAGCGATGACCTCCCTCCACCCCCTGATGGCGTCAATGTCCTGCGTGATCCATATAATCATGAAGCAGATGATAGGATCATTGCACCAGGTGAATTACCCATGTTCCCAGAGCAAAATATAACCACTTTAGTCGAACAACCCGAAGCATTTCACCCTCCCTCATCCCAGACACACCCAAGAGATGCTGATGTTGAAATAGAAGAGCGCCCGTTAATGAAAGAGGACCATTGCCCTGAATCATCTCTGGAACCAAATAAATCAGCTTTGAGGGGAAATGAGAACGTGTTACCCGTTAATAAAACTTATCCAGCATTGCCACCCAAACCCAGCCACCTAAAGCAAAAGACTGTTTTGGGAAAACCTGTCGCTTTGCCTTTGGTAAATGAAGAAACGACTCCAGTGAAGTCTTTCTCTTCAGACTCGAACCAACCTGATGAAGCAAACCAAGCGAATTTCCCCATGTCCCCAGAGCCTTACATTTCAGCTTCAGTTAAGTTTCCCATAGTCTATAGTATGCCCCCACTTGGATCTCCAATTGCCTTGGAACCTCAGCTTACCTGCAGAGGGAACATCATAGATGAGCAGTTCCCTGTGTTTTCACAGGTACAGAAGGAACAGGCGTTGGCAGAAATAGCAACTCTTATTCCTAAGCGCAAAGTGCCTCCAAAGGTGCCCCCAAAACCAGCTTTTAAAAGGAAACAAAAAGTCGACGAACCGGCCTTTATTTCGACAAGGATTTCAGACGTCGAGTGTTCCATTGATTTTTCCAGATTAGACAAAACAGATAAATCTAAAGAGATTCCGTCTAAGCAGGGCTTTGTCCCAGAATCGCTCCGTTATGAGGCCCCAGAGGAACAACACGGGCCGGACGAATCGACTGGTGAGGACGATGTTGTGATTATGCAAGCAGGAATATCCGTGTACCGGGAAGAACCACTTGAATCTGTGAAGATATCAGACGCTGGCGATCAGTCATATATTCCAAGAGATAAAACAACACTTCCACATGAAGCACTACCAGAACAACCTGGATATGGGATAGAAAAGAGCCCACCTAACCGTTCAATTTCTCGACAGACGGTAAAAATGAGTGCAAGGCTCTCCTTACACCGTCTTGAAACAGGGGAACATTTTACAGAAACTGTTGTCTCGGTCCACGAGCAAGATGTTATGGATGAGGATAATCGAAATTCTTCATTAGATGGTGAAGACGTTTTTGTCTCAGCCAGTTCAACTGAACGAAATGAAGTAATGGACGAGGTATTCGGCAGCGAAAGAGAGAATGGTGATGGCACATTTAGTACAGAAGACATATACTATCCGTCTGATTCCCTTCCTGAAGCATTGGAAACATTTCCTGCAGGTGGTCCCGTTGGTGCGTCCTACAGCGATCACTTCGAGTCTCCCGAATTTTCCTCTGCGGATGAGTTTCTGGCAGAGGCCGACATGGCTATGAGCAAGATGGTGGCAGCAAGTGCACAACCCCTGAGGGACATTTCTTCGTCCTCATCGACCAGTTCTGACGATTTTTCCGGGTCATCAGACTCTGATGACAGTAGTTCTGAGTCTGCTGAAGAACACACGTACATCGTTACAGAGCCAGGCGACGGCCTCGAGGGAGATTATGACAATCGAGAGCCTGATGTAGTTTCGAGACCAACCACGCTTCCGCTTGTTGTAGAAGAGGGAGAAGAGGAGGAAGAAGAGGTAGAAAGTCCTGGCGATCGTGAAGGTGATGAACAAGCGGAAGAAGAGGAGGCAGAATTAGTAAGACCTATTGAAACGGGACTAGAAGATGTAAAGGATGACCACAGTGATGAAGGTATGAACCAAAAGGATATCAATTACAGTGAAGCTGAAATTCCTTGTGAGCAAGCCGTCACAGAATATCCAAAAGCAATTTCCGAAGAACCCGTGGAAGTGCATAACTCTGAATTACCGAGTGTTACCCCAATTGAGATACCTAGATATCCAAAATATATCAATTATGACAGACCACCATATGATAAAAAGCCAGTTGTGGAAGCTCAGTATAACACTGTGGAACAAATGTATGATGTTCCTGAACAAATAGTGCAGCGCTCACCGCCACAAAGTAAGTCTCCTGATATCTTAGAGACCACAATCCCTGATGATGAAGAGCAGAGGTCTGAAACTTCAAGTGAGTCTGAAAACTCCAGCGCGTCTGACACCTCGGGGGAGTCTGCATCACACACTTCATGTTATGATGAGGAAGAGAATGGTGAAAGGGAGTGCCGTGAAGAGACTATGGAATTCTCAAGCGAATATTCAGACGAGCCAGAATGGCAGCCTCCACCGCCTTCCACCGGTGCTCGTGTATTTTTTCTGACATCAAATATGCAGTTTGGATTCAAAGCAGAGCCAGGCCATTTTCAAATCAATCAGTCTCCACAGCATACTGAAGATGAACCACCAGACACAAATCTACCAAGCCATTATATTCAACGAAGCACCGACGAGGAAGGGGACGTAGTACGCGACGATGACAAAAGAATTGAAAAGGAGGAGGAGGTCAAGGAAAACAAGGACGGATTTGAACCAGACAAACATTTTAGACCAATAACTGTCGTTGCTCCCATCGTGTCAGAAGCAGAACCCGAAAAGCACGCCAAGCCAATTCCGCAGTACAGAGGTGAAGACAAGTATGACATACCTAAATCAGTGACTTCAGTATCTGAGAGTCCCCCTGAAATTTCACAGGATGTTGCTTTACCCGCAGAACAGAAAAATAATGCTAAGGGTTTGAAGACTGTTACTGTGACTTACACAGTGATTCACACTAAGCCTCATCATGATGGAACGGAGGAGAAAGAAGGTTGTGTTTCCTCTGATGCAACCATGCCAGGAGAAATTAGTATGGATGAGAAAATAATGGATAATCACCATCCCAGGGAGGAGGAAATGAGAGAAGGTAGAATTGAGGAGACACCTAACGCTCACCGCCATCTATATCAGCATGCCTTGAGAGATCAACACATTTCCGAGTATGACAAAAGTAGGCAGTACAGTGACAGCTCCCCGTCGGGTCGCTACACAGAATCTTCGATAAAAGACTACTCTGATGAAAAAATAAAACCAGAAAGTGTCAGTCTCGTTGAATCGGGGCCCCCACCTGGACGAAATGAACCCGTTAACCAGCATAGAGGTAGTGAAAGGCTTCCATCACATGAGACTGATCTCGACAAGTTTGAGTCTTGGTACAAAAGTTCTCCCACTGTAACCGAGTCTAAGGATGAAGGTACCGAAACCCCCAGTACAAAAGAAGCACGCCCTGAGCACAGGCCAGACGTTGTTCCTGATGATGCTAATGGATACAACTCAAAATCCATTCCAGTTAATGAGGTTGGACCTTACAATTTCGACTCTTATCCAGACCAAGAAAGAGAAAATCTACCCGATAGCAGCGAAACAACTGTCAAGAAAATTGAGCTCAGACCTGAAGTGGCCTTGTTTACAGTTTCGTCAAGGGAGCAGATTTTCCCACAAACTAAACCAGTAGATCCGAAAGCCGCAACTTCACCCTCTTCAGATGACACCGAGGGGACAGGTTCTTACAGATACAGTTCTTGGTACGAAGAAAAAACTGATGACACCCCTGCGATGGCGATCGCATTGGTAAAGAGTGACATCAAACTCCCACCTGAGTACCTCTCAGAAAGAAAAACGGCTGAGAAGCCAAAGCCAAAACCCAAACCCAAGCCGAAAGAAATTCCTACTGTCGTAAACACCAGCAGAAGTCCAGACGAAAAGCCGGAGGAAGGTGCGTATAGATACACATCTTGGTATGAAGAACCCAGGGAGGAGAAGCCCAAGGAAACCGATTATGTCATCGTCCCCTCCTCAGCAGAAACTCAGGAGGAAAGTGCACCTAAACAGGAAACGCCCCTTTCACCTGAACGGGAGCCCGGAACCTACAAATACATGGCATGGTACGATGAAACTGCTGACGAACCAGCAGGTGGTGATTTTTTTGTTGTTTCACGCCCGACTTTAGATGAAGAGAAGTCTAAATCGGATTCCTTGAATTCCCCAACTTCGCCAGCCAGACGACCAGGAAGCTATTTGTATAGTGTATGGTATGACGAACCAACTAATGAACCATCACAGGAAGAATATTTCGTGGTTTCAGCACCTGAATCAAGTGAGGACACGTCAAAGTCTTCTTCATCAACTGCAAGAGCCAGTGACGACATATTTAAGGAAGGATTGTCGCGCAGTGCTTTGTATGAGAAGCACCAAACTACTACCAAGGATCCCCCTGAAACATTTGTTTTATCCAAACCTTACGAAGAACCACAGTTACGACCCCCAGATGCTGGTACTCAGCCAACAAAGTCAATTGGAGGTGATCTGTATTATCCTCAAGAAATTGACACAGGTAGGAATGGAAGAGACCCAGGTGGGAAAAGTTTGTCTGTTGAAGGCGGTGTCTCCGGCGCCTCCTCCCGTAACAACAGCTATGGAAGTAGCAGGACCTCGGGTTCCCTTGCAGATGTCAGTGCAACGTCGGGTGAAGCCATGAGACGAACCTGGAGTGACGAGTCAGATGAACTTCATAGCAGCAAGGATTCATCTGCTTTCATGCCCCCAGCCGTTCAACCCGTCAAACAACTTCCACCAAAGCCTAAACCTCGTAAAGGAAGACCTAGCGCGCCGTCGAGTAGCGATGACGAACAGCAACAGCAGCTGAGGAGGCCAGGAAGAAGTGACAAAAAAGGACCGGAGACAAAAACAGATGTGGCGGAAACTCTTACTCCTCGGGCTGAGTATGCTATGGCATCGTCTGCATGGGAACGAATCCCAGTGGAAGAGCCGTGTCATCCGCCGCGAGAAAGTGCTATATGGGACTCTGGAGATGACAGGCGTGGACAAACAAGACCGGCTGGTCGCGGTGGACACGACAACAGATACTCCGTGCCAGATAAACCTCGCAAGGAAATTGAACAGATGTTAGACTCGCTTGTTGCTGATGAAGATGCCTTTGATTTACCCCGTACTCATGGGAGAGAACCACAACTTCCCCCAAAACAACTGGAAGATAGAGAAGCCACGAGTAGATGGAGAAATGACGGTGCCGTAAGTATGAACCTTTTACCCCAGACTCAGAACAAGAACTACGAGTTTGTCGAAACATCGTTGCAAGAAAGCCGTTCTCATTCCACTTCCGAACCTTACATTGCCAGAGGGTTTGATGGGAAAACAGTAAGCGGACGGCATCCTGACTTTGCTGAGCCAATTTTGGCTTTGCGTCCGCAAGGGAATGAGCCTTCAAAGATGCCGGAGACAAGACCTGATGAAAGTCGCGGGAGACGGACTGTTCCTCGTGACGACGGGCCACCCAGCTCCAGGGATGAATACAGACTCGCGGCTGCATCGTGGGAAAATATGTCGTCTGCCAGTGATGAAGGTCCCTACAAGCGAACGAAGATGGAAACGTGGGACAATGATCCTGATCCCGGTTCAGAACAAGCAGCATATCCGGCAGCTTTGATGGTAAAACAGAGACATCAACCAGAGCGAGCTCCAAGTCCTGCACAAGCTAATGTTCGTCCCCGTGACCTGAGAAGAAAGGGTAATGGGGTGATAATCACGGCTGACGTTCATGCCCCATACATTCCACCATCGGTGCCTGGAGATCCACATTTAGCCCTCCAGATGTTAAGTGCCAGTGCATCAACAGGTGAGTTAGCACCACCACCTCCAAAGGATTGGGGTACACGGCGTAAGGCTCAGAGCACCCTAGGAATCAGTCAGCATGTACCTCGTCGGCCTGAGATGGAGATTGTCATACCTGATGCAGAGGCTAGTGTCCCAAGACGTCATCATCGTTCCAGGGTCAAAGGTCCCCAACCTCCCTCAGCGGGACCCCGACCGGGTCGGCCCCATTCGCCAGTGTCTATCTCGTCTTACTCAAGCACACAGTCACTCCCAGCTAGGATACTTCCCCGTATGCCGCGTGAAAATGAACTGGAAAAGCTAAAGAAGCACATGGCTGAAATCAGCCGACAAACTGAAATAAAGAAAGCCGAACTGAAGAAAATCCACACAAGAAATCCTTCCGTGAGACACCACATACCGATGAGAGGACCTCGCGGAGAACTGATTAGTGCCGATGGGCGGATACTGTCCACACCAGAAGCCCCAAACCGGGCCGAGTTGGAGAAATACAAGCGATTCTTCGAAACTCTTCCTGAGCCACACTTTCGGAGATTGATGCATGAAATGTTGGAGTACAAGCACATGGTGAAGCAAAAAGAGGAGGAGATTAAACGGTTGAATGCTCAGTACGCTGGCTTGAGGAGGAGACTTGCTCAGCTTGCGCAACAACTTAGATAGCAGCTCTCACTTTAGCCCCTCCCCCATAAAAGAAAATAAAACCAAAAAAATTGCGATTTTTGATTTTTTTTTATATATACATGTACATGTGTACGTACACTGTTGCGCGTCCGTTTTTTTTTCTGAGAGGGAGATGTTGCCTTTTGAATTGAAAACGAATTGTAGCGTGCCTTTGCTAGGAATTAGGGATTTGCGTACATTTTATTGGTAGCAATGCTTCCATCTTGTCCTTCTAACAGGTTTTTGCATTTGGGGGGGGGAGGTGGTATGTGTTAACGAATGATCTGACTAGTTTTGTTTCGTCGAGATCAAAATGTACTGTTTCAAAGCTTTTAAAGCTTGGTAAAATTGTTTGTGTTTGGTTTTGGAGTGTAAGTTTCAGAAAACATTTAAACGGTGAAAACTAACTAGATTTGCTTTAGTTGTAATCGATGTAGTTTTGATTAGTTCAGCTGTGTTCTGAGTTTTGACTGATTTCTCTAGTTTTTCTAAATTTACTGGAAATCTAGTCGCTGCGGAAAACGCACGGCTTTATCATAAGAGTTCTTGAGTAGATTCGTGTTCATCCTAAATTTTCCTATAAATTGCCGTAAGTAAAAGTGTATCTAGTTTTAACAATTTTGACGGGTTGCAGCCATTTAACCCTGAACACCTAAGTTTTACTGTTTTTATCAAATGTAATGGCGGCTTATAAGAGGGAATCGTATTTTTTTAGATCCGTGAATATTGTCGTAATTCACAGCTCAGCGAAAAAAAAAACGTGTACAGTGTACACAGTTTCATTTTGTAGGCTAACAATGAAGTACAGTGAAATACAATTATTTGCTGATTTCCGGTTGCATGGAGCCCGTTGACATTTGTAGTAGGTCGTATATCATGAACACTGTAGGTTCCCCTCCTTCCTCCATGGTTAGACTGACTGTATGAAACAGTGGCTACACAGCGTATCTAGGTTTATTGCTCTAGCTGGTTGCAAAACTGTAAAACGCGTGGGGTTGTAGAGGGTCAAGTACGTTTCAACTAATGTGCATACGGCAACACTTGGAACTTTGTGTGATTCATCATCGCTACATCAATTAATATTATTTTGCAACACCACTCCAGTACACGCTCTCTCATAAAAATGTACGTTTGCGTGTCTATATTATGGACTTTGGCTTAGATTTTTAGCGTTTCTTATTATTAGGCATAAAATGACGCTGGACAATTTTTCCTTGCTAATGGAGACTTAAAGCAATAACTGTTTACTGTGGCCTTTACCGCTGCAGTCTATTGAGGTCACGGTGATTTATCAAGGTGGAGATTAATATTGTGTGTAGCGTTTTGCAGAATGTAGACAATGTTGTAGATTTGCTCGTTAATAGGCAAGGTTATGCGTGCTTTTGTGTTGACTGAGGAAAAAGGGCAAAACGAAACGGCCCATTTCTGCTGTTCAAGGATGGGAAGTCGCTATACGTGCTCACATCACTGCACTGTACCTTACTTTGTTTGGTATGCACTTTGGAGATGCTTTTTGAAAAAGAAATGGTTTAATCTTTACAAGTTAGCATGGTTAGTTTTCCTGAAGTCACTTAAGCAGCTGTCACAGAAAACGCATCAATTTTCTAATATAGATTTATATTGCAGTTTTGGAAGTAGAGCACGTACTCAAAGGGATGCCAAAATGAAAGATGTATATCGGAGTATTTTCGTACAAATATTAGAAGGGGGATATCATATCTGTCCAAGTCTGAGATAGATCTTACGACGGGATTGTGTGACATTTTTATATACAAATAAAAAGGATTAGTTATAACAATCAAAATGATTCAAAACGGCCAATAACTGGTAGAAGATGTATTCAACCAGTCGATTAGTTTCGTGTACCAATTATTGGTTATTTTAATTACTTTGTGTTTTGGAATTAATTTGATTCTTTGTGGGCTAGGTTTGGCTTGAGTAATTCTAGATAGAAAATAATAAGACCTTGTTGAACGGTAAACCAGTGATATCTTTCTCTGCGTGAATTCACGAGAAACAAACAACATATACATGTAGTCTGGTTCAGTTGAAGTGTGTAAGTTTATTGTAGGGAATAAATTTACAAAAAGATCCAATATATTTTGATAATTTGTACAATTTACATTCATTGGACACTATACATTTCTTCCTTTTTATTCAACTAAAAACATTCTAGATTTGTAAGAAAACGTTTAATCGGTAGATTTTTCGCCCGTGTATATAGAGAATGTACATGCTACTTGATATTATATGCTATTCTGTAAGGACTGAATTGTATAAATGGAAATTTGGCTAAAACATTCATAAACCGAAGGTAAATCAATGAATGTTTTACTTCACTACAGCAGTTAAGAAATATGCAATTTTAGATAATACTGTATTTTTAGTAACAAATGACATTGAAGCAACTTTGGTCGAAAATGACGGTGTTACAGGTTTAGTATTTTTGATGTGTGTTGCCTTAGTTTGTGGGTATAATGTACCTTTGATGTTAGTTTTGCGCAGTTTACGAAGAATGGGAGAGAGTATAATAATTATGATATACATTTGCCAGTTTTTCTTGGTTGTATGAAGTTCTGATCCAGAGCACGTTTATTTTGAAACTTTTTAATTCATGACAGCACTGAGATAGAGCGTTTGAGTTATTTGTCAAAAACTACACTGCGAAAACAGGGGTGTTACATGGGTGTTATCAGAGGACCATGCCAACACTTTTAACCGTTGTTAAAATTTTTGGTGTTAGTTCGGCATTGGTAGTGTTCATTTCAACACCCTCCAGTGCACTGTAACATCTGTAGGTGTGTAAAGTAACACCAGCGGTGTTAAAGTAACACTGTTTGGTGTTGTCATCTGATAACACTAAAAGTGTTGTTTTTAACACCACAGTTTTTGAAGTGTTACGCCCTGTTTTATACTAGGCCAGACGTCATTTACTTTCAACACAGGATGTTGTCAACATCGTAAACAATTGAACCGAAAAAAAAATCTAAATTAATGTACATGTATTGCACTTCCCGCACACTGCGCCAAAGGCCTAGTGGTCATTGAGCACGTTACTGCCATAAAAGCTTTGCTTTTTTTTACCTCTGAAAATATCACTACTAGCATATGAAAGGGAAACATAGACTTTTTACTTCTGAGCAAATCGTGACCATTTGGAATAGTTACTTCGAGCTTGTACTATTTTTCATTAAATAAAGACGTTTTAGTTTATTCGAGACTGCTAGGAATTTGTGTTTGTCTTTGAACGCGTCATTTAGATTTCAGTATGTAACTAAGACGGGTTTTCTTAAAACTAACAGTGCTTTCCACTAAATAACTATCTTGAGTTTATACGTTTATAGAGTGTAACCTCAAATGGGGAAAATTGTTATTCAAAACTAAATACTGATATTTAACTCTGAGATTTACTGTCATCAGTTGCCTAAGTAAGGCGACACAATGGGCATGTACAAAGTTTTACCCATCCTCCTGGTTTGTGCCCATTTTGCTGCCCAGTATTACGCCACAGAGTGCCATGAATATCAGAACTTTGTTAATAGCTCCCCTCGTCATACCTTTGGACAGTTGCCCTCACAATGCCTTTGGATAGACTTCCCCCACCACATGGACAAATTTAAAGACATCCACTCTTTTAAAAGAGTTTCATCTGAGCCAGGCGACTTTCAGAATTACTGAGGCATGACCTTTGGAGCTACATGTACTTTTCAAGTCAACAATGTTCCTAGTCTTGTGTAGTCAGTCTGCTTCTGAACCTTGACATTGAGATGGCCCCCCTGCTCATAGATTGCGAGACCTGCCCATCATCTGTGACCACAACAGGTGTTATCTGTTGGGAAGGCCGACTGCGAGATGTCCTCCAGGCCGAAAGCCGATTGGCGAACGACCTAACCAAGAGGCCTGGTAACTCGGCAAGGGTGCTGCGTCTTCTCTCCTCTTTGGCAGGTTCATGGAAGCTGGATTTTTTCGTTTCATTTTCAGAGCTCTGCATGGAGGGCGCTGGTTCAATATCACTAGCTGTTGAATCCACGTCAGTTGTTTCCTCCCCAATGCTAAACAGAGATGGTTGTGGCATCCAACGTGCGGGTGCTCTGCTGACCAGTCCTGGTGCATTCATTAACATGGATGACATCAGTTCGCTTAAGTCGGTTGCAGACTCTGCGTAGTCGCTATCGGTGCCATAGGTCTCGGCATCCACAGCTACGTTTTCAGCAGGCGTGGGACCTGCTCCTGAAGGCCCTGCAGCATCCTCTTCTCGCGTTTTGTCTTCACCAGTTTCGATAGCATGATGATCGTGAATGTGACGGAGCACAAGTCTTTCAAGAAACCTCTTCCGTTGCATACGGCTTTCTTGCTGCGCATAATCGGTCTGTATCTTATGCAGTCTCTTTCTCATTGTCCGAGTAAGGACAATGGGCTCTTGCAACTCGAGTCCCGAGAAAAGGCTCTTCGTGCTAACTTCTGCTCTGATATCCCCCGATGAAGGCCCGATTTCAGCTTTGGCTTGGAAGTTGATGAACTCAGGATGTCCAACTGGCATGGCCGTCATCACATGGCCAGCGTTTGGCTGGCATCTTGATTCTGGGGACTCCACGCGTAGAAGTAATGAGTGGCCAACGACGTCAGAAATCTTCTTCTGTCTATTCTGAAGCTGATGGCAGCATCCGTACCCAAAGATACCGTAAGCGAAGCACATCTCCAGGTCAACCATGGCAACTGTTTTGTGTCTGTATTGAAAATCATATGACCCTGCAACGAACAGGTTCTTAATGATGTCGTACAGATGCATGTCCTTATGACCCACAATCCTGTGCACATGGGGACTCTCGACAACGATCAAGTCAAAGCGAACCTGAAATAAAAATATTCGGAGCAATTAAACAAATTAGATCTGTGAAACTTGTTTTGAATTATAAACTCGGCAAATGAAATATATAATTTGTGCTTCTGGCTGTGACTAAAAATTAAGTCACTCTTTCTACTCTGATGACCCAAGACTAATTCTGAATCAGTCATTGTAAAGGACCTTGAAATTAAAGAAACTGGTATTATTTACGGCGTAGTACCGTTGTAGGCCCAGTACTTTGAAACTCCCTCGGATATTGATCGAATGGGTTGCATGGTCAACTTGATACCAAGAGTGTTGTTGCTGCAAAAGACTTCAATGAACATGAACACATGAAGGTGCATTAGGTACACACTGCCGTCACATTTTAGTGATTACCCTAGGCCTAGGGCCTATACCCTTTTGAAATCGAACTTCTGAAGTTTAGCGCTAACCAAAAACTAGGTACACTTCGTTAATACACAGTAAGGAAAAGTTTATTTACCTCATTAGAGGGATCAGATCGCTTCCTTGGAATTTGAAGTGAGAAGTGTTTGAGATCATCCAAGACCACCTTGGCGTCTTTCTCAACTATGACTGGTTGAGTGCTCTTGACAAAAGACCCAACCTTGATCCGTACATAGAGCTCCGGTTCGGTCACCGAAATATGACCCTCATCTATGTCCCGAACAAGCTTGATATGCACACTCAAAACGCCACTTGGAGGCGCCGTGGCATATGCAGCCGGGGTGTCGTCTTCCAGAATAAATTCTAAGCAGTCCTCGCTAGACATCGTGGCTGAAATTTGCCAAAGTATGTTGTTTTTTTCACAATATATATCCCGCCATGGCTTGCAGCACGACATACATGTACGTACACGTTTGCTAATGGTGGCTTTACCATTTTAAGCGATAGGACGCGCAATTGGCACTGACGTGCTTTTGCGTATAATACGCTCAAGAAACGCACGTTGACCCAAGCGCATCGCAACGGGCGCAGCTGGTCTTGACGCGCGTACCTCATTTCCACGCCTCCGTGCTGATGAACGACACCATACGTGAAACGCCCAACGCTCGTTTGTGTTCAAGATTTTGTGACGTAATGATTTTGTCCTGTGTAGATAGCTACAGAAAACCATACACTTTTTCCGACGCACACTGCTGTTTACAATAGAAACTAGTTTCTTCCATGGTAACAGAATACAACAAAATGCTTGCGGAAATTGGTGGTAAACGAATCACAAGCGCGAGAGGACGCGAATCTTCAATAAATTCTTTGGTGAACACTCCAGGATCTCCAATTCCAAATTATGAACAAGGAGGGAAAAGTGCAAGGTAGGCCCACTTGATTCCGGCCGGGAAATAAACCTTTCCCTTTTTTCCATAAAAAAGGCAACCATTCCTTTTAATAATTTCACATTTTCTGTAGCAACAATCTGTCTAATATTTCTCATCAGTCTTTCAGTCGTTTTAGATGAAGACTTAATTCCACAAATGGAGTTCTCTCTAGAGAACACATGAACAGAGAAGTGTTGTACCAATACCGCAGAAACTTAGTTATTAAAGCCAATAGATACTTTTGCTTTGGAGGAATACTCTCTTCTTTCTTCGCTTGTCATAGGCCTACTCTCGATGAAGGCGACATGATTTTCATTCAGCTACTACTTCTGCTATTATTTTCGGTTAGGGACTGTCTTAAGTGTATTGAGGCCATGTTCTTGTGTTTTTTGTGAGTGTGCTTTTTGGTTTGTTTTACTTTTTATTTGTTTTTCTTTAGGGGAATGTGTTGTGCTAATGTCCATGAGAACACTTACAAATAGCAATTCAATTTCTCATAATAGCTGTGGCATCAAAGAGAAAATCTAGTATGTTTACGGTAATGATTAATCGTTAAGAAGAAGTATCAAGTTACCAATATTGGATTTAATTCAACAGCCAAAAGGAATGATTTGGATGGAAAAAGTTTGTAAACTGAGTTAAATGGCCCAATTTGCGAGACATACAATGCTTACTTTCTTTTTCTGGTGTCATATCCAATTTTCCCTGGACAGGCAACCGTGCCGAGAGCCACTTGCAAGGTACGGATGACGCGCAACACACTTACGAATGTTCAGAGGCGGACACTGAAACAAAACGCAAGGAAATAAAATTAAATACCGGTGCCTGTTGTCATACAACAAATTTTGCCTTCAATACACTGCTTCTGTTGCAAGCAGCAGCTTCATTAAAACAGAGGGACACTGCACCAGGCAAAACTAGCAATCAGTGTAGCTTACCTAGACCAGTTGAAAAGTGGTTGTCAAATTCTGAGGAAGAACGTAGGCAAAAATTGTTGGGAAGCAGCACTGAAGTAGCAGCGACCGTTAAGTCTCTGGCAGGCGACAACCCAGTACCTTTAGAATGGTCTGAAGTTAATCTTAAAACTAAACAGTTCCAAGTAACAGCTCTTTCCGACTCAGAACAACCCTCCAAAATCGCGAAAGACGTTCCCAGTGACCCGGAAATCACCGATGTACAAGGTGCTCCACGTCCAAGGACGACCGTTCTTCCCGGTAGAGCGATCACAAACAGCAGGAGTCACAACCGAGTGTTGGTATGGAATGAAAAAGAGAAGGCGTACTCGTCGGCCACGACGGTTGCTGAATCGTGCGCAAGAACATCACCTTGTATCAAAACGTCCAAGGAAACACTGCGACAATGGACGTGCCGTCAATCATCGCTTGAGCTGTCACCAGTGCATCAACGGACAAACCTACTTGCTTTGCAAACAGAAAATGGCTCGGTGCCGAGAACAAATAATTCTTCGCCCGATATGAACCAGATGACGATAAGACCATCACCGGGGGCTGCTCCATCACAGTCCTCATCACCACAACAGAGGTCTTCGTTCTCAAACTTTATATCTGCATCATATGCCAATGTCAAAATCTCCCCTAAATCTTCTTCGATGTCGAGCAGTAGGCCTACATGTACACCAGTCTTCCGGCACGCACTAGATCGAAAGATGGGTTGTCCCTCACTGGGTGATGGCAACTTTCAAGACGGCAAGTTCAAGACGGTTGCGTTGGTTGATTCAGTGACAAATATAGCCTCGAAACAGTCACCAAGTTTACCCTGCAGGAAGACAGTCATTGTTATTTCTCCCAAAGGGGCAGCAAGTAATATGCACAACACCTCCTCATCACCGACGAATCCTGTCATGTCTCCTGCTGCGGTCAATCCAGAACGAGTGAGGTAAGTGCATAATTATTTGTATTCAGTCACTGTTGAATTCTTATTTTTGTTTTGTTTCCTTTCACTATTGACTGAATCAATTTCAAATAAATATTACAACGGAACTGACGGGTACCTTTGTGGGGCAGATAAAATTTAACTCAGATATATTTATCCCAAAGTTTCCCTTCAAAATACAGTCTCTGAAACAAACTTGTGAAAATTATTTGATTTCAAGCAAATTAGTTGAAACTTATTCTGTGCTCCCCAGAGACCACACCGTTTTAATGAAAAGCGGTGTCATGAAACCTGGTGAGCAAGAGACAAGGGTACTACTACATAGTCAAAAGAGAGGAGGGGTTGCCCAGTTTACCCCATCACCGGTTACTGCAAACACCCAGAGTCCATCAAATGGAAAGTTATGTCCTTCCCCCGGAAGCACCTTCAAGTCGCGAGGTCCAGGGTCGCAGCCGACAAACTTGGGGCCGGGATTGTCAAATCTTAACTCCCCGTGTGTGTTCTGGCCTTCAGGAGGTAGGATTTACACTCTGGTGCCAGTAAAAATACTTACTAAGTCCCGCCAGTCGCCGGTCAAGCAAACACTGCCAAGATCGTTTGAGTCAGGCATGAATCCAACTCTGTGTATGATGATGAAGCACTTCAACTACACCATGAAAAATTGCGACCGATTAATTGATAATCATTTTTTGAAAAAAATTCTTTCGAGCGATGTGCGCGACATTGATGATCTTTTCGATGACGTGGAGTTAAGAGAGAGGATGCAGCAACATTTCGTACCCGACTGGCTATTGCAGTTCATTATTGAGAGTGACGCTCGGGAGAAGATGGGAAATCAGTGGAAGGAGAGGGTCCCTTCTGGCAAAGTAGATGGAGATACCAGTGGCAAGCGTAACGAAACTACCGGCTCACCGAAGCAATACTGTATGCAACAGGCTGGAAAAATGGCACGGGCCACTTCTGCAGAAGGGGCTTCTGTCACTCAAGATGTGGACGATGCGGCAGTTTTACGTCACCATGCAGAAGATAACAGACATGCAGGCGCGTGCGTATGTTCTGACAAATCTCCAGATGAAGTACCAAATCATAACAGAAATGCCTGTAGTCACGTGGACAAGGCTCCAGATGAGAGAAGCTCCAACTTGGATGAGAGCAAACGTTGGAATCGGGATTTTTCCTGTGGCACATCGGGAGTGACTGGGGTAAACCCTCTCAAGACGCTATCTTCTAGAAATCAATCTCCAGCGCTACCTTGTCAAGAGCAGAGAAACTTCCAGTTATCGAACAGCACGCTTAATAACCTGGGTTTTCTTGATTTAATGCCCGACCGGGCACTGTGGAATCTTCTTTTCCATCTTTTCCCTCCGTGGAAGAAGACTTGTTTGGGGATCGACGGTAATGATGTCGAGGAATTCTTCAGAAGACACGTTGATCTCTGCACAAGTCACAGGAAGAGCACAGTTACCAAAAGGCAAAGATACAAGTCAGGTCAGCACCAGAGTACAGCAGCGTGTCCGAAGACGGAGGTCAGGGACGGTGAGGTGGACAAACGTAAGCGTCACAAAGAAAAGAAGACAAGTGTAGACAGAGAAAGTTCGCAATGTAGTGAGGAGGCCCTTGATGCTCGTAAACGGAGTAAATCAAAATCTAAATCGGCAAACAGCAGAAAGGGGACTCCAAAAAAGAAACATACCCACGGTGATTCATACAGAAAGGGAACGAGTCCGGCGCAGATGGAACTACACGCAAGAGAAAAGAAGAAAAAACACCACAAAAGAAAAGTAAACGGAGAAATGAAAGGGCCGATCCTGGAGAAAAAATGGCATTCGTCCACTGAGTTCCCGAGCGAAGTTCGAACAAGTCTGAAAAAGAAACTATCCTCTTCATCCTCAGACGATGCATTGGGGAACAAAGGACGAGGACAGTTGGAGAAGACACCAGAGGACAGGTGTAAATCGACGGCAGAAGTGCCAACATGTTCGAAAGCACTTCCACCAAAGTGGAATTTAAAACTGATTCTTAAGACACCAAGGTCAAAAGCAAAAAGAAGCAAAAAAGTCAAATGAATAAACTAGACGCAAAGCTGCAATACCCCCGCTACTTCAAGACAAAAGAAAATGTTAACCACCGTCAGAAATATTTTAGCCCCCTCCCCGGATTTAACAAGGATTTTTAAAAGGATTCAACGGAGCCTAGACATGCAAGAACTGACCAGAAAGTGGCAAGTTGCACAACAAATAAGTTAAATTTATTTAATAAAAAAAGAAACATCTGTCAACAATAATTATAAGTATAACAAACTTTAACGACAGGGGAATTTACTTTTCATCAGGTTGGGGAGTCGTCGTAACAGACACGGTACCTATGCGTCATACTTTCTACGTAATAGAATGCTCCTGATCATACAGCTAAATTGTTTACTTTATTTTATCATTCTGCAAAGTAACTAATAAAATGAACCGTACAATGACTAAATGACCATTGAGTTGTATATTTGTGATTAACAAGTGAATAAAATATTCATACATGTTTATCCCCCAAAAATGGAAGTGCTTATAACGCACTCAAAAATAGATTACTTCGAAAGCTTTGTAACCTCGATGTTTCAGTGGTACAGATTTAGTCAGCCTCAAAGCCTTGTGGGTGCAGACCACTAATTCAAGTGAGAGTTTCTGGCCAGCTCATTAGCATTAAAAGTGCCCCCCACAGTATCTTTTGAAAAAGGAGAGTGTTTGGCCCCCAAAATGGTGAGATTAAGTGTGTAAATTATTGCCAGGATCAACTCCCTGGGTCTTTGAGTTTTCATATGAGAGCAGAATAGCTAAAAACTACGATTGCAAAATGGTTCTAAGTGCCCGAGAAAAGGTAAGCGTTGCCAGTTGAAAAATGGCTGCAATCAGACTTCGGAAAAATCACTTTTCGGGGGGTGATTTTGTTTTGTGGGAATAATTAAAAATGTAGTTGGTTAGCCCACAAAAATTGAAAAGAAATTGAAAGATTAGTGACCAGACAATAATTTCATTTGTGTTTCAGAAAACTGAGGGATGTTAGCATGCATGTCATTGGGTCCTGAACAGTGCCGATTTTACACCGTTTTCAATGGGGCTTGAATTAGTGGACTGTAGGGGTGTATGCTACTTTGTGTTATTGGAGAGAAGGGCGCCCTCGTACGTCATATCACGATATGACGCTTTGTGAAAATGTTCCCTTGATTTGATTTATGATTTTTTTTCATCAATAGGAGTTATGACAACTTCACAGATGCAACTAAGTATTATCTCGATCCCTTTGGCAATGAACATAGACAATGAAAAACGTAACCAGGTAGGCAGTTTCTGTTGCCCCCTATCTGTGAAGAGATCGTCGCTGTACATTTCACTTGCTCATTGGAATTCGTTTGGCCTCGTTTATGGTAGAACAACACGTCTTTGTACAAGACTGATGCTTTTAAAGCAGGCGTTTGATGCAAATTTCTGCATGAATTTCGAAACGAATAAATGAACCTTGCTTCTGAAGGAATAAAGGCCCTGGGTGCAGAGTAAGCCTCCTGCCTATTATATTTATGGAATATCAAACAAAAAATCTTTTGTATCTGAAAGTTGCTTCATTGATAAGAGTGTTGCCTGGCTTGTTGGTTTTATCATGGTTATGGCACTAACATTAATTCGTGATTTTTTGGGGATGGGAGAAAAATTATGTTGTTTTAAAGTCATTGGCGTGTAAACCCATGACCCCCATTATGCACACAGTATAGTAATTAAATATTCCACTTGACAAGGTGATACCTTATTTCATAAATAAGAACTCACCTCAGCGCTGCCTTGGGAGACAAACATTGCGCGCCAATTATTTTCATACTTGTATGTTCCAATTCCAACGTCTTTTCACCCACGTATTCCACACTGTCCGTAGGCACTCCATCTTATTAAATGACAGCCTGAGCTTTGTCGAAAAGTCAGCGCTCGCGCTCCAACTTGCCTGGGTTAAACCAAAACACGGGGGGGGGGTTGGATGATAAAAACTATGATGGGCATTTTCTGCTTGAGAGGTTCGGCTGGTTATTTTCTATTCAGAACACTTTGGTTATACATCTTTTATTACAGAAACAAACAGATTACATAACATCCAACTAGCCAGATCATTTGTTCAGAACTACCGCATTTTTATTTGGTAGCAATGCTTCTCCTCCTGAGAAGATTCTCCTCAGGAGGCACATACCACCCTCCAAAATGCAAAAACCGGGAAAGTTTTGCTCTCGAGGGAAATTTGCATATGAATTGCACAGGAATTTGACAGGTGTTCTTTCAAACGGGTGGAAAAGAATTTAAAAGCAGACGACAATTTCATAGAGCTGCTTAAGCACAAAATTCGCTTAAGCGCGAAAAAACCCTAATTAATAAATAAGGTAACCAGCCAAAATTCCATGTGATGTATAATGTTTTGGGATTGTATTTAGCTGTTTTGTTTGTTTTTTTGGTCAGCATGACAATCAGACAGAGTTTGAGCTGGTAACCTTTGTTTATTAAGCAATTTTTTTCCTGCTTAAGCAGCTCTGCTAGAAGTTACCGTCAGGAATGATTACAGAAGAGGATGAACGGTTCTGGCAAATGCTCATTGAGGCAACTTTTAACTTCTGAAAAAGGTGAAATCTTGGGAAAATTAAATTTAATTTAATAAAAAATGCAGCTATTTTAGTTGTTAAATTGATACAACAAAATACTTAATGCATAAAAACTGCTGGTTTTTTAAGCATTTTAAGGAGCGTCACAAAAGCCAACTCTCCCCTTGTATGAATAAGATAATCTACTTCCTACACAATATAATTATTTTCGTTTCATAATAAAAATGTAACAGATTTAATTTCAAAATCAGGGCAATTCAGCATTGTCAAAGCCTCATCAGAATCCGTTAATGCAGTATAAAATGACTGAGGCATTAAACAATTATTGCAGTCCCCAACAGGAAAAAAATAGCAAGAAAAACAGTAAAACCCCCTTAAAACCAAGCATCTCAGAGCTGCTATTAGATAGACATTGCACAGTGAGCGTTTATCACTGCTTCAATTATTGCTTCAATATGGCAGAACATGAGGATTCATGAAGGTTTCCAAAAAGCAAAAGACAACTACATGAACACACCAAATATGCTACACAAATTTGCTTTTCTCTGTTAGTTCCTATAAAGATTTGAGGAAAAAGACCTTTGCAAGAATAGTAAATCGAAATTGAAAATTTAAAAACCAAGCAAAGAAAAATTAAAAACCACACTCTTTGATATAAATAAGTACAACTTCAGGGTTACTAGTGGCACTTGAAATATCCAAAACGAAATTGAGAGAGACTAAAGAAGAACAAGGACGAAAAGGAGAAAAGGGGTGAGGATTGAATGAGACGTGGTGAAGGGGATGAGAAAGGGGCGTGGAAGGGGGTGCCACATCCAAGTTGTGCCAATGCGTTACCGTGCTAGCTTTCCAAATAAAAATATGAAGTGCAGAAAGACAGCTCTCTTTGATTAAATATATCTAATAACTTACCATGCACAAAATCTGATTTTATTCAAAAGCGGCACAATCCTGTCTATAAAAATATAATGGTAGTACTGTTAAAGTTGCTAAATAATGTTTAAGTTATATTGTGCTAAGTTGTGAATTTGTTGCTAGGCTGAATAACTATGAGAGTGTTATGATTACAGTTACTGTACAATGCAATTCTGAAAATACTAAAGTAAGACTTGGTTAAGCAACATTTCTTTTGGTGTTCTTAGGGGAGTTGGATAAGTACCTGTTACACAAGTTACAAACTAACACATGACATGCTTCAGATTATTTCATTTGAATACTTACACTACATTATTAAAACTCAACATGATTGGAATAAAATGCATTAAAAATTAGTTGGCGGCACTTAAACTACAGAATTGTGAGGTTTCTGCCACAAAGTATGCCATAGAAGCACTTGTATCATCAATTTTATGAAACCACTTAGAATTTGTAGGACCCAAACTGTCAAACTGAAATATATATGAATAATTATATGAGAATAAGTTGCATCAGCTAACAAGAGAGAGGTTGTGATATTTTGCCTTAACTTAATAAAGATGAAAATGCATAGGATTATTTCAAGCATTATAACTGCATGCCTTGTGCTTAAGGCTTTATCAGTATCTATGAAAACTATAGAAAATCCCAACAAATACAACATTCAGAGAGGGCAAAAAGTTGACAAGAATAAATAAAAACAAACAACATGCCATAATTCAAATAACATCTGAAAGAAACAAGACGTAACAGACATATACACATTATCATCCTGAAGGTCTTGTGCATTTGTGGTCTAGAGTGACACTTTGTTCAGTTGATCTCCCAAGAGCAGCAAGACGTCGGGATACAATGCTCTAGTCTCACAGGAAATAAAGTATTGCATCTCATTATTCAGACTAGTCTTGGTTTTCAAGACGATAGTGCTTGATAGTGGACACCATGCATAGTGCGCCCCCAACGACTCATAATTAGACAGTGCGCCAGCTAGTGAGAGTAAGTAAAAACTAGTTGTGCGAGGGCGCTCTTCAACTGAAATAAAACAACTATCGATCACTGACGTCTTGGGCCAAGACTATATTCAGACAAGTGAGAAATAAAATAATGCCATTTGTACATCACAACTTCAGTATGTTCATGGAAAATACGTCAAATGGACAAAAAACAACAGAAAATATAGGAAAACAAAACAGAAAAGAATAAAACCTGGCCTCCAACAGATCAGAGAAGACCTTTTTAAGATTAATCCATCAGATAAAAAACTAATTTGGTCTACTGCAGTGAGGTATCAATTTCAATGCATTTCTGTCAATTTCTTCTTCACTTATTTGATGTTCAATGCATTACTCTTCTGCAAAACAAGCTAGACAAAACTAAATCAATACAAAACTGACTTAAGACCAGCAAAACACTCCTAAATTTAAATTCAAGGTACAGATAAACCAAGGCACTTGATCTGTGTACACTTGGAAGACCCTTGTAACAGTGGGAGAACTGTATAAAGAAAAATGACTGGCCTTTTCTGAACAACAGGTGAATGGACCCGATCAAGAGTTGCGTACAGGCTCTAAGTAAGCTCTCTGGGCCCTACTCCACTCTAAGCACAAGTACCAGTTTCATAGCACTGGTTATCAAGCCACAGCCTTGCATTGCAGGTCGATGCAAACCCTTTATAATCCCATTTACTAGCTAGTTTAAATTTTTCCCACAATCAGAAATTCAGAAACTCTTCTCGTGTGTCGGTGTATGTTTAAGGCACTATGTAATGGCATTTTAAGCACTCCACTTTTCCTTTTGTTGTAGACATGGTGTCTACTTTGCCTGTTTGGTGATCTAGCCATGTAAGCCGGCTATGCCATTATTAGGGCCCACCGTGATCATCTACACTCAGATTCATTAATAAAAGGAGACATCAGACAGACAATTAAAAAGATTTGATGTGTGAAAATCAAAGGGTAATCTCTACAAGTACTTTTGCGCTATGAAATAAAAATGTCCATATAAATGAAAGAAATAGCAAACAAAAATATTATTTCCAAATGTTTTCTCTATAAAAAAATGCAAGACTACATTATCTTCTTATTAATTCCAACTTTAAAAAACACTGATATAAGTATAAAAAGACTAAGATAAAAATAATGGTGACTTAAAAGCAGTGATTAATCAGAAAAGACTTACTTTGTTTCTTTCTTCTTTTTCTTTTTCCAAAACCGTATCTTATGATTTTTTTCTTTTGTAATGCCTGTGGAGCTACCTTGCTCAGACGATGGTGAGCTGGTTCTTTCTTCATCATTCTTTGGCATGTACGGGGCTCTGGTACTGTGCGGAATGTTCTCTGCTTGGGGTGGTTTCTGTTGCCATTCTTTCTTCTTGGTTTTGGCCAAGTCCAGTGCCTCCATCCCCTCACTGCCGCTGCGTTGTTGCTCCTTGGGTTTGCGCCATCTCAGAAAGCTCTTGCTCTTTTTCACCTTTGTCGTGCCTCGCTTGCTAGCAGCATGTTTGTTAGAGGCATCACTGCCCGACGTGTCGGGCATGTTAAAGCCTGCTGCATGGGTGCTACATGCTTCATGACTTGTGCCTATCTGTGCTGGCTGATTGATAAGTCCTCGTGATGGAACTGGTCGAGGATAACTCCTTCCTGGAACTTTTGATGAGGAACCTGAAAAAGGTGTTTTACCCTGAACAAAAAAAGGATTACTAGTGATGTAAATTTTTTTTTCAGCATTTCACATGAGCAGTGCTTAATTCCATCTTTGCATCATAAAATTGTTCAATCTTTTGCTGTGTTCTCTTTTTTATTGATGGTACTTTTTGCTTAATCTTAATAACCATCTCATATTTCTTGGTAAGAGTTCACATGATTACATTCTTCATCTCTGCTGAGGCACTTTAATGATCAAATAACTCAGCGCACTGAAAAGAAAAAAGTACCACTACACATATGATTTGTTTAGAGTGTAATAAATCTGTTATAATGGAAAGACACTCCTTTTACAATTATCAAAATAACCCAGTAAAGGCAGCCATATTTACAAGCTTTAGACAAAATCGAAACTAAAAAAATCAATATATGCTTACATAAAAATATGCAAATATGCAAAAATACACAAAGGGAAAAATAAAGCACTACAAACTGAACACTGTGCCCGAACTATGATACATTTAAATGTGAAAATTAATAAAAACCACACAAACACTAAGCTTAAAAACAGAAAGACAACACGAGCAGCTGTTTGAGGCACCAAAATGCAATGTATGACAAAAGTTAAATGCAAATCAAATTTAAATAAAACTAATGCCATGCTGAAACTGAACTTCGAAATGTAAACGAAATATTAAAGAAAACATAGGTTGTGTATATTTTATGTGGTTATGAGTTGCAACCCCTAAACAGCACCTCGCATTGTACTTAGCAAAGTTAAGTCAGAGCTAATGTCAAAAACCTTGCAAGACTGAGTTTTTAACACTGAAAACATTTGAAATGTATTCATGCAGAAAATAAAAGTATCATTTTAAGTAAAAATTTTGACAGCAAAATTCTTCACGGCCAAAAAAATCTGAAAATAGAATTGAGATTTTTTTCCCAGCAAACAAGAGAATAAATAAAAAAGGAATGAGAGATTTTCAGAATATAACCTGCTCACTACTGCTGTTATCTTAAACTTGCATTGCATAAACTAAAGCTCACTAAAAAGTGCCATGTCTATGGTTTCCACGTCCCATTTATTAATAGCATTAGAATATTAGTACATTAAGTGGCAAGATTTAAAAAAAATGTGAGGTGCTATTTGGGGGTTGCAACAAAATGTGAGAACAAAAACAAAACGTAAACCAATCTGAGCATGACGTCACTGTGCTCCCAGAAAGGTCCCTAGTAAGGATGAATTTCTTCTGTGGTACCCAAGGGTGGATCGGGGGGGAGGGCCGTGCACCCCCCCCCCAAAAAATGAGGATTTTTTTAATCAGAGCAAAGATAATATAAAGTGTCTTAGAAGGAGGTTGTCTTGTATGGAAAAAGTCATTTTGTTAAGGAAATTGTTTCTGATTAGCTGCGTAATTGTGACTGGTGCAATCAGTCGATCCAAATTTTCACCGCGGACTTTGCTTACTTGTTTTGTCCCCCCCAATCTCAGGTGTGAATCTGGCCCCAGTGGTACCATGCATGAATGGTCAAACATCTCCAGGACAGAATCATAAACAAACCTGAATACATACCAAAACTGTTGTACAAGATTGCAAACATACCGCAGTGTAATAACTACAGTGTTATTGCCCCACTCTTGCTGTACTCTAATTTAAATTATCGTTGGCACTGCAGTTGTAAAGCATCTAGACTGGGCCTTATGCTATGTAATAACATGGCAGCTGTCACTAATCGGTCCCTCCATCATTACAAGGAGTTAGGGTGGACTTCATGAGTACTGAGTGATCTCATGCAAGGATAGGTTGACCAGGTGGAGGCATCATAAAACAAACAAGCATGAAAGTATGTACAGGTTCCGTCATACAATTAACAGGTTAGGGAAAAAAATACAGACCATATGGGAGAGCTCTTTCACTCTGCTTACTGGTTTACAGTTTGGTGAAAACAATTTTAAGGTTAATACCAGGAAATCATTGTTTTGTCCAGTGATCGGCAGAACAAGTCTTTCATGGAACTATTACCAAACACTTTATAAAAACACAAGAATATGATACCAACAACATCAAAATCTGCCAGAAACAGGCTTTAAATATTTCTGTGCTGGTGACCATTATTTACAGCGTCATTCTAATATTAGTAATTAGGGTTTTGTTGAGTGCTAATACTAAATATACTATAGTTGTTTTTGTAAATTGGTCTATCTAATCAACACAAAACATTAATGTCTGAAATATCATTGCCCAAAAGCTAAGTGAAAGGATTTCATAATCAAATCTACGATGATGAGAACTTTATTAAGCTAATGTTGGCCTATTCATGCTATCTGCCTAACAACCTTCTATAAGAAATTGGAAGAGACATGTGGTAAGAGTACGTTCAACAGAATAGTGGCTGAATAGGTTGATGACAAAATACAGCCAACTTCCAACTCGTCTGTGTCACCTCATTCAGTTCCAGAGACGAAGTTCTCTTCATCACAAATCCTATACAAATATACGCACACATCAAAACCAAGTATTCGATACAATGTCACAAGAGAATTTCTTGCAGCCAAAGCAGCTGTTAAAATTTGCCTTTTCCCTCAAGTTTAAGCGGCCTCTCCAATTTTGGCGAGACCTTGCAAGAAACAATTGGCGCATCTAAAGATTTTATACACAAGTAAAGTGCTAGTTATAACTACAAAGCAGCATTTGTAGCATTGCCTAATTTAATGAGCACAAACTGATCCACAACACCTTGACAATCCCAATTGGTTAGGAAACTGGAACCCTACATTTTCTGAGACTATTCGCTGTCCTTGCAAAAAATATGGTTTTATACTGACAAATTTATACATATATGTACATGTAATTCTGCTATTGAATTTAAGGTATGGTGCACCTATTTGTCTGAGCATTTATGATTACCAAAGACTCTGACTTTGCCCCTGCCCCAAAAGCCTTTTAAGCTTGTTACCATTTATTCTTTTTTAGCTGCTCAATTTCTAGTATTAGCACTCATAAAAAGCAACCTGAATTCCAACACATTCAGAGTGTAAGCTCTCCCATACAACAGTGGTGTTGTAGTGAGTCCATCATAAATCCTTCACAAGTCCAGTCAAAAGTGCATTCACAAGACCAGTCATAAGCACAGACATAGTCATGAACTACTTGTCCTGGACTTGAGGGAACATGTGATGGCCTCAACTACTACACTGTACAAAGGTAAGAAAAAAATGCAAACATGTAGTTTGAAAAAAAAAATGTTTCCACTATTAAATTGAGCATTATGCAATTCTTAACATTTTCCTAAATAGAAGAATGTGCATATTATTGAATATAAATCATATATAGTTCCTTGATAAAAATTTATATCTTATCAGAAGCAATGGATGAAAACAATTTTCTTGGAAAGCATGAAGCTCATTTCACAATTGCTGGCTGCATTTACAAATATAAAAACATAAAAATTGGTTATGCTTTGACATGATGCTGGTGATAAAAATGTACAATGTACAGTATTAAAACCACCATAATGGCATAGAAATTGCAAAAAAGGTTATCAATTGATTTTAGTGAATCATGATTTTAAATTGATTGACTGTCTTAACAGATGACTGATTTCCCTTACCCCATGATACTGGTAAATCTGATATTTTTAGAAACAAATGGATAACAGCATGAATATTTTCATGATTGACACCAAAGGAAAAGTGCAATGACCATCAGGGCTGCGTATGGCCTGCACAAGGTAGTATGAATATGCTGAACAACATTTAGTGTGAAAAATGAATTCAGAAAGGTAACGCTTATGGTGTTAAAACAGACAAACTGCAATGGACGTGAAGAAATAAATGGCCAAGAAAATCAAAGCAAGCAAACTAAGAATACATATACTGTCCAACAAAAAGAGGTTAGACAAAGACAAAAAAATGCACAGCAATAGAAATAACAACACAGGTATGCACATGTCAACTAACGGAGAAAGGACAGCAGCCTCTTTGCAAGGGTTACCTTAGCTGGGAGTGATGGTTCAACTGTCTCTGCTGGGCTTTCTTTTAGATCACTGACGGGAGAAGCCTCGTCCGCCTGAATGTGTGTGAAGGCTTCTTCGTTTCCATTATTCTCAGGTTCATTTGATTGTGCTAGTGTTGGCAGTGGCAAGGCCTTTGGTAACTCCTCGTTATTGTCATCGGAACAAGTTGCAGAAGGGGGATCAGTTTTGTGAGCTTCAGTTGGGGATTGCATGACTTCCCACACATTCTCATCGGCAGTTACTTTCTTTGTTGGGGAGCTAGGGCTTCTGGACGTGGAGAGCAACTTCGCATTGGTACGCTTGGGACTTGTTTTGACTTTTGGTTTGGTCTGGACTTTTGCCCGCATGGCTGGAGGCGTCACTGTCACTGATTCCTGTACTGGCATGAAGCTCTCTGCAGTTGCGACTTCCATGGGGACAGCCTGAGCAAAGTCCTCCTGGAGACTCTCAGTTTTCTTGTATCTTGGAGCAGAGGTCATGGTGGCTTGCCATGGAGACAGCCGGAAGAGTCCGCTTTTTGGCCGCTCTTTTTTATCCTCACTGAGTGGGGCCAGATCTGCCATGAGCTGAGGTTCTTTCAGTTGTTCTTCCATTGGATAGACAGGTGCACTGATATGGCGCAGCTCCGTGCCTTTCACTGGTTTCTGGACAGACTTCTCTTCTGCATGGACACCCTTTCCAGGGATTTCAAACTGAGAGGACTGTGGAGTTTTACTCTCCACAGCCGGTTCTGGCAGTGCAGAATTTACTTTTTGCATAGAAAGGTTTTCTTGCATAGTAATTTGTACTTCCTCAGGACAGACTTCCTTGGCCTTAACAGTTCCTTTGATAATTTTAGATTGAATCTTTGCTTCTGCCTGAGGTTGTTCCTTCATTTCCTGTGCATGTGAAACAGGTTCTTCCACAGCTTTCACTTCCTGGTGGAGTGGCTCTTCTGTCACTTCTTCCCGAGTACTTTCTTCTATTTTTGAAGCTTTTGAAATATCCTTGATTTCAACATTCTTGACAGCGATAGCTCTCACATCCTCGTTCTCAGTCACATCACCGTTTAAAACAGTCTTGGCTCTGCCATTGTTCAATCTGTTCATCTCCTCTACTTGCTTCTCAATGGAGAACTTTCGTGTCAACTCTTCTGAACTTGAGTTGCTGTCTTTGTTGAAGACATCCTCGCTTCCCGAGCTGGAGATGCTCTGGGTCTTATGAGGGATGCTGTTGAGGTCATTCCCACTGCCTCTGGAAAGATTCACATCTTCTGGCCTAGGTTCTTCCTGGACCATAGGTGGGGGTGGTGGTCTACTCTCCGACGCCGAACCTCGCATTGATGGACGGGCCCTGCGGGAGGACAGTCTGGATCGTTTCAAGCTACTTCCACCAGGACTTGCGGGCTCGTTGACATCTGTGCTTGACAGACGAGTCTTCTTGAGTTTGAATCCCTGTCAGACAAACCAAGATATGGGTTAGTCCAACAGTTCAAAATCAAACAGTTGGTAGCTCAACTGAAATTACATTTATCGCATGAGTGAGCAAGATTAATTGCAAAGCTTTCATGCCATAACAGGTTCTATCCAACAGTCTATCAACACTTCCATCTAATGTAATGAATACAGCTCCTGCAAATCATTTTTTATTATTTCAATAACACAAAGTAAAAGGGGACGACAAACTTGATGAAAAGATGGGTCACATCTGATGTTTGTTTATCCTAAGCTTGTTTAACATGGGTCACATCTAATGTTTGTTTATCCTAGCTTGTTTAAGTTGCCTACCTTCCTGATGTCTTTGAGGAGGTTGTCTACAATACATCCATCCTCCTCAACTGGCGGCGGTACTCCCACCTTCTTCCCCTGGCCATTCCCTGCAGCTTTCTTCTTCTCCATTTCCTCCTTCTGTTTACGTCTCTCCTCGGCCTTCTTTTCCTGGATACGTCGCTTTTCATTGTCCTAGAAAAGGAGTAGCAGCCAGAAGATCAATGAGCAGGTCACACACTGGACATGAGATGTCCGAAGTCAGCATGTGATTTTAAAAAAGGGAGATCCAGGGAATGCCCTGTTGTTCTTGAGGAATGAGTAAAAACGAATTCAGTTTGCTGAAAAGATGAACTTGAAAAATATTCTCAAACAAAGCAGGAAAACAATTCAGAGCACACACAAAATGGTACCCAAATAAAACACATTTAAACAATTTGTCCAATATTACACAACATTTGGGAGAAATAGGAAGTGTGTTAACTACTTGCATGCATGAATTCTCTTTATGGGACAGAATGTTATTTTAGCAGCCTACATTTCAGAAACTTGAAAGATTTTTAGTTTTGCCAGTGCAGTCCGCTTTTATTTAAGAGTATTAAAAATGTTTCCGGATAATGCTTGTCACCTCTTGGCAGGTTTTGATGCGCTCAGCGAAAGTCTTAAAGATCTGGAAGAACTCATCCAGTTTAAATTTACTGGCGTCCTCCACAAAGTAGATAGCCAGCTCCTCAGTCAGTTTATTGATGGTCTTCAGCTCTTCTTTCAAGTCATCTAATTGGCTTAGGGCTTCCTATATTTACATACAAAACCACAGCTGGTTTCAAATGTACATACTGATATTACTGTCGCCTCACATTTCTAATGTCTGAAGGTAGCTGCTAATAATGTATCGGCTTAACGATTTACCAGATTCAACCACTCAAGGAAATTAGCAATATTCATAGCAAATACAATGTTACGATAATGTAAACCTGAACATATCATTACCTTATGTCATTACGGTATGCGTAATGTGACTGCTTGATAACAATGTTTTCAAACTTTTTTGGACATGTTTCAAACTTTGTCTTTTGCTGTTAATGTACCAAATTTTAAACCTTTCATTTACTTTACCTTGATAAAGTTCTGGAGTTGTTCACGGACTTCTTTAGCTGCATTTTCAAGTTGATTTTGCAATTTCTCCAGACTTCTTCCTAACATGTTAATCTCACCCGCCAGATAATCCACTGACAATCTGCGGGAGAAGATATAGAAAGACGGTCAACAAAAGCCCTTTTAAGTAAATGACTGTTTATTCCAGCTGGCTTAGAGGTGCTTTTTTGATGTCTGGTGACCTAAGTTTGAATCCAAACAGGTGCATTCCCATCTTCTAATTATTTTTTTCAGTCAGCACTACATTGCCTGGGTTTTTCTGGTTATTGATTCCATATTTTACTCCCTGGGAAAACGATTTCATTCTTATTTATTTTTTTGAAAGAATTCTTTGTTTTCTTTTTCTTTTGGTGCAGAAATAAATTTCACATTAAAAATATATCTTGTTTGTCCCCTGCCAAAAAAAGAGGGAAGCTTCTAATTAGTGATTTAGCAAAGCATCTTAAAATCAGGTTGATCAAGCCTCTCTTTAACATTTTTAGATTTATATGTGAGTAATACATACTTAACAAGTAATAGCCCATCCACTGCACATTTAATAAGCAATGTGTTCCATACCCTTATTTGTCAGGGGGATTTTTCACAAATCTGTCGTATCAAATGGGAGCAGAGTTTTGTCACTGAGAAAACATCAAATATAGAGTCCTATAGTGAAGGATCCATCAAAGCTAATTCAACCTTGAGGCTTCGTTGAGGCTTTTCATTTCATCAGGAAAGGACAGCATGTTCTTGTCCTTCTGCTCGGCCATCTCCACAATGTAGTGCATCAGGTTCATGCGCGGCTTGTTGGCTTTGGTGTCAATCAACTTCATCAGGGACGACACCTTGAAGGCCATGGCATTCCCGGCAAAACCTCCCTGCCAACCAAACAAGGGTGAAGCAAAATTACATATGCTGTTCATTCATAACAGCATGTACCAGCCAATACACCTTGTTAAAATCAACTGCAATACATATCCCACAAATTTGAGAGATTATCACAAAATTAACTTTTAACACCAAGACTGATAATTCTTTGCAATGTTCCCAAGAGACTGGAGGCTGGTTCTTTCCATAATTGTCCACTTGCTCAGTAACACTGAATTAAATGACCTACACTTGAAGTTAAATCTGCTGAAATAATCATATTTCTTACTTACAGAGTTCATGAAGTTTCCAGTCAATAAAATTAATGTCAGGAATTCCTCCAGGGTCTTGCTATCCAGGATATCTAACAAAGAAAAGAAAGAAAATAGTCACTTTTTGTGCATATAAACTTCCAGCAAGTGCACACTATAAAATATGTATTTAATAGATATACATATTTTTGGTGAATCCCAAAATGAAGGTAGCATTTTTGCATTTGCACCCAATTTGATATGAACACAATTTTATTTGTCCAGCCAGAAAAATTAAATTACACTCACCATTGCAGGCTTTTTGTAGAGTGGCTAGTGACGGCTTCAGGTATGCCATATTGGCAGTGAACTCTTCCTTCATCAACATACCATCAATGCGGAGCTTATAACTGCATAGACAGCAGGGAGAAAAAAAAGATTTTAGCATCGACATCAAGAGACAAATAATGATGTCATGAGACTTCATCATCATCATCATCGAATGGCCTTGATAATGGATACTTTGAGAGCTTTGATACAACAATACTCACTTTGAAACACTGGAGAGCAAGAGAAAGAACTTTTCTGCAGACCCTAGCTTTTCCTGGTCACCATCAAAACCCTTTATCATATCAATCTGCAACATGCATGGAAGGAATGATTATATTACTTTTGAAATACATTTTGGCTCTCAGTGGTTTTCTGTATATGATTACAAAATTTAAAGAATGTGATACAATAACGAGCATTTGTGATGCAGTCATAAACATACAGCGATTAGTACAGAGTAAAATCTAAACATCCTGGCGATATCTAAACAGATATCATTTGATGTGAGAGTGTGATGTCACCCACAGTATCAACACACCCAGGTACATGTACAGTTCAAACTCGCACAGTTGTCTTGTTTTGCATGACAAGCACTTTTATGTCTGTAGTTTGAAGGTATGTCATAGAAATCTTGATGTGACCCAAAGATCATGACATCTCGACAACAAATATCACTTAAACATGAGCCACCGCAAAATGAGCCTAAAACCGTTTCAGAACTTTTGTTTTAATTTGCATGAGAAAAATATGTACATTTTTATCCTCCACACAAAATGGACATTATGTGGGAAAATACTGTATGTGCCGATAGATTTACACTGCAAGATTCATTTGAAAACATTTGCTCAAACATGGCTCTGGCCACCTTCCAGACTCTTGCTTTTTTAGGCTGGGCTACAAATTTCAACGTAATCTGGATTTGACATTAGGGTCTACAGACCTCATCCTTTTCAGGGAGGACCCTGATGAGTCCCTTCAGCCTCTCAGATCCTCCAAATGCTTCTGCATCTCCCCCTTCAATCAGCCCTATAATCTTCTCATTGGGCAGTCGGAACTGCTTCAGGAATATGTTGACATTCAAGCTTCTCTTACCATCCAAGAGGTTGATCTGGATCAAAAAGAGCAAATCTTATTTCTTGGCTTTATTTACTTTATGTCTGCAGATCCATAGCTGAAAAAAGAGATCCAAATACAGACTCCAATTTCTGAATATATCACGCTTTTTCCACGTATTTGTAAGCGTCAAGTATTTCCAGTTTTGATCAATGAAATTCTGCAGTCAATCTGTCTGAGGTTCAGGGATTCTTTGACTTCTCTGACAAGCTTGCCATGAAACATTTTTAAGCAAAATGGTATGAGTGGAACAAAGCAAGAAATGATGGACTAAAATCTAACCTGAAAAAAACAAAATAGTATCCAAGTATTCAAACAATACTGTTACTGTGGCAATACTTTGTACCAATACTTTATTCCTTCTGTATGGTGTAAATACTCAGGTTTAATTATGGTCTTAGAAAACATCTCAACTACATATTTCCCAGACACATTCTGATACTTAAATCAACTATTTAAAAATCACTTTACTGTTTATCATATTGTTACGATATACCGAAAAATCTCAGACAGGTAAGTGATCCTATTCAAGGCACAATCACCCCTAGATCAGGTCTCGCAAAATTACCGGAAGATGACACAAAACCCTGACTGCCTGCATCATGGAATCCTGAACAGTATTGGAGCCTTAAATAGTCTCTGGGTGCCACTTGTGAATAATGGGAGTAGAGAGCAATAAGGAGTGCAGTGCACGGTCCATTAACATTCGATTCAATTAAGCTGGTGCATACACCGCTATGTAGGATGCACAGGTAGCCTTATTCCAACCGTGAAATTCAGTTTTTCCAACAATGGTTCAGTACATCCGTGAGTCTGATTTTTTTTGTGTGGATTTGATAACATTTGAAATCCAAGAGTTTAGAGGGTCCCTGACTCCAAGATATTTCCACAGGAATAGCTGCCAAGTATGAGTAACACAGACAGCCTGTTCACCTCTTCATATAGTGATCTCATTAGCCTACGCCGCAATGTGGTGTGATCCATTAAACCATTCAACACTTCTGAGAATAGGATCAGTTGAACTACAGCTGATTCCAAGTGACGTGTATTACTTTGAAGGTTACGACAACTGCACATGTGATCATATGTACAAATGGAAACTATTTATCACCGGTTAATTTTCACAGAGATTTTAAATAAAACCAGAGTTCTTCCCTTTCCTGGCTTTTATTCTCTTCAGTGGATTGGATGTTTTCAAGATGTTGGCAGATCATAAAAGAGAAGTTTGAACCCCAGACATTATCACATGGATGTTTTCAAACTGCACATCTGGAATGTCAATTCAAATAAAACTACTTATACCAAGTTTACTAACCCAGGCAAGCATATCAACCCCCCCTGATGTGATAACCATATTTCCAGTGATTAGATGTTCGTGCGTATCTTCTCATGCTACAACACATATAGTGTGTATAAGTATGTTATATCAAAAATAGAAAACAACAGACGATGACTAGATATAATGTAATTTTGAGAAAGGCCAGATTTTCTCTAGTTACATGGTGATATTTGAAACATCATAAATAACAGCCAAGGTCAAAGTAGCATTTTCTCTATTTGGAAGTCCAAACTAAATGTAGACTTACTGAATTTGCAACAAAAATAGCCTGGAACAGCATGACCTTGAAGTAGTGAATTCAATAAAGTTAAAGTATATAAAAATTACGTCTATGAAGCATTCCCCTGATTATTGGAGACAACTTCCTGTGCTACTAGAGATATTCAGGAACAAATCTGTACCACAATTATATCTCCAAGGTGTCTCACATGATTGGAACCTAGTCGACTGAATCCTCCACAACTTAAAGTTCATGGTTCACAGCCAGGAATATGCATTCAAAATAAAATATCAAAGGAAACAGTGCAGATCAAATGACAAGGAGGACAAAATTTACATCCCACCAAAAAGGTATACACATTGAAGGCAGTTCTTGAGTGAAAGAGAGGATTAGAACTACGTTCTTCAACATTTCAAAAATCAATGTGTTCCTATGCTAAGAATTTACCAAAGCCAGTCTCTGAAGCACAGTTAATATCCAAAACAAATGATACAAACTGGTAATTTTTGCACACTGAATAACTGCTTTTCTCAGGACTGGGGCAGCCACAGGCAAGGAGGAAGGATTACAAACAAGTCACAAGGGTACATGTTATCGCTAAGAAGCACCTGTTCAACTTCAGATCAATCAGGCATTTCATACTTGTCATAGTGACTCTGCAAGGGTTTGATCTTTATGTTTACAGGCTAAATTACAGATCTAGCATTTATAAAAAAATAGGGAGGCGAGGCCAGTGGAGGTCAATGAAGGTGAACCAAAACAAATGAGTGAGACATTTCTAGTGAAACTTTTTGTCGTTAAAGCTATTAATAACAAGTTAAGGTGCCACCCCTTGGGTCTCCTGCTATTCCATCACCCCCCTGCTATATTTCCTGTTTTGGATTTGGGGGTGGGGGCCACCAATACTCACCTCCGTGGGTTCTTTCTTTTTCACTTTCTGCTCATCTTGTCCAGGTTTCTTGGCTTCCTTCTGACTGAACAGATCCTCCAGGGCCTGGTACTCGGGGGACATGACGGTCTGCTGCTGTGGATTCTCGCTGATACTGCGCCAGATGTTCTTCTTGGCTGCATTGGTGCGAGAGCAATCAATGGCATTCATCATGACCCAATATGAAAAAAATTACCTGTGGATTCAGTTGGCGACAAAAAAGTTTGCATAGGACACATCACCATCTGTACAAGTGTTGCATATCTATTCTAGTCCAAAAAAAAGTAGAATGTATGAGAAGAGAACAGAAACTAAAAGGAGGGAGCAAATAATGCTCAACAATAGCCTAGGTTACATCCGAAAATCATGCATCCGGCCATGTTCCACAACACCGTGTCAGCTTCAAATACGGTTTCAGCAACAATCATGCATTGAGAACAAATACAGCCATCCTGATTCAGCCCTTCATATTGTTTATACCAGGAAACACATTTTGGGATGTAGAGTGCATTAAGTACACATCAGGATTTTCATGCAGCTATGATTTGTTGTGAGGTTAATGAAGTGAATGAAAATGCTGTTGTACTAACAGCACAAAAACAGTAAAAATGGGACTGTGGAAGATGCTACAGGAAAGACTCAAGCAAGGCTGTACACAGCCGTTTAAAGTATCAGATCAACATCAAGATGTTAAATTTAAAACAAACCGAAATAAAAAAAATTTAAAATGTTATCTTAAACTTATACTATCTTCAGTTCAGAGACAAGGTCAGTGTAAAAAGAAAGGTTGTATGTATGTAATGCCACCTGGGTCATAAGGATATATGTGGAAGTGCTCTCAACCACACACATCAGCATGCCACCATCTCATATTACGGATGCCTTGCTAATGATAAGACACACAGGTTAGCGTGGTCTAGAACATAAGGATTCCAATTGTTGATGAAATCTGTATGTGGGGAATGTTGATATCAGTTGCTTCAGAATTGGGAAGGAATTCTTTGTCGTTGCAATGCAATACATAACACAATAACAAGGGTTTTTCACAGCAACAAGCCAGTGAGACTGATGAATGAAAAACTATTAAAACTAAAGCTCTGGTGACATCTCTTTTAATTGAAATTTGGCAGTAAAGGAAAACATTAGAGGCAGAAGGAACTGAATGTCTTGCTTACTATTTGATGAAGGTGGTGTCATTACTTTGTTCGGTGGGATCTTGGACCAATTTAGAATCTTCAGCTTCTTTGATGGTTTTGGGGCAACTGGTGGAGGTGGAGCTCCGTACTGAACAGGGGCCACTGCTGGTCTGATAACGCCTCCTAGAGGGGGTGGAGGTGGTGGGCCTCTCATGCCGGGAAGGGGTGGAGCAGGTGGGGGACCCCCCATGCCTGGTAATGGGGGTGGTGGTGGTGGAGCCCCGCCCATGCCTGGGAGGGGAGGTGGCGGTGGGGCCCCGCCCATGCCAGGGAGGGGTGGTGGTGGCGGTACCCCGCCCATGCCCGGGAGTGGTGGTGGCGGCGGTACCCCGCCCATGCCCGGGAGTGGTGGTGGCGGTGGTACCCCGCCCATGCCCGGGAGTGGTGGTGGCGGTGGTACCCCACCCATTCCTGGGGGTGGTGGTGGCGGTGGTACCCCACCCATTCCTGGGGGTGGTGGAGGGGGTGGTACCCCACCCATTCCTGGGAGTGGAGGTGCTGGTGGCACCCCACCCATGCCTGGTGGTGGGGGTGGTGTTGGAGCTGGGGGAATGTCTGTTTGTGGAATTGTCCCATCCACACCAGGCACAGGTGGGGGTGGAGGTGCAGCCGGGGGTGCTGCCTGAGAATCTGATGTTGTGTCTCTTTGTAAGACGTCTGCTTCCTTCACCCCACCACCCCCATGCTGGCCTGGTCTCACCATGGTGATCTCCTCTGTCTGAATGGCAGCATCCACTGATTTAACCTTTTTCTCTGCCTTGGTCGGCCGAGCAGTCTGATACATCTCCCTCATCTTCACCAGTTTCACCACTTCGGACAGTCCACATTTCAAGATCTCCCTGACATCCTCCGGATGATCCAGCACCATGAGCTGAGCAATCAGACGGTCAGACACTTCAAAGAGGACATCTGAGACAGGGTCATCTGGCTCAAACTGGAGAATGGATTGGAGGAGGGACAGAAGTGGGGCAGCATTTGGAGAGTTTGACACCTGCAAGATTAAAATAGGAACATAAGGGAGAGAGTTAGCGAGTCATTATATCACTCTGACAAAGGCCTTCTACTTGCGAACAGGGTCAACATTTTGGCCCTCTATTAAAAAGTCTACGGACTGTAAACTGTAGGTTTAGTTACAACTGTATGCATGCAGCACACCAGATCTTCTCTGCGGAATTCAAAGTTGATGAAGTCTGGCATTCTCTGTGTGGCTCATGCATGCACATCAGGATTTTTCTCCCCTGAGGAAACATGTAATCCCAATTTGAAAGATTCCTTTCAGGAACAATGCTGACATATACAGGTTGTAGTTTGGAAGAACGGGAGCAGAAAGGACAGTTACTGAAAAAGTACTTTGGTTTTTTTCATTACGGCCTTTGCAGAATATGTGAATCTGAAAAGAATGGGACAAGAGACATAAACTCTTTTACGATTAGAGAAATTTTGTGTCTCATTTCTACTGTCTTATTATTTTGTGCTGTGTCCTATGAATAACCTCCCATGGTGACACTGTGTGTACATTTTGGGTCTTAAATGGTATGAAAGCTTAGCCTGAATATCTTTCAGAACTAGAGTCACTCATTTTCAAGAACCATGGCAATATTTTCCTTCTGCATGATCTGACGGCTACATGTAAGTGGAGCTTCAAACCTTTTTAAAGATCGCATCAAAGATGTCCACAGGACTGTTGAGGTCGACACCATCATCCGGGAAACACGAGTAGAGTTCCTCATCATCCTCCATCTTCTTCTCATCAAAGACGTCCAGCTGGATGCTGAGGTCACCATCCTCCTGCTCATCTTGCCTGTTGGGGAAGATGAGGAAAAGGTGAAAGAAAGAAAGAAAAGAAAAAGCTCAGCTTACTGTAGCAGCATGTAGCATTAATCTGAGGTGGTATGCATCTGTACGGCTTGCTGTTGCCAACCTCATTTATCATTGGTAATTCTTTCATAAAAGTGGTTTTGAAAAAAAAGCAGTAGAAATAATAAGAACTGTTACATTCAATCCCACTTTCATTTGTTGAACAACTTCCATCTATCTGTTAATTATGATTCAAAACGAGGTCAATAAAACTGTGACCAAATTTCCACTTTCACATGGAATTGTCAAAGTTGCTTTGCAAAATTAGAGAATTAAGTGACAATAATGATAAGGGTTTAATAGTGTGACAAGTTGTTGGCAATTTTTATGGGTACACTTTCATTTAAGTTGACTTATGACTTGTTATATTCTCAGATATGAGGCTCCCAAGAACAAAATCTTGCAAATTCCCTTGCAAGGGGAGTGTGATGTCAAGGCCATAATATAAAGGAAGTGCTCGAAAGGCCGATCCAATATTTTATGTGGAAATGTGGAAAAATGAAGGTGCCAGTAATAAATTCAGGCATAATAAATGCAAACAAAACACAACAAAAACAATTTAACACAAAACTCTTCCAAATTCTTTGTTCACTGTGTACATGAAATGCCGGGGACTAGCAATACAATGTCCAACATTGACACTGCAGCCAATGAACCTCGCTGTTTTTTTGGTACAGCTGTATTTGATTGGGTTTTGTGTAATTTTGGGGGGCAAGTGGGCAAAAGCAAGCAACACAGATGGCATATTGAAGTCTTTTTGCTTTTCTGTAGTTGGCAACTATTGTTTGATACAGAAATGAAACCTTGAGCCAATTCTGAGGGACACAATGGTGAATCATTCAGCTGTTGTCAACTGCAGAAAAGTGGTTACCTATTCATTCTCTGTCAAGGAAGATGCTAAATATATGTTGCATTGTGAGATGACTGTAAATTGTCACAGGAGCAAGACTTTTATGCCCATTTTTTTACTCTTGCAACGCAAATTGGACTGCAAATTACCTCCATGGTAAAATTCAACTCCTACCCTCCCTCCCATCGGAAACCAAAGAAATTCTACCAATGCCTTTGGCCACAGTACGTCTTACCAAAGGCAATATGGAAAAGACTATGACAACTGAACACTGTGTTGAGACAGTGATTTAGAGTGTGGGTGGTGGTTGATAAGTTAATACGGCAAGCCAAGCTTTTAAACAAAGGTGACAGTCATTTGAATGATCAGTGGTAGCCAAGGTCTAAGAAGGCTGACCATGATCATGATCAGTGATTGACCTCTTAAAAGGGAAAAATGGTATAAACAAAATCACAGTAGTTTTAAGGCATCAGAGAGCAAAGTTAATACATTCCAAACACCCATAGGTAAAAGATGTTAACTCACTTCCAAAAAGAGTACAAAGTGTGAATAACCAACATGCCTATGTGAATCCACCAAACAGATACTTGGAACATAGGTTTGCATTCCTTTGTGTCACCTTGGAACAAATTCTGAATAGGCATTCAAATGTCATTTGGAAAAAAACAGATACATTGCGCGTAGGCCTACATGTATGCATTTAAATTCCAGCACGTAAACGCAAACTTCTGTGTAGACAACAATTACAGGATAACCAAACAAACAGTGGCATCCATCACTGCACATGGACACAATCAAATAATCTGTGCAGGTTAATTGGTATCAGCTGAGTGGCTTGTGTTTGTGGAGAAACAGGGTTGAAGCAAGCAGTAGCATAGCTTGACGTTTTAGGAGTCTTGGAAATGAAGGTTGGCTGCTTCTTTCACTAGTAAGCTATTTTCAATGATTTGTGATTCATACATGTAACTTTCCACTGAACTGGGGAGGTACTTCAGGTTAATATGCTCTTGTTAAATACTGACATCAATTTTCTGTACGCACTTTCTTTGGGGTGTAAGCATTTTTTTCCTTCAAGTTTGACAAAGGTGTTCTGTTTCCAAAGGTAATTTTGGTTGAAGTAGACATGTATGCAAACAATTTCAGTTTAAATTATGTATGTAAATTACGTATTAAGTATGTAAATAATTTAAGAAGAACAAGAATTTAAGTAACAATCCATACGATTTGTTAGAAATACATAAAGTTCATGACTATGCATTTCGTTCTCTAAAGTACATGTATATCGTACACAGGGCCTTACTGACTGTACTGTAGACTCTAGGCAGTGTTGTGTTGGCACTAGCTACTCAGCTCAAGGCTCCAATAACAACAAATTATCATCTCAAAGTGCTGGTAAGCATTGGAGCTTAGCATTTCATGTTGATGCTAGAGAGTACTGCAGCTCCTCAAATATCAAAAATTCAATGAGAGATGCATTAAGCACTTAAAAACTACTTGTGTGTGCCTTATGGCACACTGTGGTAATTTCACAGGTCCTGAAATTTTTCATAGGCTCTAGGTAAGGTGCCTACTGCGCCTTTCAGATATTTCAGTCCTGACCACACAATAAAAAACTACGAACTGAAATAACATAAAGTCTAACAGAAATCAAATTTGATCCAAGGTGTAAGAGAGCCGATACGACCCACCACCAGTCTGCACACAAACAAAACATAGCCTGCCACCACAATCACCATCCGGGGACCGAATATGAGTTTATTTCATTGCAGGTGCTCTTGCAGCGCAAACGTACGCGTTAAAAAACATTAGCCTAAAAAAACACAAGACGTAGGTACATTACCTTAACAAGTCCCGTCTGGCAATGGGAGAGAATAAATGAAAATTGTGGAAATCGTTAGAAAAGTGCTACAAGTACTGTTGTCATTGTAACACCTTTGACAGAACCTAACTAACAGCTAAAGGGAAAAAAAAGATGAATGAATTTTTTTAAAACAAAAATAATGGGTTTTGTTCTGTAAAGTCTGAGGTCACCTTCAGGTGTTGTACAGTGAGCCTGAAGTACCACTTAAAATATTCCTTATCTTGTGGCCATACGATTGGACAGGCTACAGTCTTTCATACACCAGTGTAAATCTTAGAAGTGTTATTGCGCACAATTTAAGTAAGCACAATGAAGCCAGCAAAATGGCAGATGACCAAGCTACTCCCCCGTCCCCCCAAACTGAAATAATTAATTTAAACAAAACAGATATGATTGCAGTGAGAAAAGACATAGAGAAATAACCCCCAAAAAAGAGCAATAACACCATCTGTCATTTTCTCATATCAAAAAAGTCACTTTCCATAATGGAACCGGTTGTTGATGGGGCTAGTCTACGCTATTGCATAACTGTTCAGTTCTGGGGATACTTATGTTTTATGATTTTGAAATTGATTGACAGAGGTGTAATGTGAGATCAGGGTGAGCATTATCTGTGAGCACTTCACTAGCAGACTCAAGGGTACTCGGACTGGATCTAGACAACAACTCAATATAAAGGCAATTTGCATATCATTCGATAATGAGGGATGGAATTGGTAAATTGGTAGAACAGTATGATAAAGATAATTAGATGCAACGGGTTTAGTTGCAATGAAAAAAACTTATTTGATATATTCACTAGTTCTGCTACGGACACACACCCACCATGCATGCGTATGTTCCAGTATGTGCAAGAGATGCATTAAAACATCATAAGAAGTACTTATGATGTTTGCAATTTAACCAGACATCAAATATTTCAGCATCCACCAAAATCCTTGAGAAACTGCAATATCTGCTCACAAAAAGGGCTGTGTAGGCCTATGACATAATGGTGGCTGTGAGCCTGTAACACGCATGGAAACATGTCAGTGCTCATCATCTCTCATACAGTCAATGGTACCTGTTAGCAGAGTTTCATTAATTGAAACCACGGTCCTCTGTAAGATATCACTGCAAACTGATTATGCTCAACAGTGGCTGGTATAATGTGACAGGAAGTGAGGTGTTGCTTTTTATGTATCATGATGAAAACCCTTCCGGACTAAACACTAAATGAAGTGGCTAAACCAAGGTCTCAAGAGTAAAGCCAGTGCTTCCAGTGATGAACAACTAGGTGGATGCTCATGTCAACATCAGTTTGCTTTTACAGATATCACAGTTTGGTTCAAACCAAGTCATACAAAAAGCCCCAAAAATGAAAGTTCTTTTCCACGGTTGTCAACAAAAAAGCAAGCTTTAACACAATGCATGTCACTCCCAAATATTACCACAGAAAGTGATTTTTCCCTGTTCTTCGATTGTACAATGTACAATTTGCAAATTTAATGCAACATCTATGATTCTTGTCACTCTGTAGCAAAGGATGACTTATTTTTTATGCCATTCCCTCATCAAACGAACTTTGGATTGCCTTGAAACTCATGAAGAAAGCTTCTCACATGCATGGAGTGCACCAACGGAGGACTGCTGATGTTTTGCTTGATAAAAAAATTTTTGAGAACAAACCAGTACCAACTTACAGTGCACAACTGTTTGCTACTTAAATACTGGTATTTTATCAGAGTTTCCATTACTCATCCAACTGTTAGAGGGACCTACTCACTGCGCCAAGGTACACCACATGAGCACAGTTCTGAATTTCATAAAGTGGTACAGAGTTTCATAAAAATATTTAGGATAAGACCCTAAGACTACAAGACAAATTTCAACAATTTTCATTACTAAGAATGTCAAGATTATCAACACAATGTTCAGACTCTATGGAAAAAAAAATGACCAGTTTCAAAGTGGATTTACCCTATGATTAGACAACACTCGGCCATCAATGCCTATAACACACCATCTGAAATAGGCAAAGTTGTTGTTTAATTTACATCCCAAGAACTCCCAATTTCTTTTCATACCTACCTGAAACTAGAGAGGATATCCAACAGTTGCAGGCCAATAAACTCATTGCGCAGGCGAACCCTTGTCTCAAAGTCTTCTGTGCTCATCAAAATGCAATTGATGAAAGACAGCAAGCAGATCTTGTAAGGAACAATCTCGGCCTTGCGCAGCTCATTCACAATCAGACTGAAACGATAGCGTTGATTCTTGGAAACCTAGGCAGCAGGCATAGGGAAACATTTGTTTATTTACTTTTTTACTCCCAAGCCTTTTTTAGTTGGTTCAACAAAATTACAATACTATCACTTTCCCAGATTATACTTCTCCTGCAATCTTTGTGTGATGCTAAAAGCTGAAATAAGGTTATTAAAGATTCTTCACAATTAACTGTATTATGTACATGTTGTGTACAACAATGAGAATATGAAATTCTTCAGAAAATATGTCTTAGCAATTTCTCGTTTGAGAAAACATCCAATTTCCTCCCCTTGTAACACCAACAGGTCAAATCACATTTGAGCTGTACAGAGAAGACATGAATGGAAACTGATAGGTTGACTTAAGATTTGCAAAATGTACATGGAATTTGTGCTCCACAAACTAACAAAACATACAATTACAGGAGCAAATAATGCAAAAAACAAATCCCAGCTGGATTTGAGCATCAGTCGTAAGTCCCAAGAGTTGTGTGAAAAGCTGCTCGGTTGCTATGGCAGTGACTCATTCGATACAGCGGCACAAATTGTGTGAGATGTTTCCAGGTGTTCCCCCCCCCTTCTACTTTTCCCCGAGGTAATCCGATTTCTGTCGGGCAACAAAACAAGGAAATGTGCCGCTGTGTCAGATGCGGGCAGGAAATCTGGAGGAGGAGATGGGGAAACTGTAGATTGCCTCAAAGGTTCTATCGACGGGGTAATTGTCCTTTACACAAATGCACTGTGAGGCATCCTCTAAACGGGATATAGTAACTTAGTAACTGATTTTGCTACACTACAATGTATCCACATGTACATGTATATGACATAACATCAGCATGTAAGTGGCATTTAAAAAGTTGAATCAGTGACTTCAACTGGTGGGTAAGCCAAACTGAATACACAGGATGAGTTCTTGCCTCAACCCTTTCAAAGTAGAGCTTAGTTGATAATTCAAATATTTTGGATATTTATTGAATATACAAATATTTATTTTCAAAAATCAAATATTTGGAAGTGAAAATCAATGAAATAAAAATCAGTGAATATAATGGTTCTTGAATGCATATGCCACACAATAAGGCCAATAATTATTTTATTAGTTTTTAACTTTTTGTAAAACATATAGATTTGGTTCCTTTTCAGGTGGCAGATTGGCACAAGAAAATATTTGAATATTGCATAAATATACTACTGAATGAAGATCTAATATTCAATTATTTGAATTGACTCAGCCTCACACTGAAACTCAGAAGCCATCAAGGTACCAGTAAAAACACTGACGATTAAATAAGAGACATCTCTTTTCTACTATTTCTCAGTACAACATGTGCTGTCGAGAGTCTTCTGAAGCGGGGTCGAAGCAGATGTTTAGAACTGTGCCTGGTTGGGTGGTTAAAGGGACAATCTCCTACCTTGTAGTTTTCCAGGGCATCAATCGCAAGTGTGTATCCCACCTCGTTGTAAAGGCAGAGTGCAGAAAGGAGCTCAAACACAGCTTTCTTTACTAGTGTGTTGTTTGTGTCAAGGGCTGCAAAGTAAAAACAAACACAGTTGCCATAAAATGTACTTCATTCAGGAATCTAGTGGCAAGGCAGAGACTAAACTGTTTGGAAATGAAGGCCTTCAAATGTCGCCCTTCATTGATTTCATTGTAACAATCACTGATAATTATGGTTTGGCCGTTCATTTTTGTGATGCGGGTGAAGAAACAGACAAAATGTCACAAGTTTGCTAAGGTGGGGATTCAAACCCCATCAGTTGATCGAAGCTTACAAAGGAGTATTGAAAACAACCTACATGTGGTTTTCAAATCTTCACAGACCTTTATCGTGAAATAAGTTCCACCCCAAAATCAGAGGAGAGACCATGTCAACAATGATTGAAATTTGGTCACCACATCTGCACACTTTGGACTGAAGTCTGTTCACCACACAAATGCACGTAACATTCAATTGTGGGATATAAACCCTTTATCCGGGCCTTACCGATGCATGCCATTTTAACCTGGCTGCACCTGAGGGCATTTTAAAATAATGTTTTATGTCTCATGACTAAATTGAAATTTTCCTTATTTCCCCCATGATTTCCACAAATGCATTCACAGTGCCACACCTTTAGAAACCTTAGATTCAAATTCACACTAGACACTCATGTCTAGGGACTACATGTGCCTCTCTTTTCAACGCACTCCATTTTAAATGAATTGACCTGGGAATCATAAGCAGACAAGTCTCTGGAAACACATTGTCAAAGGTTTCCATGACTGCATGCCCAGCTGAAGGTTTTGTAAACAAAATCTCTCTGAATGCTACTTGTGAATGTACATGTATGTTTTACTTGGCAGCTCATGATCAGAATGTCACCATGTAACATTCAGTTTCTGGAGCCTGGTAGGGGCAGAGAGTAGAGGATGCTGCAAACGGTGGCATATCCAATTGGGGAGGGGGACGGGGAAAGTTGCCTTCCCTACACACAAAAATTTGGCAATTTTTAAAAAAGGAATTGCAAGTGCCAGTATTGAGGATGTGGTCCTACTACATGTACCTCATGGGGGGAGATTGATTAGGGTTCTACCCTAACCCTCCTCAATCCTCCAACAGGTGAAGGATTGAGGAGGGTTAGGGTTAAGGATGAAAAATGTGGACAGCAAGTTTTTGAAAAATGTCCATTTTTACCCTTCCTGGACCCAAAGCCTGGATACGCCACTGGCTGCAAACTCACAAAAACCACTGTATCCACCTTTTTAACTTCATGTATGCCTTTCTTTTTTAGGCAAATTTACTTTCCTGTAAAGCATCCAGTACAATCAAGCAGCTTTCTAAATTTGAAATTCAGTTCTGCACCTGTGCATGTAAACCTTAACTCCGAGTACACATGGAACACTGTCAATGTTTTGTGTCCACACCACTGAGCCAATCATGGCCATGGCAGTTTCACTCACCAAACCCTAATTTCATCCTTATCATATAACTGTCACTTCTCCCAATTTGGCCTATTTATTTGCCCAGGGTAAGCTGTCCTAAACCATTTGATAATCCAGTTATACTCTGCAGTGACTGATTTATAATATCCATGTGCAATGGGTTAGGTGTGATGATCCTGTAATCCAATCATGTGAGTTGTGAACTGACCTGGGTAGGTAGGGGAGTGACAAGCTCATCCAAATAAAGCGAGCTGTTCAGCTGTTGTGCCTTCACAGTTTACAGTGATAATCCAAAGGATGAGTTTGGCTTATATTTTCTTGTAAACATACACAACATGAGCTATGCAAGCCAACATGAGCAGGATATTAGCCACATGGCATTATTATAATACAAGTATAACATCTGGTGACATGTGAGGGACTGCAATGCCCCCAAAATTCGAAAGCAGATGGTCCATTTTGAAATTGTATCCAGACACTATTTTGGTTCAAACTGAGTCGGTGAAGATATATCATACCAGCATCTTAGCTTTATGTAAACATGTATGTACACGTCTCCCTTGCCCAACCCTTATGTTAAAAGAGACCAGTACTGATGTTAATCTAAGTTTAACATATCCTTTTTAAAATAAAGGACACACAGTATGGTTGTGGCTGATTTTGTCAGCATTTCTGCATTGCAATTCTACACCAATTGTTATCTGCTCTTTTTCCCTGAAAAGATCTCGTATAAATGTACTTGAGTGAACCTTCACCAGCAAGTAGGGCCTTGTGGTAACAATCAAGTATTTTTTTCATGTTACCAAACTGCCCCAGGGAAATTTAACTCAAATTTAATTCTAGGATTATCGGTAACACTGTAGAGCAAGGCAGTCAACAGAAAACAACGTTCAAATTTTTGTCTAGAAAGTAAAAAAAAAAAAAATCCTCCCAGACTTTTTCTCCTGGTTCCTTTAAACAGTAACAAAACTCTTCTGAATGATTTTGATTGCAACATGTCAAAGGAAAGTGAAGCAGACTGCTGCCCCTCTTTGTATTGCATATACCTGAAATGCAACTAGACTACTTCAGAAATCAAAACCAGGAAAATAACTACACCACATTTGGCAGTACACATAATATGCTGGGAAAAAACACCCTTTGAGTAAAACTCAGACCCTGAACCAACATAATGAGAATAGAAGTTGTTAGTCTAAACTAAAGTGTCTGGATTCATCTTGCGGCAGGTTTTCTCGAGAATGCCACAAACTTTAAAACTGAGGATTTCTACAACATTGTACCAGTAGGCCTTTCCGTTCTTCACAAGTCATATTTCTCACATCTTTCTTGTATTTCATGGCATTTATAATTTGTATCAAATACATTTAACAATTGTGCAGCATGGACACCACTTTTTTCTTCAAACCTACTAAACGTTCCATTATAACAATTTGGGTTTTATGTACAAAGGTCAGAAAATGGTCATGGTTGACGCTAATAAACAGATGTGAACCTTCCAGACCCGCGGACGCATCCACACCTACAAGTGTGACAAAAGCGTTCACTGCTGAAAGTAAATAAAAATAAGTGAAGCCCAAAAAATGAAAGAGAAAGAGAAAAAAGGACACTGCTGGTATTGCTTCATGTACAATCCTTGATTTGGAATTTTAGTGGCTTGTAAATTCTGGTCTCTTTAACCCACACAATTACATGTTTTACAACGTGGATTGATAAAAAACAAGCTTTTGAACTCTATGAACACTGGAAAATGGGTTGCAATAAAAGCTATCCACATATACTGGTAGTTTCAAGCTCTATATACAGCAGGTACCTGATGGCTTTTCAGCACTGAATAGTTAACAAAACGAGTAATTTGTTTTTCCCAAAAGGCATAAATTCTGAACATCAAATATATGGGAAGTATGTGGAAGAAACTGCATTAAATCACTAAAATTGATGCTATTCAGATTATTTAAATACGTGTACATGTACATCCTTTCAAGGATGAAAACAGATTAAGTTACATTTTTGCATTTGATGTTTTCTGTTGTAGTACACACATAGACCATCTCCACATTACTTTATTCTGAAGGCAGCCTAGTAGGCACACAATGTTATTACAACATGGTACGTAACACTTCAGGCCTAGGCCTACATGTAGGTTGAAATGACATTATGCCATCTCAACCAATATTAAAAGCGGAGAAACAACAGGTGCCCAGGGAACCTCACAAATGCAGGTGCCCACTACTATGTTTGACCGAGCAAACAATGTACTTCAGTGGTGCAGAGGGTTGGAAATTACCGCGAGTCTTCTTTTTTTACCCAAAACCCCAAACCCCGAACTATGGGAAGTCCATTTTCAGCTGGCCTGCACTAAAACTGCAGTCTGTTGGGGGGGCACCGTTTTACTGCTGGGACCAGATGAACCCAACAGTCATGGTCTAGTGGATGACTTCACCATGTAACTATAGTGAATAGACACTGACTGATTGCAAAATGGACAACGGAATTCTATGTCAGAGTTGGTATAGGCAAGCTTCTGACAACGAGGGACACTAACAAAGCAGCCTGGTTCTTTGTGTCATTTGTCCACATATTAAGGGCAAAGAATACACCCTTGTAAATGATCCAATGTATAACAGTATGGATACTTGGTCATCTTGACCTGGGCAGACATTATTGAAATCAAAATCCTTATGATTTCCCCCTCCTGTCAATAAACTTCTCCATGGTCCATCAGAAATCTAGTGCATTTATAGGGTTACAAAGATCCATTTTTAAACAGGTCTACACTGAACTGGAAGTACTTTGAATGCAGCAATGTGAAAAATTTTGGTTATAGATTTCCTTGATTTAGTTCTAGCTGTATAGCATCATATCAGTAAATCTAAAAAGAGTCTATTCTCTGCATATTTTGACGGTTCTATGTAAATAACTAAAGTGACAATTTAACAATTTAGTTTAACACTGAAGCAAGTTATAAACAAATATCAATCACCAAAAGACATGTGGTGGTCAATGTCTAGACACTGGCTTGCGACCCTGGTTTGGCAATCCCATTCAGTCCTTCCCATTATTTGCACTACACAGAATCCCTCAAAAGATTTCGACAGGCATAATGTGGCTTTATCCACAGGGCTATAGTGTATTGTGTACTTCCCCTTTGTTGCAGAACACTCCCCAAACTTTTCATCAGCCTTGCTGCATTACAGCAGGTTACAACAGGAACTAAGGGGCCCACGTCTTTTCTACTAGTACTTTCTGCACATAAAGGCTAGGCCTTGCTTCTGCTATACCTGAACCCCACATCCTTACTGAATCCAAGAGAAATCAAAAACCATCCCAGCAGACTATTCCTGACTAATTTATTTGCTTAAAGCCACATAGCTTTTCCCCCCAAACTACTGGTTTCTGCCTGAGTCACAGGAAAGCCGATAAGGTCAACGCTCTCACTGTATACCTTGAACTACTCATTGTTTTTGAAATTATATCACAGATCCAATGTACAATAGCTTATCAATGTTCGCAAGAAAAACTTCTTAACACACGGCAACTCAGCAGGATCACTTTGGAGTCCTACATGCACATGTACCTCTGGATGCCCTGTCAGTTACACCTGTATC